TTTATTAGATTATAGAATTTTTATAAAGATTATATTTGAGTAAGAGTCTTTCTTATATTTCTTTATTATAAGTAGATTTTATTTTTTATATATAATAAATATATTTAAGTAAGTCTAGGCTTTAGTTATTTTTATTTTAAAAAACTTAGTTTAAAGAGATAGGAATCTATTTTAAAAATATTTTTATATACTTATAATAAGTTACTATAATAAAGAGTAATTAGAATTATTATATAATAATTTAAAGATATTATACTAAGAGTTAAGTAATATATTAGATAGTAAGAGAAGACATATACTAGAACTAATTACTAATCCTCTAAAGGATAAGGGGGTTAGGGGCTTATATACACATAGCCTACAGTGTCTTTAATAACTCAGCACCCGCAGGTCTTGGCAGGCAAGCTGCCTGAGGCTGCCGCCTAACATACTTATAATAATTAATTTTTTTACTAGTAAAGTTATTTAATAAATTTTTGTATTATTTAATATTTATATTGATATATATTATAAATTCTTTAACTTATATCTTATTTAATATATACTAGATTAATAATCTAGAATTATAAAAATTTATAAAATTTTTTTTTATAATAATTAATTTATATATTTACTTTAATAGCTTTTTAAAAAATTTAAGAGATTTGATAATAAGAAATTAATTATTTTTACTATTTTAAGCTTATTTATGAAAAAAACTAATAATATTTATAAAAATTCTTTTTTATATAGATTTTAAAGATATATAACTTAATAATATTCTTCTTATAATATATTATTATATTTATAGAGTTTAAGAAAGATTTTATTATCTTTTCTAGTATTAGAATATTAATTTATAATAGAAAGATCTTTAGAATTTTTTTAGATAAGAGATTCTGAAGTTTAGTAAGTTTCTTAACTAGTTATCTTTTTTTATTTTATAGCTTTACTTTTTAAATAAGTTATTTTTATATATATCTTTACTTTTTAAATTTATAAAGTTTAGAATTATTATTATAACTTAAGAAATAGAAATATAATAATAAATCAGTATTTATTTTATTAGATCATAAAAATTTCTAAAGATTATATTTAAATAAAAGTCTTTCCCAGGTTTCTTTATTATAAGTGAGTTTTATTCTTTATATATATATATCAAATATATTTTATAAACCTAGACTCTAATTACTTCTACTTCAGAGAATTTAGAAAAAAAAAAGAAATCCATTTTTATAATATTTATATACCCATAACAGGTTACTATATTATAATATAGAGTGATTAGAACTATTATATAGTAATCCAGGGACACTATATCAAGAGTTAGGTAACATGCTAGGAGTAGTAATAGAGGGTTGTATGGAGGGCCGTAGGGGGAAGTCTATGCTAGAACTAATCGCTGACCCCCTCGAAAGGATCCATACAATCCTCCATTGCTACTCCTAGCACCTTACCCAACCCTTGGTGCGGCGTCCCCGGACTACCGCATAACACACTCTATGTCATCCCTACCCAGCCGCCCTTTTTGTCGATTCAGTATAGTCCATAACACATCAGCTCGTCTTTAGGGCATATGTCTCTTATATACTTTCAACAATGTCACCATCCTTTCCGGCGGCAACCTGTACTCGTCTAGACGGCAAAATACAGTATTACGTCTAGAGGCAAGCCAACTGCCTCGGCTCGACGCCTCGGCTGAAGGGTTCTAGACATGCTAGAATCAGTAGTTCACGTGTTTCCAGGGACCACATCGTGACAGAGTGACTTTTCCCAGCAGTAGTCTCATGACACTCGTTGTCAACTTCGTCATGGAACACGGGGAATTTAAGTAAAGACTTCTGGGATTTTGCTCTCCGTATTATCTATGTAACTATACCACGCTTTTCAATGCCTGCTGACCAATTAATCAGGTGAGTATACAGGAGTATGACAGCGCACTGGGGCTCTGTGCGGAAGCTCAGTTTATACCATATACCCAGTAATTTAGATTGTTATATATGGCTCACATATATAACATAAGAGAAGTATATGAAGGTATAGTCGCATGAGTATAATTTGCTCAATGAGTCAATAGTCCGACGTCGTCACGCGAACTGAAGATCCATTGAATGTGGACTATTATGCACATTGGTCTTGTGTAATAAAAACCATAAGCTGTTTTTTGGCGTTGTAGTATCAGAAGGGCCAAGGCCTAGCATGCTGATGAAATAGTTGGCTGCTCATCAAATGTAGAGCCTGTACTTTGCTGACTGTCAGCTGGTTAGGCAACTTGGTTTCAGCCTTGAGACGCCAGCCTTAATTCAGGTATTGGTTTAGCAACCAGGCATACAAGAGAAGTGAATTATATATACGTTTGATTTTATGGGAGGATGGATGTTGGGCTCGTAATATAAAATGGTTTGGTCAATCTTGATCCTATGTATCTAGCAAAGACATCTGCAATCTCCAGAGTACACAGTGACCTACTATCTCACGTGGAGAGAGGAGGTTGTTGTACTCCGTATGCAATCATTGGCTAATATCACTTACAGCATAGCCCCACAGTGGAGACTATCTACCACATATCCACTGCCCCCCGCCTTGTTGGCCATTTGACCCACACTAATCGTGGCTGTTGCGTCATGTGGAAGGTATCAGTCACTAGGCACAAGGGCGTCTTTTTTTAGAGTACCCAGTGAAAGATAATACTGCCTGATATGTTCTGTACTCTTCCTTTGGTTACATTGTTGTTACTGTGTATTTACACATCTCTAACTTCTTTGTCATGAATATATACTGCGAAATACATCCACTATCTCATCATTGCTGAGATCTTCCCGCAAGTATAGTTCTTATCAAAGATATTAATGCCAAAAATTATTCTCAATGTATTTGTCATAATAGATGTGATAGAGCATTGTCCTTTGTAAAGATACGGTAAGTGCTAATACATACCATGCAACAACCCCGCAGTCTCGTGAACACTGATGTGCTAACTAATATTTAGTATCCTAGTCAGAGTCAGCCCCAATCTATGAGTCAAAGGCACTCATAGCTCAAATTCCTTGATAAAGCTTCTAGGTGATTCACCAAAATCATAACCTTATACATCAATTATTACTGCAGCTGTTATTTAAGTATTGATCATGTCTTTCTAATCCATATAGCGAGTCTCCATACTTATCCCGCAGTGGTTTTGGTATACATCGGACTATGATCCTATAGTCAAGCTTTGAACACTATCTTGCCACCATAGGTACCTAAACAAAGAGGCGACTGACAAATCACTTTCACGTGTGTTTCGCCTGCCAGCACCGCCAACGCTCTTTCTTACTGCTTTTCATGAACACTACATTGATATTATCTGCCCACTGTCAATCGCCACCTGAACAATATCTGTGACAATCCCAGGTGACCGTCAATTAGCTGGACAGCGTTCCTACCCCGCGCCTCTACCTCCTCAACTCTCGCGCGAATTCCTTGGGCAAAGGGATCTATCTCACAATGACCTCACCTTCCACTTCACCACTGGTGGATCGAAGCGACAAAGTTAAGATGAAACATATACCGTCGGTTTCTAGCCTCATGTCGCCCCCTGAGTCGAAACCATTCGAAAATTTTAATCCGTCACTGTCATCATCATATGAAGACTCGCAGGATCTATCAAATAGCCATGATATGAAGCTTCCCCCAATATCAGCCGATCGCAAGCGAACGCAGTCAGAAATGGACCTGCCATCGCCGCCTGTTACTCCATATACTGGGAACAAGAAAAGGAAGACGAATCTCTCCGAACTCGCTGAAAATGACACCACCGTTGGCCCCATTAGAGATCCTGTTCTTTTTCCTCGCCAGGGGACTTCATGTGATATTATTGCAGATGAGCCTCTGTTCGCTCCCATGCTCCCCCCGGTAGCAGAAGCGCTGGTTGACCAACACATCAACAACCACATGGCAAGGTTTGAGAACAAGCTAAACAAACCGACACGTGATGAGTACCTGTTAGCTCTTTCATGTGTACCTGTTGTCTCAGCGCAGTACAATCGCAATCCAGGAGCATGGGCCAAAGAGGAACGTGCAACGCTGGAGCGTCAGCTGATTCTGATGCACCGACCCCAACCTCAAATATCAGAGGCCAAATTGAAGAAGATTGCACCTGCCCCCGCGAAAAGGACACTTACAAGCCAGTCTCGTGTACAGCGAAATACTAGAGTCAAGCGCACGCCAAAGCAAACACCGAAGCAGAAAACACTGGATCCATTTGACTCACCGCCCTCGTCGTGTAACAAGACATCCCGTGCTCTAGGTACAAATCGTGATGACACTGATTATGATTCAATAAGAGACTATGCCCCTTCGCCTGAGACGCTAGGTGGCAATGCCAAAGCGTTGAAGGCAGATTGGAAAGGGCAGATACTTGATCTCACTAATGATCCAGATAGGCTCTTGTTGAGCCCTGCTGAGATCAATCTTGCCGCGACTCTGAGACTATCCTGCGCCACATATCTCTGCAGCAAGCGACGTATTTTTGAAGCCCGTGTCAGGGCCTTGAATGTTGGAAAGGAGTTTCGCAAAACTGATGCGCAGCAGGCCTGCAAGATTGACGTTAATAAAGCAAGCAAGCTTTGGACCGCATATGAACGTGTTGGTTGGTTCAGACCTGAACATTTCCAACAGTACCTGAAGTGATCACCTGTCGTTTCAACTGTCTTTGCGATGTGAAACTGTTTACAATGCTTATAGTACAGCCTTTCGCTCAACTTGTTTAGCATCATGGTTTTGGCATGATCGCAATGTCTTAGCACGTTGTATGATGATTTTGATGTCATATCCCTATCGTTCTTTTCTTTTGGGGGTGCCGGTCGTTGGACACAGCTGGTCTATGTTCGTATTTTGATTCTGACTGGAAATCAGCTTGGTTACTAGCGTTTTTGAAGTTTGGGAGTTTGCTTAAATGATACTTCTCATTATACTCATGCATGGCTTAGGTTGTGATGGAGTTAGTGCTGTTCTTCTGATAACAAGGATAATTACCTCATGTGTTCACTGTATAAGAAAATAATATATCTTGGTCAGGTTTTCTTTTCCTTCCTTTCTTTCGATTGCTCTTGGTAGCCATAGACCGGGTATCTCATAGTAATAGTTCTTGCTTATGAGGGTGCTTGATATCCATGTCAATGATTGGATTTAGTATAGAATGCTTGCCCCAAAGACTACATATCTTGGTTACTTTCTACTTACCATGACCGTTGCCAGTTTGAGCAACATACATAGGTGTCATCAAACAAAGAATTTTCCAACCAATCTTCACACCAGGGTAACTGGAAAATAATAAATAGTTCCATTGTAGCTGCCGCCGTGCGGTGGCTAATATTCTCCACTACCAGTAGTGCAGGTTTGTTTAATTGTAATGCAGTCCCCTGAGACATTGAGATGTATACTTGAAAGGATTTATATTAGTACTTGTTTTCTGTAAGCACCTCCACATATTGATTTTAAAGTGATGTGTATCTCACTATATTTCCATTCAGCCTGGTTGTGGTACCGAGTCTCAACCTCATCGAATGCGCAAAACCTATGTTATATATATAAAACCTTACCGGGTATTGAGTGTATGAATTTGGTCGTTTTTATTATGGCTTGAGTAGCTAACAGGGTATCTTCTTCATACCATCGCCATTTTTCATACACTGGCAGAATAACCTAGTTTAATATATTAAATAATGAGCAATTGCTCACTTGATTTTTTTCAATACATATAAATATAGAATACATCATGATAGTTTAAGTTTAGTTAGTCAACTTAGTGTTTGGGTTGTGATTAATAATATGTTCCGTTCCAATGATGCCGGATGATTAAGGACACCCAGAAAACACCCCTTATGTGTATGCTTCGCATCAGGTATTAGAAGATTCAAAACTAACCAATTACTATGTAGGTACGCAATCTTGTTCGCATCTTGAAGCAGCTCCGCGGACATAAATGTTACTCTCTTGTCTTCTTAGATCATTGACTGATAATTGCCAAAATAGTTTCCATCTCCCTGGTCGAAAACCATATTGAAATTGGCAAAGCAAGCCGTGATTACCATGTCGCGAGCAGATGTTTCCCGCACAGAGTCCTCGGGCGAACAAGACCCTAGGGGCGATATTGAAACCGACAAGAAATCCAAAAGCAGGAGACCAGCAAGTAAGACACCTGACCTTACTACTACTGTATCGAGGAGCCTGTGATTTCTTACAGAATGATAGACACCGCTTTTCGACAGCAACGTTTGAAAGCATGGCAGTTAGTTTGAGCTGTACAAAATCGATTGCTGCCTTTACTGATGCTTTGACAGGCCTATCCTGACCCCGAAGAGTGTATTGCCGCTTTTTTTTGCTGTTGGTGTTATATTCGCTCCCATCGGAGGCCTGCTTTTATGGGCGAGCTCTCAAGTAAGTTTCTGTGACCGTCTGGCCGGGGTGTTCTAACTCACATGAACGATCGAAAGGTTCAAGAGATTATCATAGATTACTCCGAATGTCACAAAGCGAGTGATCATCCCGTTGACATCTCCAATAAAGTCACTTCCACCTTTACCATGGACAACCGCCCGACATGGCAGTATAACGGTTCAGTTTGCACACTGCTTTTCGAGATTCCAGAGAACATGGGTCCTCCTGTTTACATGTACTACCGTCTCACGAATTTCTACCAGAATCATCGGAGATACGTCAAATCCTTGGATATAGAGCAACTCAAAGGAAAGGCGGTCGACGCCAAAACTATTGACAGTGGCTCATGCGATCCTCTCAAACTTGACCCGAGCGGCAAACCATACTATCCATGTGGGCTTATCGCAAACTCTCAATTCAATGATATAATTAGCAGCCCCGTGCGGCTGAGTTCCCTCGACCCCGAAACGTACCAGATGACCAATAAGGGGATTGCCTGGGATAGCGATAGAGAGCTTATAAAGAAAACACAGTACAAGCCTGGACAGGTTGTTCCACCCCCGAATTGGGAGAAACGCTTTCCAAAGAAATATGTTGATGCTATCCCCGACCTTCATGACGATGAAGAGTTCATGGTTTGGATGCGAACTGCAGCGCTTCCTGATTTCAGCAAGCTCTCTCGAAAAAATGACGACACACCCATGCGAGCAGGGACCTATCAGCTGAACATCACGCACAGTATGTCTGAGCTTATATTTGTGGATAACTAGTAATGCTAATTCTGACCTATCAGACTTTCCTGTCACAGATTATGGCGGCACGAAATCAATCCTTCTAACTACGCGCACAGTCATGGGGGGGCGAAATCCTTTCATGGGGATTGCCTATGTTGTTGTTGGTGGATTTTGCGTTCTACTTGGGGCCCTCTTCACTGTTGCTCATTTAGTACGGCCCAGGTAAGGCTGCCTTTTTTAAGTGAAAACATTACATTCAATCTAACAATGTGTAGAAAACTCGGCGACCACACTTACTTGACATGGAATGCTGAGCCGGAAGGCGCCGCTGTTGCGACAGGAAGAGATACCAGGTATGGGTCACAAGCGCCTTGAAACCCCTGCTTCGCAGCCCATAGCAATTCTCTTCACCTTAGCCTAGCTCAAACTATCTTTCAACTGGTTCTGTATATTACAAGGCGCTTTTGTTGTTATGTCTATATTAGGAGGGCGAGACATCACTGAAATTTTGGATTGTTTTGCCATGAATGGGCGAAGGCGTCAAATGGAGGAGTTTCCCTCTGGCCAAAGTCTGGTATAAGTGTCTCACCCCTTCTTTTGTTTCTCCCTTGCTAGCATTCATCCGTCTGTGACGGGTTTGTTTATTATTGTAATTAAGCGTTAATTCCATCTTTGTCTTAGACCCTCTTCCAGGGGAAATATCTCACCCTTTGTAGCATTCCAACTGCGGTTTACGGCATTCTTTGCTTCAGGCCAAGGATACAGCCTTGATACCGCACATAACCCGTGGCATCGATAAGAGTCTGCCCCCTCCTATTCACCCTGTGAGAATATTTGATTCGTATATTGAGCCCAGTGTTGAGCCCAAGGTTCTGCACAGCATGGCGCGATCGTTCTCTACACGACTGATCACTCTGTTTTTGATCTTAACCGACCTCCAGATCCAATGCTGGGCCTTTGGCTTCCATCAACGAGAAATTTGTGCCACCGGTCCTCCAAAGGAGTCTTTGAAAAAAGCCCATCAAGATCTAAGCGTGCTGGAATCGAAACACGATAGTGCTTCCGAATACACGGAGCGCCAAATAACGAATCAAATTGAGATCGATACCTGGTTCCATATTGTTAGTAGCGAAGCAAATGCTGAGTTGGTATCAGACACGATGATTGCTTCGCAGGTTAGTATAAGGCCCGCAGCTTAAATTAGACATGGTTTTGTTCAGTTGCATATAAATCTAACCGCAGGCAGCTTTCGCACTTGCAAGATGCTTACAGGAATGCCTCGATATCATATCGGCTAAAGGGAGTCACACGAGAAGTAAATGACACTTGGGCTCGTAATGACGATGAAATAGGCATGAAAAATGCCCTTCGCAAGGGAAGTTACAGCACGCTGAACGTGTATTTCCAGAGTGATCTTCACGCATCATCCGAGGGCCACGGCCGGTCCACACCCGTTCCCAGTGAACGTCAGTCTGAGATATCAAACCAATTGTCATCTAGTATCCTTGGCTTCTGCACCATGCCTGACCCTAGCATTAATTCCAGCACCCCCCGTGCTAGTTATGCAAAGGACGGTTGCAATGTTCTTGCTAAAACCATGCCAGGCGGTTCCCTTGCCCATTACAACAAAGGTGGAACTGCAATCCACGAAATTGGCCACTGGAATGGCCTTTTGCATATATTTGAGGGGGAGTCCTGCGCCTCGGAAAACGAAGGAGACTACGTTGCAGACACACCGCAACAGTCCGAGGCAACGGATGGTTGTCCCGCTGAGAAGAATTCGTGCCCAAACATACCCGGCTTCGATGCAATTCACAATTTCATGGATTACTCGTCTGACGATTGTTATGAACAATTTACCCCCGGCCAGGCGAAACGGATGCGGAGCATGTGGTCTGCTATGAGGGAGGGGAAATAATTTGCAGCACGTGTCTCGTCTGTGATACTTTTGTAATTCATCAAGCTATGTGGGATCTTTGAGTTTATTTATCTTTATGTTTTGCTCTGTTTTACCTCAATGCGCGCGGTCATGTGTATATGTCATTCTGTCGAATTATCTCCCTTCCAGATTACATCACGGGTACTACGGATGTCTCCAGACCCTTCGGGTTTTAGATGAAAAGACATAGATACACTACAGCATCTGGCAAGCCTACAGGGGTAGAAGCGGCAGGCAAACTTGGCCTATCTCTTGATCAATAGTTCAATCGTACCTATTAGTGCCGGATCAAGCCTCATGCATTCGAAAAGATCGCTGCAAACCTCACATAGGTTAAACCATTGGGCCGGAATGCACCAGAGCAGGGGACAATTTGCTTGCAGGGTTTAATGCCACAGGTGCTCGAGTTCGTAAACGGACATCAAGACCTAGATATAAATCCACGATAACAAGCATTTTATATGGATGATAACCCCTCAATTACCAGTAAACATCTAGTACATTCATAGAAATGTAGCACAACGTGCTTGGCTACTCAACTTTCCTCCTAAATTGACAAACTTCAAAAACCACCATACCAGTAAGACGGAGCACAGCATGAGGATTGAACAACTAGCGATAAACGTTTATCGTTTTCGCTTCTTACCCCGATCGTCGTCATCAAGATCACCATCCCTGTCCTTCTTTTTAGCCTTCGTTTCCAATTCATCCCAGTCCTCACCGCTGTCCTCATCCCCACTGAAATCTTCGCTAGCCTCAGCACTCGCATCGTCATCAAATTCACTTTCATCTTCGGAGCTCTCATCTGCTGCAGCCATTTCTGACTCGGATAGCTCGAATGCAGACTCTTCGTCCTCAGAACCACCCTCCGAGTCCGATTCTGCAGCGAGAAACGACCAACCTCCATCAGCAAAGAACCCGTAAGGATCACTGACAACGGTCTTCATTATAGTTGTCCAATTAAGGTTCAAAGGACCCTCTGTGAATGCAATGTCAACAGAATCGAGCCAATCTTTAACACCCTCCAAGGATTCAACTGGAATAGTGTTGACGTGCACCGGAGGCCTGTGAAAATCTTTGAACACGAAGACCATATCGAAATTTTTGAGTCCAAACTGATGAGAATTAGCAACATGGCCGTTGATCAATAGGCGGATAATGACTGCATGTCACATACCTGTACTCTTTCAAGGTGAGCAATCTCAATCTCATTCAAGGTGATCACAAGGAAAGGAGGCTCCGTTAACTGCACGAGAGCATCTGTAGTTGGCTGAATCAACACATTTGAGCGATTGGGAACACCAGTAAACCCGATTTCCCTGAACGGAATATCGACGTCAACACCTTCATCTTTACCAGCATCTGCGACCTTCTCTGCGAAAGCCTTGAACTCCCTGTCTAAAGCCGCTCTCCGCCGCCTCTCCTCCTGTTCAGCCTCGAATTCTTCCTCATCTCCGTATCGATGTTTTCGTCTTCGGTTGCCAGTTTCATCAAATTGCATTTCTGTCGCCTCACGATAAAACTGTACGTCCCTTGTTTTTCTCTTTCCAATCATGATAGGAGTTTTCAAGTGAACATGGATCAGAACGATGAGTTCGTGGGCACAAGGCTGGAAGAACAAATGTTTCACATTGCTAAAAAGCACGTCAACATGTTCATTTCGGAAGGGCGACATATATCGTAGTCCATTTTGATGTATCTCCACTTCACCAGGAACACGTTTTCCGTCCAATGGTGGTCGAAGGTAAACGTCGGGCAATTTTACAGGGCGGCGATCTACCGTCAAGTTAGCCCATATCAAGCGATAGTACGATCCAAATTACTCACTTCTGATTTCCATGAGCTTATCTTGCTCAACCACGTCTTCCATTTCCTTCTTCTCCTGCTCGCGCCTTAAGGCATTTTTCCTTAGTTCTGTAATGTCCAGGGCGACTTGAGCAAGACGATTGTTGTCCTTAGAACGAAGAGTAAGATTCCTCAAAAAATGTGCCGACAAATCCTCGAAAGGCTGGTCGTCTTTCCTTCCAACGCCCTGCCCGGGAGAGAGGAAATTTATTCGTAGATATGCATATTCCCCCTCGTCGCTTTTGCTGGCATTTTTTATGGTGCTGATGTGGAAAGGTACTGGCCGACCCATTATGGGAACAATGACAGTCGAGGCTTTGTGATCAACATAGATAGTGAGGTCCTTCACTCGGGTTGGTAGTTGATTATCTCGTTTGTAGGACTCGAACCGCTTGAATTTCTTTTGGGAGATGCCATTGTCATCCCCTGTTGTGCCAGTGAATCGTTCGAGGCCCTCCCTTGTCTTCTTGCCAGCCAACTCCTTCTGGTGCTCGCGTCGTCGAGCCTCCGCTCCTTCGTTGATTTGAGTGGGTCGTTCGGCACGTAGTTTGGTGCGAGTCACATTCCGACCAGCGATAGCGCTGGACTTGATCTCTTTCTTCTCTTTGGCTGGTTTCTGTGGTTCTTCCTCGTCTCCAAAATAAAACGATACAGAGTCCATGTCGACGCCTGCATCCTTGGTAAACACATGAGGACCATGCTCTCCAACACGGATGGTATCAGTGATCACCATCGAGTAAATGGTTTTCGTTTTGTCTTTGGAATCCGTGTTCTTCACATCGGTTATTCCAACCGTGACAGAAAGAGTCATGCCACTTTTGAGAACCCTGTTGTTTTTGCCATTGAGCAACATGTTCGAATCCCTGAGCTCGATTCCAATGCCAGACCCCACATTTTTGACAAAGTGATTTTCTAACTCAGGCTTCTTGGTTCGGACTATACCAACTGCTCTTGCATAGATATCCTTGGCGATTGCCCCGTCACGGATATCTTTGATGATTGTTTCATGGAGATTCAACAGGAAAGCGTAATTTGCTTCCTGTGATTTGCTCGGATCCACCAAATAAGTACGTGCAATGATTGAGCTGTAAGTTTTGTAACGAATTCCGAACCCGGCAATTATAATCCCGGGCTGGAGATTTTTGTTATCAGGCTGAGCTGTAAGTTTGAGGTCGTAATTTCCCCCACTCTGGATAACGGGTCCATAAGCCCAATCGATTTGCTGAGGATCGAACTCCGACGGTAGTTTTGCGAGCTTATTGAAAAATTTGGTGTCGTCGATCTTGGCATCAATGCGCATAGAAAGGGCCTTGTGAGTCATTTGCTTCTCTTCGTCAAGTAGTCGAGACATCTCGTCGACGAAGTATTCGGACATCAAACCACTACAGGCTCTCGAGGCATTGCGAATGGATACCTTCATGAGTGATGCTATTAGTAACCGTGTAGCAACACACATATTATCTGCCCTTAATTTTCTGCTCGATTTTCTTTCTTTTTTGGGCGGGAGAGGATGGAAGAGGGAACCCACCAATTCATCAGTATCCTTGATCGAGAAGGCGGCAGACGAAAGGGCTGAAGAAATGTCAATTTCTTCCATTTCTTTCGATGCATCCTTAAAAGTTTGCTTCCAGTCTTCCGCGAATGGACCAGTCGTAGTATCCTTTGGCAACACACCAACCCTTTTCTTCACATAACAGTTAATAACCGCAATCCGATTTTCAGTTTGAAATAACTTACACCAGCACCCTTGACTATATCAATACATTTTTCGAATATCTTGGTTTTCTCCGCTGCATCTTTGGTCACCACCAAGATTTCCACTGGAATTTTGCCCCCTTTCAATGGTTCAAGATGTTTGGCTAGGAGTGGACGGCAAAGTCAGGATAATCTGTTCTAAAAACCATGATTCTTGGGCATACCTTTTTTTGCAGTCGTTACGACATACATCATCTCTGTTGTGAAGATCATTAGTGTCGCAGGAAATTCGTAACCTAGAAGCCAAAACTAATATGATTGAACAAGATGATCAGTCAGAGCCGCGACAACGATCAAGAAAACGGGAAAAGGATAGCCCTACATGCATAGCATTATTTTTTTGGAAACTATTAGCCTCATCTGTTTTCCCCATGAGGATAATGATGGACCCAACACCACTGAACGCAGTGTTGCTTGATCGTTTGTCGGCCTTCCATGCTGCGTAGAAGCTTGATAGTCGATTGAAAAATACAGCTTTGTCAATCACAATCTCGTCAGCCATTGTAAACGACCAAGGCGCCCCCGAATGCTCAGGCTATCGGTGGTAAATGGTCTGGGAGAACGCCAAAACGTGATATCTATGCCAGAACTGAATTCTCGAATAAGCACTCTCCCTCTCACGAAGAAAAAAACTTTGTATTGGCACTTGGCCTTTCTGAACTGTGGTATAAAAAGGGATTGTTGCTGGAAAGGGTGTCAGATGGTAGTTTTGTGCGAATAGAAAGAGTGACGGATTCTGGTTTGAATGGCTCGGGTGAACGCGACTTGGTCGCGTTCCAGCGAAATAGGTTCGTCGCAAGCTGTTTGCAATATTTGCAATATTTGCATTGTTTGTTTAGCTGACTACCATAACCAGATGTTAAACCTTCTCTATCCTTGCATGGCTATAAGTTTTTATAAGTACACTTAAACACATATACTTCAGATGTTTATCAACTGTGAAATATGTTGAGATTACAAAGGGTCTCTGTGTCTTTTTGTGACTAATTATCACTGTTCTTCTTTTGAATACTGTACAAATAATAATGCTGGTATTCTGATCAGTGTCTGATTGTCCTTAGTATTCTGGCAGGTATTTCACTGCATACAGATAGGTGCTTTTAACCTAGAATTCACTCTCATTTTGCTACACTTTTCCATGTTTTTTGAATCAACTAATATAAGTTTATACTAGGGGTAACAATGGCTTCTCAGGAAACATCCAAGCCAACAGCCCATGACAACCTCTCAGACTCAGATCCGGGGCTCTCCCCCAGAAACCCACGAAATAACGCAGCTACCGGGGCCTCTGCTGCCGGTGTTCGTGCCCTCAGTGCCCAATTAGTTGCTTTCTATTTCAAAGCTCCGATAAAGGCCTTTTTTCGCACACGAGTTGAGTATGAAATTAAATCCTGGCCCTCTAATACAGCATGTTGTATCATGAGTTAATATCAAGCTTCTCAGTTACATGGTACATAATCCAAACCCTATGCCACAGACACTCGTGTAATTTTGGTATCTGTTCTTTTGACTTGATAGCGATCACTGTCGACTAACCCTTAATACGACGTGGTCACGTTATAGGCGTTTGCTAGAGCTGTTAGTCCCCACGCAGCTGACAGTCGTTGGTCATTCCGCACCACTACTCCCGGCTTACTCGTGCATGCTGTTCGTGTATATGGTTGGCAATTTATTCCAAAACAAGTCCTTCCCCCGCTTTTGGCCAATGCTAGGTATGCTCATTTTCCTGCCCCGATAGGCATATAATCTGACATAGTAGGCAGCGTCGGCGCTGTATTATACACCTCTTACCTTCAAGTTCTGGGTAACTTGTATGAGCCAGTTTCATTGGGAGTTAAGCGGGTATACCCCCCTCCAAGTCCCACAGATACGTTCGCTGCAGGTTTTGCAGCTGGGGCTATCCAGTCAGTAGTGGCTGCACCTCTGGACGCTCTCCAAGTCCGCTTCAAGGCAAATGACGTCCTCGAGGGCCAGTACCAGAGTATGTGGCATTATGGCAAGCACAAACTCCAACAGATAGGAGCTCGCGGGGTTTTCGCTGGCTGGGGTCTCTCGTTTTTGCGCGATTCCCTCGGTTATGCGGTGTTCTTCTCCTCCTTCGAATATATCAAATCCCAGGCATACTATTCCTTTGTCACAGGTTACTACGGGTCACTACCGGCACAAAATGTGGCTACACTGCAATCTTCTCAGTCCGAGAACCATGACGTACCTCTTATCAAACCTCACTACACACTGGAGCCGTGCTTTTTGATGCTTGCTGGCATTGCAGCATCTGTTGCCCAGCAAGTAATACAGCATCCACTGAGTCTCATACAGGATATCCATGTTGCAAGGTTGGAATATCTTGACCATCAGGCGAGTCTTCATCCCTCGAGGAACCGGATGCTGCGACTCTACTATCTTGCGTACCAGGAAACATACAAGCGATGCAAAAGGAGAGCTTTAAGAGCCGGGGGTTGGAGTCGTTGGCTGTATCGCGGCTTTGGAAGAAGTGCCCTTCGCCAAGTTCCTAGCACAAGTGCTGGCCTAGTTATTTTCGAGTTAGTCCGTCGTAGGTATGCTATCATGGCAGAACCTATATATATTCAGAAGGACGGATATGAAATCCTCTTAACATGAGCCTCTCCTTATACTTACTACCCACATGATGGTTGTCGGAATCGGAGTGACCAATGAACAGATATCGACCAACTTAATCTGCCCTGACTACTGACTCTGTGCTATCTACATAGTATATGAATTATCAAGTATTGCTCATTCGAATTGCTTTATATATCCGATCATCCCGCCAAAAGAGGTACTTCGGAGGGTGTTGTAGTTCAGTATGGTTCTGGAAAAGGTCGGCGCAAGTCAGACAGAGTTAGCCCCTGGAAAATGGTCAGCATGGGTCGGAGACGTCTCTCCGTTGATCTTCTCCCATAACCACGCCGAGCTGCAAGCTGCTTCGGAGCGTATTTGGTGTCAAGATAGCTTCCCTTGTAAGCACCTTTCATGGTGCCACCTCGACACAAAAGAAAACAAATAAAATGAAATGAAATAGAATAGAATAAACCCCTGTATTCACTGAAATATTTAGAAACATACTTTGGGGAAAAAACCGAGAAAATCTACTTAGAAGGGGTGGTCTTATTCAAAAGCGGTGATTGCTCTTGGCTCTGGATATATAAGGTGATGTTTCTGAGTGACTTTGGGTTCCCTTTCTCTTGGGGGGTCCCTTGTGAGCCAGGGCTGGCCCAATGATCTCTTTCGGTGGGGGGAGAAGCGGGTGCGGGTGCGGGTCCGTGACGGGCAGGTCTTTGAGCAATACGATGATACAATTGCTCCGCTTCAGCTCCGCAATTTTGGCTACGACCGTCTATGCTGTCTCGGCACTGATATCATTGTTGTTAAGCGTTAGGTACTCCTGGTCTTGTTCGTAGTTTGGAGTAGGGGTCCATAATAACATAGGACGTACTAATACTCAAGAGGCAGGTATGAGATAAAGTGACATCTAGTTACGCAATCACATGCTAAAGAGCTAAAGGTCTCGATGAAAGAGTCTCTGGATGATTGTTAACCTTGATCAGATTTTGGATATTACGTACAAGGCAATCTGCCTTCACCTCCTTGTCATAAGCCCAAGATCAAGTCCATGCATGCCCAGCCCAGGGGATTGATTAATTAGGTAACCTAGAATGTGGAACAGCCTGGTTGGTTCAATCCCAGTTGGATCGAGCCTTTGTAACTTTCCAAGCCTTTGACAGTGGAAACGGTCATAATACCGAAAGCCAAAACCCGCCTCCCAATTAAGCCCGTAAATATGGAACGGCCAGTACCAGTTATGTGAGACTGTGGTCCAGTCCTCTGCACACCTACCTGTATCCGTAGTCCGCATCTCTTTATATCTCCATAGTCAGCATATAATCATATTTCCATGTCACATTTTGCTTTGTTGGTATTCTAAATACCCTTGGATTCCACCTACCAATTATCTTGAGTCGTCCGTCTGACACACCTCGCGCCTTTAGGCTGTATAGCTGATAATCGTGTTTGTCGCTCTGGGTTATCTACCACTGGTCTCGTGGACACACTTTCTTGAGCACCAGCACCATCACATCCAGTCCTCGTGCCCTTGTACACTGCCTGTTGTCTTCTCCTTTACTGGTCCTTGTTTTGGTCGTTGTCAATCATCTTATCTTGGCAAGACTTTTTATCCACCAGAAGCACATGTTCTTGTGACTATCCCCCCAAAGCAACCACCCACATCAGATGACTTTGTGGTGATTGTTATGACAGGATCTGTCTGGAGGACTGTAAGGAAAGCTTTCCTTGGTCACTGATCATTTATTCCAGCTTTAGTTTGTTCAGGGCACCACAAGAAGGGCTGCTAACCCGGCCCACCACAACCGCAATCATTCCTCAACAACCGCCGTCTCCACGCATCTCGCTAACCATCCCCTTGCATTCACTATATCCTCAACCACAGCCTTCGCCTGGCCAGTCACTCGGGGCTCTGGAATCAGCGAGTGAGAAAGGTAGCCGGCGTTCCGCTTCGGCTCACTCCGTTGAGTCCGAATCCTCAACTTGGATCGACACTGGTGACCTAGCAGAACAACTTCTTGATGCGGAGGATCCCCTCCGGGATTGTTCTCTAGACCGTGATCTCACTAGCCATAGAGCAACGAAGACACGCTTGAGACAGCAGAGGCCGGCCCGTTATTCGATTGAACCCACCACAGCGCTGGTTGAATCTCACTCAGAGAAACCGTCAATTGAGATACCTCGACCACCACCTCGGCATATTTCGCGGGTTGAGCGCTTTTTGGCCACCATAATGTCTCCCAACAACCGGCGAGCAGCCCAGGTGCATGGCTTGGTTGGAAAACCGTTGCTGTAAGGAAATTATGTATAGCATGGATGACAACCGTTTCGCATACTGATCATATCTAGGTACTTCACCAGCGTCTTTGTCTCATTGGGTGTATTCCTATTTGGCTACGACCAAGGTGTCATGTCCGGGATCATAACGTTCGTTTCAATCGAAATAAGATGAAGACGTATCGGTACTGACAACATTTTAGTGGCTGGTATTTCAAGGAATACTTCAACCAACCTTCAAGAGCCGCTATCGGTACTGTCGTCGCGATCTTGGAGGTCGGTGCATTCATCTCGTCTTTACTTGTTGGGCGACTTGGCGACTTGATAGGCCGCCGTAGAACCATTCTCTATGGTTCTATTGTATTTTTCATAGGCGGCGCCCTGCAGACCTTTGCCAATGGATTACCAATGATGATGCTAGGTCGAATTATTGCAGGTTTGGGAGTCGGAGCTCTGTCGACAATCGTTCCAGTCTATCAATCTGAGATATCGGTAATTCTAGCCCCGACCAACTGTCTCGTACCAAATTGCATTTGCTGACGTACAGCCAACAGCCTCCCCACAACAGAGGAAAGCTCGCGTGTATAGAGTTCACCGGTAATATTTCTGGCTATGCTGCCAGTGTTTGGGTCGATTACTTTTGTAGTTACATTGAGGGCAATAACTCATGGCGCCTGCCGCTGCTGTGCCAGTGCATCATGGGTGCCCTTCTTGGAGTAGGGAGCCTCGTCATCTGTGAATCACCCAGGTAAGTTGCAAAAGTCCCCTATCTTCTAGCCAGCATATGATCCTCACACCGAATTAGATGGCTGTTGGACAACGACCATGATGAAGAAGGCATGGTAGTCATCGCCAATCTCTACGGAAAAGGAGATTTGCATAATGACAAGGCTAGAAAAGAATACAGAGATATAAAAATGGATGTTCTTCTGCAACGACAAGAAGGCGAGCGATCGTATTCCGACATGTTCAAACGATACCAAAAACGGGTGCTCATAGCAATGTCCGCGCAGGCGTTGGCCCAACTCAATGGTATCAACGTGATATCATATTACGCTCCTCTTGTCTTCGAATCAGCCGGTTGGGCAGGCCGCGATGCTATCTTGATGACAGGGATCAATTCACTCTCGTATCTCGCATCCACAGTGCCCCCTTGGTACCTTGTTGACCGTTGGGGGCGACGGCCAATATTACTTTCGGGAGCAATTGCAATGATCATTTCGCTTTCCTTGATATCCTATTTCATCTTCATTGATGTGGCAGCGACGCCAACCCTTACGGTGATTCTCGTCATGGTCTATAATGCTGCCTTCGGTGCATCTTGGGGCCCCATACCGTGGCTATATCCTCCTGAAATCTTACCGCTGAGCATCCGTGCCAAGGGTGCCAGTCTCAGCACCGCTTCAAACTGGGCATTCAACTGGCTGGTTGGAGAGGTGACACCAGTTCTACAAGCTGCTGTAAAGTGGCGACTCTACCTTATCCACGCATTCTTTTGTGCGTGTAGTTTTGTTCTTGGTGGGTACCCACTCTGTGTATTAGTCGTCGAGTATTCACTAACCCACTTGTCTAGTTTATTTCTTGTACCCAGAGACCAGCGGCGTTCGCTTAGAGGACATGGATTTGTTATTTGGAGATGCAACGACTGCCATGCCCACACCAGTCACACAGGGAGAGCGTGACTCGCTTATGAGTGCCGGTTCGCCGATTCCTTCACTCGATATTAGACGGCAATATGGCCAGTCTGCGGCGGATAGTGCCATACCCGGTCTAGATATCAACCCACCGAATATATCTGCTGATGGTGCTGGCAAATATGCGCGACAGGTGCCTCAGGGAAGCCGTGACAACAGGTCCGAAGGTCTCGGCGGCTGGATATCAAGTATGGTCAACCGACACAAAAATTCAAAGCGGCGAGCACAAGGCGACGAATATAGACGTCTCGACCAGGAAGAAAACGAGTGATATACGGCAATCATCATGTCGCAGCAGTTTCCTAGGTCTGCTTTACCAGCTATAATGCTTCCAATCTTGCGTCTTTTCCGTCATCTCTTTTTTCGTTGTGTCTGTCTAGGACTCAATGTTACTGTTTTGTCCCAATAATCACATGGTTGTCACTCTGTCTGCTTTCTATCCATTGCATCGCGATTTTCTGACTAGATAGAGGAAATGTAGATGGATGAAATCCGAAATTACCGAGTACACAGATGATGTTATTCCTTCAAGTAGCGCAGGTTCAGATGTGTGCTGATCGGTAAAGTGACCATAACGGGGGGTTGAAGTCCACCAGCGGACATCAATGGGAGGGTTGACACTGCTTGACATTCCACAAAATCGAACTTGGACTCACAGTCCACGAATTGATGTCTCCCCTCAGCTGCTGGAGAATGTCTATGCCGCATATTAACAATGTTACGTGGTCTTTTCGTTCACGGGCACTGGCTTTCCAATCGTAGGCAAAAAAAACCACGCCAGGGTTTATATCATGTTAGAAGGTGTGTATGGGTTATTTGTTCAGAAATCGATGATCCAAAAACTATGGCCAAAGGCTTCGCTCCGCACCTGTCCATGGTTGTTTTGGGTGACATGTAAAGGTGGTAGTAAGGTCCAGGAGGTAAGGCCGCGCCACAAGATTCCTTGTATTTTTCAGCTTATGTCATTTTACCACTAGAAACTTTCGCCCTGTGTGTAAGAACAATAAACAAACCTAACCAAGCATCTCGAAAAGTTCGTTTGATGCTCGTTTGAGGTTAGATTAGCCTCGTGAAGACTTATACTCACTATTTGTTATCTTAAACAACATACTTTTGCGGACACGGAGGCTTTTTGTTCCCTTTCAAGCTTTCTCTCTATCTGGTGGTTGTCCACTAACCACAGACTGTGCTGCGGCCTGCAGGACTTCCTTAAGATAGTAGCTATCTAGCTTGGCGACCTGGATCCTCAAGTATAAGCTCCTTGTATAAATGCGTTAGTTACATAAATGGCGGGCGAATTTCGACATCCATCAGCTACTAGCAAATCAATTACCAGGTCGGTACCACTGCACTAGGTTTTAGGAGTAAGTTACTAGGTTGGATGTCTCGGAAGGACTAGAAGCTGAGGCGGGGCGCGGTAACAAGCTCCGGAGGACAGCAAGGCACGCCCGGTTTTTCCGTGCTATCTCCAGGCCAACTTTCCATTTGCATTTCCGCCCAGGTCTTTCCATATCATCTACCTACCGCAAGGTCGCTCTCTCTTGCCTTCCTCTCGTTTATTCCGTCGAATATTTATTTATTTTATTTTATTTTATTTTATTTTTTTTTTTTCAATTATATAAAACCCCATCCATACGACCAGAAACGGCCCAGACGCTCCCTGCCACCGGGGAATTGACCATACGCGATTGATGCGGTTAGAGATGATCTGATTCTCTGATTGACGCCCACCGATTGCCCCCCTGACATCTCTCTTCCCTTCTTTCCTTTGACCTTTTCCTTTGTCTGTACCTTTAATATCTGGACTACCCCAGTCGATCACCAATTTATCCGTTAGTTCCATTAAATCCAAAATCCGACCAGCTTCTGATCGCTTGGGCCAGTGCAGGAGAATCGCCTTTTCACCATGACGGAAGCCGATGTTGCCTCAAGTACCGGCACCGATCTAGCCCCTGGTCTCCGTCAAAGAAACCTTCCACACCTAGAGGAAAAGACCGGGAAGGTTGTCAGTGAAGCCCACGAATATGACAAGAAAGCAAAGCCTAAGGTATCGCCTTTTTTCCTTTTTACAGCAACTCGATGTTTGATCAGCCACGAACAATGCCAACTGATTTATGTCGCAGTCTCATTCATACCTCTCTGCCTTGGACAGCTGGGAGCCTGTTCTTGTGCCTATTCTCTTAACCGCTCTATCAATCTTCACGCGCATGTACCGCATTGGTCGCTCAAACATCGTCACCTGGGATGAAGCACAGTAAGAACCGGTCCCCGCCTATTTCGCAGCGCAATTCTCATGTCATCTTTTCTCATTTGCAGCTTCGGCAAGTTCGGCTCTCACTACCTGAAACGCGAGTTCTACTTCGATGTTCATCCTCCATTGGGAAAAATGTTGGTGGGTTTGTCTGGTCTCCTCGCCGGCTACAACGGGTCATTCCCATTTAAGTCGGGCGAAACATACCCAGAGGAGGTCAATTATACATTCATGCGCATTTTCAATGCGGCTTTCGGAGTAGTATGCGTACCGCTGGCATACTTTACCGCTCGAGAACTTGGTCTTCGCAGGGCCACTGTTTGGCTCGTCAGTCTGATGGTACTTTTCGAAAATTCGTATGCCACCATTTCGAGATTCGTGTTACTCGACTCTATGCTCTTGTGCTTTACTTTTACAACAACATTCTGTTGGGCCAAATTCCACCGACTACGGCATGCCAGCTTTACACCGGGGTGGTTTTTCTGGCTCTTCTTGACGGGCATCAACATCGGGTGTGTATGCAGCGTGAAGTGGGTAGGGCTCTTTTGCACAGCGATCGTTGGCCTCTATACCGTTGAGGATTTATGGACCAAGTTTGGTGATTTGAAGATGCCGAAGGTCAGTCTTCAAAGCGCGCTGCAGTTACGTTCACCACTAAAGAGTTTCTAGGCTGTGCTAGGCAAGCATATCGCCGCTCGTGTAGTAGGCCTGATTGTTGTACCCGCCTTGGTTTACGTATTATCGTTTTACGCACATTTCTTGATCCTGGAGAACAGCGGACCTGGCGACGCCCAGATGAGTTCTCTTTTCCAGGCGAATTTGAAAGGCACCGAAGTTGGCAAAGACAGTCCCCTTGAGATAGCTCTCGGATCGAGGGTCACTCTCAAGAATATGGGCTACGGTGGTGGTCTTCTTCATTCACATATTCAGACTTATCCGGAGGGATCTAAACAGCAACAAGTGACCTGTTATCACCACAAAGATGCAAACAATGACTGGTTTATTTATCCCAACCGCCAGGAGCCCGATTTCGACCCTTCCAACCCCCTGAAGTTTGTGGGCGACAGGGACGTGATTCGTCTAATCCATGGCCAAACAGGGCGAAACTTGCACTCGCATGCCATCGCTGCCCCAGTTACCAAGTCTCATCATGAAGTTTCCTCTTACGGTAACATTACCATCGGCGACGATAAGGACCATTGGGCTGTAGAGGTTGTGGATGATGTTGCGTCGAGGGATAGAAGCAGAATCCGAACTTTGACAACGTCGTTTCGCTTGCGACATCCTGTTCTCGGATGCTATCTACGTGCTGGCAATGTCAACCTTCCGCAGTGGGGGTTCAAACAAATCGAAACAACATGCGTGAAGGAGAATAAACCCTCCGATGTCTACACACATTGGAATGTTGAGTCCCACTTCAATGAGAAGCGTGAGTTTCATTCATCATTCCCTCGTCCTTTCTTCGTTCTTCTTGATTAATGATTTTCATGCAGTGCCGCCAAGCGATCCGGGGTCTTATAAATCCCCATTCTTGAAGGACTTCATTCATCTGAATGTTGCAATGATGACATCTAATAACGCACTTGTCCCTGATCCCGACAAGCAAGATGATCTTGCCTCGAAATTCTGGCAATGGCCAATCCTGAATGTTGGACTTCGTATGTGCTCTTGGGATGACAACATTATCAAGTATTACCTCCTTGGAAACCCGGCCGTCTACTGGGGGAGCACAGCGAGTCTTGTTGTCTTCGGGCTTTTGGTCCTATGGTATCTTGTGCGCTGGCAGCGAGGTTATAAAGAGCTTTCACAAGCGGATATCGATTTTATCCATTATGCTGGATTGTACCCAGTCATTGGATGGGTCCTCCATTACCTCCCGTTTGTTGTAATGGCGCGAGTGACATACGTTCACCATTACTACCCTGCTCTTTACTATGCCATCCTAACTTTCGGTTTCTGTATTGACTGGCTCACCCAATCAATGAACAACCGTATCCGTTGGATACTATATACATCACTGTATATCATTGTTGTTGGGATGTTCGTTCATTTCAGGGTGATCGTCTTTGGTATGGAGGGTCCAAGTCAGAACTGGGCTCATCTGAATTGGCTGAGCGGCTGGCGAATTTCGAATTAAAACTGGCTTATGTCTGTTGTTATTCTATCCAACAACCTACACTCTTCTCCCTTTCTCGGCAAGGATCTTGCCCTGTTTTTCAATAGTTGTCTAATGTGAATTTTAAATTGTTCCCTGCCATTTGGAAGGTTGGCAAATGTCGTTGGGTACATGTGCCAAAATTCAATTTCGTACAACATACTGCTTGTGGCTGTCAGTGACATTTATGTACACCCTAGTTCTCGGGCCATCGAGCTTGTACGCTGCACTTGTTAAACCACCCATTATGTATAACCTCTTTTGTATATCCTAATCGATGGCCCAAACAACAAAGTGTGGTAGACCAAGTGACCTCCGGTAGCCCATAGAGTATTATGTCAATGGATATAATCGTAAAACAAAGGAAAAGCACATTCTCATAAGCTGCCATGATTTAGCAGCAGTTCCCAGCCCAGCCATTCCCACCCCTACGCATTGCATCGTTCAGACCCAAGGTAACAACAGTGTTTGGGCTCCCATTGCTTGTTTGGCCTGTCGCACCAAACCCTTTGACCCCACTTCTCCGGTCGTTCAAGTCATATTTACCCGCCTCTATGTTGCGGTAAATCCGCTCGGCTGTCTCGAGAAAGGCACGTTCAACGCCGTCGCCGGATTTTGCGCTAGTCTCAACATATCCAACGACATTGTTCCTGTAACACCATTCCTCTGCTTCTTGCCTAGTAATTCGGCCCTTGGCTCGAACCGAGTCATCTTCCACGAGATCGCTTTTGTTGCCAACAAGAATGACCACGATCCCTTCTTCAGCAATCTGTCTCAAGTCTTGGAGCCATTGGGTACATGAAACGAATGTGGCAGGCCGCGTTATGTCGAAGACCAGGAGAGCTCCAGAAGCACCTCGAAAATAGGAGCGAGTTATGGACTTATAAGTCTCTTGGCCAGCCGTATCCCAAAGCGACAGTTTCATCCTTTTTTGACGTTCCGCCGTCTTCTGTGGTGGGGATGGGAGGCCGGTGACCGTGTGGTCTTTCGAGGTGTCAGGTAGGGCACGCAGTGGAGAGGGACTAGTAGACGATGGGATGCTAAAGGAAGGTTTGTCTGCTTCCAATCCTAAACTCCTCGAAGCGGGCGGACCAACTGGAACAATGCGTGACCCGAACTCAACACCAATTGTAACGTCATGGGATGGTGAAAAGCGTCCTTCACAAAGCCGAACGGTCAACTAAGAGAATATGTCAATGCCAACAACGTGAGTGGCCCGCTCCCTGTTGGGCAGGCGGCTGGAAAAGAAAGCACTCACACTCGACTTCCCAGTCCCAGAATCACCAATACAGACAAGTTTAGCGATGTAATCCCATGGCTGTGACATGAGTGCCGAAAAGATCTCAGGCCCGATAGGCTTATGAAAGGTATGCTCAAGACAACCGATACCAGCTCCTTCAAACGTCCAGAGAGCTCATACTATGCGGTCGCAAATAGTCGGGCCTGTGGATATCCAGCGTTCCAAGCTCCGTGATCTCCAGGCGATCGTATGACGTATACCAGTTCGGGAGGCAAATACTAGACACCAAAAGTATACCTCACAAGTTTGCAGGATGAGTGCAGCAAAGCTGAACTGCTTCGGCAATATATAGCTTCCTATATATTACCTACCTAGCTATTTTGCTAATCCTGATTGAGCATGGGTGACACATGGCCCGCTGGAATGGGTGGATTGGGTTGGGGTGGATTAACCCAGTTAGCAGTTGCACCGCGGTCGTTTGCTGAGTCATCTATCGCCGTGACCTTGCCTTATGACGCTTGCGCCTTAACTTACCTTCGGTCTTCTTCCAGGAGTGTATGATCAGCGTCCCAGGCTTGGGCTTTTGATCCTCACCATTTGGACTGCAGCATCGCCCCTTACACTCCGTGTGAAGGCTTTATTTTATCCTTGAAATATAATCTCCTAGGTCATCTACTTACCTTCCATTCTTTACTCAACTTGCCCCATTCGTTTTGGTGGAGCGCCGTTACTCAGATGTATTGAAGGTCACCGCCTCATTGTCCAGCATTTCCTGAAATCCAAACCGACTGTAGAGGATTGGTGGTACTGCACTCAGTAACTTTAGCTACTAGACAGGTAGCAGGGAGAAATGTTTTCTGAATGTAAGTAGTCCAAGCCAAAGCATGACTTACCCCCCCCTGCGCCGTACCAGTGCCCCTAAGTTTGCTCACAAAATATACAGATGCATCCCGTTTCCTTGCTCAATCACAGTCACGACTAGGTCTCCAGCCCGACGAGACGAATCGAAGGGGCTATGGCTATCTCATGCCTCGTCCAGTGGCCTCTCGTTTCTCTTCACATTCCTTCTTACATCAAGGGAACCCCGACCCTTATCAACCGACTGCATCCCAGGCTTCCAACTTTCACTTTAGCTCTCGCAAAATAATACAACCAGCACCACTGTTTCACAGTGCAACCGACGATTTCAGAGAGGAGGATGATGAAGCTGAGCACGAGCGTGAAATAGCAGATTTTTATGCCTTGCAGAAGTCGAGGCGGCATTTTGGTAGCAGTGACTTGAGGGAATCTTCGGAGGTCGATGAAGATGATGACCGAAACTCCTCTTTAGGTGGAAATGATGCTCTACCTCATAATATATCTGGCAACTTTTCGGTAAACGATGCTCGTTGGACCAGAAGACCATCGGGGTATGGGACGCGGAGTGTGGCTGTTTCGCCTCTGGCCAAGGCAATTGCTAACAGAGACGTGGGCCAAAAGGATAACCAGACCAAAGAAGAACTGATCGATATACGGCTTGAAGATACCTTGAAATCCGATGCTGATACTCATGAGACCGTCGATTTTGATGACGAACCTCCCCCTTCGGTGCAACGATTTCGAGAGCAGCCGCAATCGGCCAAGGGTCGTTTTGGGATAGATACCTATTTTACACCAACAGGAAACCAAAATGAAATACTAGTAGACGGCCATCGACCCACAAGCCCAGCCGAATCGCACCAACCGCCAATTACACCGACCAGTGTTGAATCCCCCGCTCAAGATCTCTTCTGGGGAAATCTTTTCTTGATATCCTTGGCTTGTCTTTTTGCTACGTCTTTCCTCATCTACCTCCATACATCCGCTCCTTCCGGAGACAAGTCAAGATGGGGGGATACGGTGTATTTGACCATCCACGGCTCGTTCAAACTTCTTGGGAGCTATACCGTTGTTTCGGTGCTCGTATCATTGCTCTGGCTTGCCTTCTTACGGTCCTACGTTAGGCAACTGGTTTATGTGGTTATATTCGCCGTTCCTGCTATCCTATATTCATTCTCACTCTATCCATTTATTTCAAGTTTCAAAGGTGCGTGGGGCGGAACTAGCCTACAGGACAAGGTCATGAGATGTGGGTCTATCGTTCCCTTCATCATGGCTAGCGTGTGGATCTACAATGTTGTTCGAGGCCGCCATGTTATAGGTAAGGCCGCCGGGATTCTAGAGCTTGCCTGTCGGATTCTCACTGCGAACGCCGAACTTCTAACCCTGGGCCTTGGAGTTCTCGTTCTCATAGTCTCCTGGACATGGGTGTGGATCTTCATGTTCACCAGAGTGTTTCTCGGTGGACATTTGTCTGGTTCAAAGTCATTTGTCGTCAACCTTAGCAGTTGGTGGCTGGCAATCTACTTTGTTGCTGTGTACATATGGTCACTGGGGGTCATTGCCGGTATGCAGCGTGCAGTGACCGCTGCAACAGTGAGCCAGTGGTATTTCCATCGCCTTGCGGCACCCGCCCCGGCATCGCGACAAATAGTCCAGGCAGCCATCGGGCACACACTCTCGAAACTGTTTGGTACGATTTGCTTCTCCAGACTGATGACACTATTGATTCGACTCCCCTTTTTGTTGCTTCCGAGACGCGTGAACTCAATTTTGAGCTTGTTCGCGTTTTCACTTGTTCCTACCCCCATTACCGCTCTCATAGACCCTCTTGTCATAACTTACGCCGCAATCCATTCTCAACCACTTACTGTGTCGGCTCGTGGTCTCACGCAAATGACGAACATATCAGCTTCATTGGCTACGTCGCCACTTCATCCCCAGTCTTTTGCTTGGTCTCGGGGAGGTGTTTCCCCTCTTCTTGCTTATCGACTTTCAAAACTCATCCTTCACGCTGCACGTTTTATGATGTCCCTTGCGCTTGGGTTTGGGGGCTGGGTGACTACTGCGCGGAGCTTTGGCGTGTCCGGAGCTGGCGGCACAGGCCACAGCGGCAGTATGTATGCGTACGTGGTCGGGCTAATTGCTGGAACAATTGGCTGGAGCATCCTTGGTGCTATAGAGGGTGTGATTGCAGATATTGTAGATGCCCTGGTTATCTGCTGGTGCAGTGAAGTCGGAACCTACAATCGAGAAGCAAGGTATTGTCGAGAAGCGGGTTGGCTATTCGGCGCACAGTCCCCCGAGGAGAGACCTGGCTTTAATCAAGCTGAGGCTTGAGCATTTCGACTACAGTCTTATCCACTTCACGCCTCTATTATGGATGTTTTTATGATGAAAGAGCTTAATGGTGCCCAGATGATCAACTTGGTGCTGTTCCGGGGGCTCATGGTTGACGAATTTCGAAGCGATGAACAATTATTATTCTTTTCCTGCGTCGCTCATTTGATAATGAAGAAATGTCTGCATGGACTTGAGCGTTTGAAGACTGAGTGTGCAAATTATTTCCCGGTATCGTAAGTCCCACCATTGGTGATATACTGCGCATTGCATTCGCCTAGCTGGGGTTATGTTTCCGCATTGGTTGTTTCAAATTCATTGCTAGGTTTTTTCTCGGAACTTTGGGGTTATTCGTTTTTATATTTCTAGATAGTCTGTCAAATGGATTGCTTCCTCTAGTAGAGGGCAATTATATGTTGTTGCAGTGTAAGTACGGACAAAAGCCATGGGCAAGCAACAAAATAATGTTATCACGGCATGCCTTTGAGAGTCCTCCATACGGGCTCTAGATTGCTGGCACATGGAAATACTATATGGACGAGCACCTGTCAGATACAAACTATATGAATCTTCTAATATGTAGCCTGTGGTAGCATGGCATGACAAAAGCTACAGTAAACCACAATCATATGCGAAACGCTCCATCACCAAGCCTTAGAACACCAATGGAGAACAACAAAGACCATCAATAAGAAAGGGATTGTATTATGTCGAGAGGTAGAGTGAAAATGAAGAAAGCTTGACGGTCACAGCCTCAGCCGACCACTCCAGCCGACATTCTCTTTGGCACACCATTCCTTCAGCATAACGTAGCCAAAGCGCACCATTTCTACGGGTGAAGTAATCCTCCCAACCGGCAGGAAAAACTCCCCTGCAAAGTCACCAGCTTTCAATTGCAAGATTCCCTGCTGGGAGTAATCCATAGAGCGCTTGGACCAAGTATCGGGAAATTCATGAATAAGAACATCTTCGGGGAGCGCCCGTGACCCTTCGAGCCAGAGTTTCTGTGACTTTTTATAAACATCCGGGAGTCGTTTCTTCAAGTCAGTCAATTCCCTCTGGTACCTTCTATTCTCGTCCGACGCGACATTGTTTCCGTTGCTACCTTGAGTCGACACATGTGTGGACTCCCATGGGAGCGGAGTGACGGTAAGTCGCTCTAGGTCAAGAGCGTGAATTGTACTGTATGATACAGCACCGAGGAGTAGACAAAGGCTGTAAAGTCGGGGATACGGGATACTATTCTTTTTCACCACACGCCAGTATGCAATGATAGATAGCCAAGTTGATGAATCACCAGTCTGACGAGACAAAAGCTTGTGCTGATCATCAGCAACAAAGGCCAGTATAAAGCATAGGATAGCTTCGATAGCCGTAGCGACAGCAAGCTTTTCATCAGCGTCAGTAACATCGTCTTTGGCGGTATGTCGTTCCGCAGCATGTTTCAGCTCCCGACCGAGATTCCCGTGTTTTTGATATTCGTCTTTCCAACTCTTCCGCTCGCCAGTTCGTGAAGACGCGTGGTTGGATGATTGCGGAGGGGCGTTAGCCGCAGAAGACCTCGGGTCGCCAAACGAGGTTTTCACGGCGGAATGGGCACTTCTAGCCTCAAGACCAGCCGTGTCTGGGCGATGTGCTTGACTCCGGTGATCTCTCACCGGCGTCATCGATATCTGCTTCATTCTGTCTTGCTTATGGGGCGCGTTACTCGGTAATCCGGGAATTGGCGTCCTTGGTTTTTCTGGGGCAGGAAGTCTTGGTTCCTTCGGACTTCCCCTAGTGGAAATGGCTCCTGCATGTTTGGAGATTCCAGGTGTCTGCTGGATTTTGCGATCGACATGGGTAGGAACCGGGGCTTTTGTCGTGATCGGGTCGGGTTTTGTCTCCCACAGAGACTCGTCGTCGGAAGGTTCTTTTCTGGGCGAGTTTGACGGTGCCGGCTTTCTCTTGCCAGAGAATTTGAGAAGTGCTTCAACACGTTTCTTGTTCAATTTTCCATACTTCAATCTCACAATGAGCTGCTGTTTGACCACAGTATTACGACCCACGGTCCTCGGGTAGTTTGCCTGCGAGGGCTGCTCGTCGACCTGGCAAGACTCGGCCTTGATACTCTGCGAGGAACGGGGGCTTAGAAGGTCCACGCCACTAGAGAGACGTTTGTCGGATGTTTGTTTTGTGAAATTACTCCGCGGGCTCTGCAAATCACCAGCGGGCGTGTGGTGAATCTGCGGGGTAACATGGTCAGAATGCCTAATTTTTGGGTGTTTCGCTTTCAAGTTATCGCCACTTGGTGTATTTTTTTGTTGTGACGGATCGATGGTCAAAGGCTCTTCGCCGAGGTTGGCAAGTTCTTTCTCGATATGGGGAGGGAGGGTCGGGGATAATAGCTGAGGTAGTCGAGGACTGCCCGATGCTGGTGGAAGAGTAGGTGACAGTAGAGCCGGGAGTCCATCGCAGTTCGCGCCGTCGTTTCTGACTGGTCCCGATGGGCTTGCGGGTGATAATCTCGGTTTTTTTGGAGAAACATTTTGTGGGGGCTTCCTTTCCTGGGGTTTCAACGGTTCATGGTCGCTCCCAAACGGTCGCTTGCGCTCCGCTTTCTCAGGATCTGTGCGCGCATGTTGAGAAGGTGATATTCTTTCGGTTAACCTCTTGGGATTGCTTCTCGGTGAACGGACGGCGAGGTGTCGTTGGTTAGCCTCGATAGGGTGCGTCATTGAGACGCCTTGCTTTGTTTCTTTGGAGCTAGGCGATAATGAAGCGCCGTTCTTTCGTTTGCTCCTATAATCATTCAAGGTGATCTTTGGCTTGACAGATCCGCTTGGTGGTGTGCTCGTGGTGCTTTCAGGCCCTGAACGCTGGTCGGGCATGGCGTTCCCTGACTCGTCCGACCAATCGCCAACAGGAACAAGTAAAGATTCGCCTTCTTGATGTGTTAGAAACGTCATGTATTGAAGTTGCTGTTCGTCGGGAGTAAATGGCCCGTCATTACCCACTGCCCAATTGTTAACAAAACGCCCCCCAAGGCGAAAGGGCACATCAGTAGGAACGGTAAGGAGGAAAGGGTAGAACGGAAGGATCTCCTCTTTCAAATGACTCAATTGTCGATCGATTAACTCCGCCTCAGATACAGATGAGCGTCTGCTGTAGGTTTTGGAATCAACTATATCATCATCCGTGAAGCACGAGGCAGGCTCCACCGACATTGCAATCCGTCGAACAACTAGTGTAGAATGTAACAACGAGGGACACCAGGCCCCCAATGTTATAACGAGCTTTCTACCACACTTGCGTGTTGTGGTCTTGTATCTTCAGTATTGCGCGAGACGCTGATCCTCCTCTGCTGTCGCTGTTGGAAAATGTAGGAACCGAAGACGGAAGATATGGGCGCATCAAATTAAGAGGGTTGCGTATCCAAGGGTTCGACACTCAGCAATGACTGCGAGCGCAAATAGGATGGGAACTGGGCCCGGAAGGCCAAAAACTGCGAGCAAGCCTGCTGCCAGTTGTTTGGTCACATGTATTGCAATCTGGACTTTTCTGAGACGCCCGTCGGCGACTGCGCAAACATCGGCTGAAATCGTCCTACCATGTACATGGAAGCACCCCTTCGCAAGGAGAGTACCTGGAAGACGCCAAGTATATGTACGCTTCAGTATACTCCGGTCGCTGGGCGGCAATCCGCATTGACCGGGTCGTTACGATTGGTTCCTCTATCGGGTGCGAAAGTTGCGACTGTGCCGGACAGCCAGAGAATGGTGGAACGGTGGAAGGGCAGGAGTTGTGTAGGTGTTGGCATATAGAGGACCGTTATACCGGCATGTCTGAGGCGCTTGAATGGATTTCAGGAACAGCTTGAACAGCTCATCATGATGTCCCGTGGAAAGGAAAGGGAAGAGAGGGGCGACGGTGGTCTTTCTGGAGATCGGAAGGCGCGAACGTTGGAATTGGGCTGGAGCCGAATCGGAAGACTTGGCAGTCAATAAATAATACCAGAAGAAATACGGATACGGATACAAAGCATCGACAACTCAGTAATACAGAATAAGAGATACAGTTATACGCAACAGCGAACTGCCTTTTTCATTGCATCGGTCTCACAGACTCTTGATATTGAGCTACTCTCTACTTCCTGATCCATGTGTCTTGTGCCTCTCGGAGCTCCTTATCGGTCCTTCTCTTTCGTCTGAGTGCGTGAGAGAGGAGGACGCGGCTTTAAAACCCGATGGTTATTACTTAGCGTGTCTAGTATGAACGTCCCTTCGCTTGGTGACTGCATGTTTCAATCAGGCAACAGAGAGAAAATGTTCATGAGAAGGACATCCTGCGTTCTCTGTTTGTTGGGAGGGCATTCGCAAGATTTGTCACCCATAAGAGCGCAATACAAGGGACGACAAAACATTCGATAGGATTACACTAACTATGGGGTAGAGTAACCCCTTCTCCATTATCAACAATCCATGGAATCAAGCAGTTGACCCCCACACCTTCTCCACCCAATCGCGGGGGATAAAAAAACCAAGAGGAGATGGTATCGAAATGCTCCAGGCTCACGGTAATCCTCTATCTTAGGAACGATCGTCAGGTGCAAACTTATCTTGCCAAAAGGTCCTGAAATGCTTTTGACCCCCAAGGGTGGAGATTTCTTCAACTTCCTTCGGTGTGAGTTGGAAGTTTAGAATCTGCAGATAGCTACTAAGGCGGGCCTTCTTGCCGCTGGTCGTGATCACGATAGTGCCACGGTCTACAGACCATCTCAACAGAATCTCGCCCTCGCCGACGGCATACTTCTTGGCCAGATCTGACAGAAGTCCGTCAAGCGGCCCACCTCGGGCTCGGGTGGTGGGTGTCAACGGCCCGTAGCTGGCCGTCGCAATCCCTTTGGTCTCATGGAAGGGAACCAACGTATCGTGCTGGAGATACGGGTGGTATTCAATCTGATTGACTGAAGGGACCACCTTCGCTGTCTTCAATAGGGCATCCAAGTGTGTCTGCAGGAAGTTTGACACTCCTATCGAGCGAGCTTTTCCTGCAGCCTTGACCTTCTCCATTGCTTCCCACGCCTCTTGTAGCTCACGATCCGATTTGGCAAAGAACGGGGAGTGTACCAGGTACCTATCAGAGATTCGATAAGAATGTGGAAAGGACCGGCGTATGATGTGGATATGATGGACTTACAGGTCAACATAGTCAAGCTGGAGCTTTTTGAGGCTCTCATCAATCGCTTTCGGGATATCCGCAATGTTCGTCATCACCTTGGTCGTCACGAAGAGGTTCTCGCGCGCCACACCACTCTCTTTGATCGCCACGCCCAGTTCGGACTCAGTGCCGTAGACCTCTGCGCCGTCCAAGTGCAGGTATCCCAGCTTGATTGCATCCTTGATTGTCTCGACTAGCTCACGGTTAATGCCCGTGTCTCCTGTTTTGAACCAGGCAGTGCCTGTGCCATAGCCAACCTATTACCCTGGCATTAGAGGCTCCGTCTATAGTGGTAATTGAAACCAAACACTCACAACTGGAATGGAGGTACCATCGTTCAAGGCAACGTTTGGGATAGCTGTCAGAGAATTGGCGGCCATTGTTAATCGTGCTCAATTGGAAAGAGTTGTGAAGGAAGTACTCTGGTATTCTGCGGGGTAGAAGAGGAGCGGGCCATTTATGTCTAGCGTGTTTGACTTTCGAAGTTAGGCTCCTCTTTATCATTATCATCGGTATTTCGTCATATTTTTGAGGGCCGCCTAGTAAGTATATGGTTTGTTACAATTGGTCCAGTATAGTTATAGTATAGGTATTTATAACCATGAAGTTTAATATCTATCTATTAGCCCATTGCGGATCCGCCCCTAGTCCTAGTAGCACTTATGTGTCGCATTTATTTTCCCATCGTTGATCATCGTTAACATAGTCCTATTCACTCCTCCTATGTTGCTTATACCCATCGGTAGATTCTACAAACACATGTCCCAGGTTGTCTCGCTCCACACCCCCCAATGATACACATAGTCCTCTGCACAATACAAGCCCATCTGGATGTTGTGATTCAATCTGGATCAAAGGATAGGTAAGCTCGAACAGTGGGGCTTTCAAATCCGGTGCCATCTTGTTTGATGCAATATGCAGTGATCGCCTGCAGAATATATTGTGCTGCATGGAATTTTGTGGGAAAAGCAGGCCCATTACAGCCCTATAACAAACCCGAGCCATGTGATGTCGCGTGTGGAGCGTGAGACCACTTTTTCGAACCTTTTAATGCCCACAATTAAGCACAACGGGCGCTGAGAAACCGAGGAAATGCGAGTAGTTATCAATAGGCCGGACTCAGGCGACGAAATACCATTTGGTCTGGTAATTTACCCGAGGGAAATAAACATAAGTTACCAGAAAGTTATGCAATTTGTCAGCCATGGACTTATGATGTCACCCAACGATGTTTACTCTTCCGGTTTGGCTAGTGGGGATGATGATACCGGCTACTCATTAATTACTGTTGCCGCTCATCTTGGAAATCCGACCCAACACACTGTTATATATAGGATTTGGAGCCTCAACGAACGAACTCTGATAAAATCTCCATACTATACATACTATATGGCCCTTTCCTTCGTACGTCTGTCTTGCTGAAACTTTCATTATTCGATAGATAATCACGTCATTGTCTTCACTTCCGGCACGGTTATTATATGTCTTTGCGCAATACACTGTATCAGACACGGGCCATCCAGACTCGACTGGGGCAAATGGCTCAGCACTTCTCAACGACAAGGGGTGTCCCAGGGCTTTCGTTGGCCGAGATCCCCAAATCCAATGTCTTCACGTCTAAGCTACCCGCAGACCCGGCTTTCGAGACCCCCGAGGCCTCTCATCAAGCGCCGAGGCAAACCCTGGGGCCTCGTGCTGTCAGGGGTGCCCTGTATACATATGTCCGCCCCGAACCCGCCGAGGGGCCGGAGCTCCTAGGAATTAGTCCCAGGGCGATGCGGGATATCGGTTTAAGGCCGGGGGAAGAATCCACGGAGCAGTTCAAAGCATTGGTCTCTGGGAACCAGATCTGGTGGAATGAGACGGATGGGGGAATTTACCCCTGGGCACAGTGCTACGGAGGTATGCTCAGAACATGTATCGAGGCAGCGTGAATTCGATGGTTAACGACTCTCAAGGTTGGCAATTGTATGTTTCATACCATCCAGAGAAGTATAGAGCGATGATCGTTGACAGCTCATAGCGGCTCATGGGCAGGCCAACTTGGGGACGGAGTAAGTTTAATCTCTCAATTACATGGCACTGGCTTGGGTTGACATTCGACTCTAGCGCGCAATCAGCCTTTTCGAGACCACCAACCCAGCAACGGGCGTTCGGTATGAACTGCAAATCAAAGGTGCTGGGAGGACGCCCTATTCGCGTTTCGCGGATGGGAAGGCGGTCCTTCGTTCTAGCATTCGTGAATATGTCGTGTCAGAAGGTGAGTTTTGCTAACAGCTATACATTATAATGATGTTCAACATTTTCTAAGATCGGTCACAGCCCTCAATGCATTAGGTATCCCGACAACCAGAGCGTTGTCACTTACTCTGCTTCCTCAGTCGAAGGTTCTGCGCGAACGCATAGAGCCCGGGGCCATTGTCGCGAGGTTCGCGGAGACCTGGTTGCGAGTTGGAAGTTTCGATCTTCCTCGAGCCCGGGGCGATAGGGAGCTCATCAGAAAGCTAGCAACCTACGCTGCCGAAGACGTTTTGCACGGATGGGAATCCCTGCCATCAGCGGTGCCACTAGGAAAAGATGAGCCCCCCGCTTCTGTCGACAGTCCGGCGACAGGAATTCCATGGGACCAGGTACAGGAATTCGAAGGCGTCGCAGAAAATCGATTTGCGCGATTATATCGCGATATTGTCCGGCGCAACGCGAGGACCGTTGCTGGCTGGCAAGCATACGGCTTCATGAACGGCGTTTTGAATACTGACAACACCTCGATCTACGGGCTTTCGCTTGACTATGGCCCCTTCGCTTTTATGGACAACTTTGACCCTCAGTACACGCCGAACCACGACGATCATCTTCTAAGATACGCATACAAGAATCAGCCTTCCGTGATTTGGTGGAACCTGGTCAGGCTCGGAGAGTCTCTTGGTGAATTGATCGGGGCGGGACCTGACGTCGACCAGGAGTGGTTTGTGAAAGAAGGATTAACAGAGGAGACCGCGCCCAACGCCATCAAACGCGCCGAAGAAATCATCGACCGAACCGGAAACGAGTACCGACAAGTATTCCTGAACGAATACAAACGTCTGATGGGCCGAAGACTGGGACTGAAAACCCAAAAAGAGTCCGACTTCCAGAACCTGTTTTCCGAGATGCTGGATACCTTGGAGGCCTTGGAGCTCGACTTCAACCATTTCTTCCGCCGGCTTTCCGGCCTCTCACTTGCCGACCTCGAGACTGAGGCGCAGCGGAAGGAGGTAGCCCCGATATTCTTCCACACGGAAGGATTCGGTGGAATCGGCTACACGGAAGACACAGCGAGAGAGCGCATTTCCAACTGGCTCGAGAGCTGGCGACTCCGGGTTTTGGAAGACTGGGGACCCAACAGCGACGAGGCGCGACAGGCGGCCATGAAATCAGTCAATCCTAATGTAAGTTGCGTGTCTGGAGCCCTTTAAGAAAGAATATATATGTCTAACCCAGCAAAACCCCAACAGTTCCTACCGCGTGGTTGGATCCTGGACGAGATCATTGATCGTGTGGAGAAGAAGGGAGATAGGGAAATCCTTGGACGTGTGATGCAGATGGCTCTTAACCCCTTCAACGATGAATGGGGTATGAACCAGGCCGAAGAAACGCGCCTCTGTGGCGATGTCCCGAGATACCAGAGGGCTATGATGTGCAGTTGCAGCTCTTGAGGTTAGTGTTAGTATAGCTGGTTGGTCATGGAGGTTGAATACTTTGTGGATATTCTCGTAATCCCAATGGAATGGAGTCCTGCATCTTTAATGAATTTTTAACCTTTCTGGTTGGGTAGCTAACATAGAGTAAATGAGGACCAAGAAATGGTGTGAGCAAGACTATAAAGTGATCATTGAGATCTGTACGTGATATCATGAAGCGCACAATGCTTGGACGCGATGTCTACTCTCGACTGGGGGGGGGGGGGGGGGGGATATACTATGGAGCAGTGGCCGTAACATCAATCAAGATGCATGAATAACCGAAATAATGACCTGTACGTACAACAACCCTACCCAAATTTGGGCACCTACTTGTTATTATACTCTGGGTGGAATGGGTGCCCGACGGGACAAGAATAAACGAATTAAGTAGTAGAAGGTCAATCAGAATTTCCAGTAAGTTAAGAATCATGCTTTTTCGTCGCCGACCCGTCAATCACCATCGATGGTATGTTTTCCCCCTCTTCTCCTTTCCTGAATAGTTTTTTTTAGTCAACTCCCATTAAACCCCGCAATACACAAAAATTTCATCACATTTGTCCACCCACAATCCAGACAGCTTGTTAACTTCGACGTCAACTTTGCTGCTCACTTTCGGAACCAGAAGAAGCCATGAATAGGTTCCATGGTAAGTAGATATCTTTGGGGGATATCCCTGAACCGAAGGGGGCGGGAAAGTCACAGAGGAGTAAGCCAAGTTGTGGTTTTGGCCACTGAAGAATTGGGGATATGAACATTCAAATTGCTAAGAAGAGCAGTGTCTCAAAGGAGAAGAGCATCTTCAAGCCCTGGTCCCGCGCACGATAATGTGACAAGAGTAGACAAATGATCCAAAACCGATGTCGACTTAGTTGGGACAGGCAGCCTGGACATGCCCGGGCTGCTTGCAGTTGTAGCAAACGCGCTCGCCCTTGGCTTCAGTGGGACAATCCCGGGACACATGGCCGATCTCGCCACCTAAAGTTATATCGTAAGTACTGAGGGATAGAAATTTGAAATGAAGGTGGGAGGTAAGTTGGACTCACAGTTGTAGCACTTCTGGCCCTGAGTGCAGTCGCGAGCCATGTGGCCAAAGCCACCACAAGAGTAGCAAGTCTGTTGACGGCCACCGAAGCCACCACCGAAACCACCACCACCATAGGCGCCGCCTTGGGAGCAGTTACGGGCAATATGGCCAACACGACCGCACTTGTAGCATTCCTGGCCACCAGCAGCAGGGCCGCCGAAGCCCTCGCCCGCGGGAGCGCCGCTTTGAGGGCATTCACGAGAGATGTGGCCCGTAGCACCGCAGCGGTAGCAAGACTTCTCCTTGGGAGCTACCGTGCATTCCCGGCCTATTGGAAGAAATCAAGTTAGTTATCGGTCCACTCCGACTGATAATGATTAAGGAGGGGAGAGGGAAAGAGGGAAAACAAGGGCGCGCGAAGTTAGACTTACTGACATGGCCCTGGCCTATATCCCAATGATAGATCAGTAAGGATGAATCACAGCAGAGATACGAATTTTAGCACAAGATCTAAAACATACCACCGCAGTTGTAGCTATGGGAACCAATATTAGTAACCAAAAAAATTAAACGAGGAAACACACTAACCAGGTAGGAGTGCCCTTCTTGGGACAGTCGCGGGCCTAGTCAAAGAGAGTAAGAAGATGTTCTCGTCGCAATAATACAAAAATCCCCAACACGTGGAGTATATGATCGACGTGGTTGACAATTGGTGCCGGGGAAATAATTACCTGATGCGTAGCATCGCCGCCTGGAGTGAGAGCATTGTTAGCATTTCTTCCATGCAAGGTGTATTCATTTGTTGTCGGTTCTCCAGTAGTAGAGAGTCTGGACTGAAAACTCAAGGCACAAATCTGTGTCCCCAGGCATTCGCGCACAGTGGCTGAATAACCGCAATATGCACCGAGATTGAATCCAGGACAAACAGAACAGGGATTTAATCCAAGAAGAGGATAAACATCAAACACAAATAGATAACACAAAGATAAACGAAACGGTCTCGTAGCCAGACAGGGAATTGTGGGTTTTTTTTTTTTTTTGGTAGAACAACGTTGAAAGGGCATCGCCAAAACGCCCGAGAAAAAAATCACAGCGATTCGGCTGGCTGGGAAGATTCAGAAAACTCACAGTTAAAGCAGCCGCGGTTTCCGGTCTGGAAGCTCATTTTGACGATCTGGAAATATCGGTAGGGAATGGAGTGGAAGGGAGAGAAGAAATAGAAAGATGAACAAGAGAGAGAGAAGTAAGTGAGGGAGGAAGAAAGGGCTGTTGGCAGAAAAATCCAGGTAATCAGAAATTTACGATTAGCAGGAACGAAACAAATTTAATACAAGATTGTAGACGGAAGGGTTGGTGCGGGTACGGTGCGGGGAACACGCTCGCTGCGCTCTCTTCTCTTCCGACCTTGGCTCAGTCTCCGTCGATTTCTTCCACCAGGAATCCAGACAATTTTCTGTTTTTTTTTTTTTTTTCTCAGTTTTTCCGTGGAATGGAAAGAAGAACAAATTTACAGAAACAAAGAAAAAGGAGAAAGGATTGAAGGAACGGAAGATAACTACAAATTCTACTCATTCGATTTCTGTGCCGGTAGTGGCGGATCTAAAAAAGAAAAAGCTCGGACATCACCACGGCCGCAGCGAGAGGACTCGGAGTAGAATATGCTGCTATTGCAGGTGGTATTGAGGTCGAGTTTGGAGTATGAGGATATAGTGCTTCTCCGTCGGTCAACCTGGAGTGTGCTCCGAGATGGCTGAGAACAAGGGGAACAAGAAAGCCAAGAGTAGTCCCCGCCAAGTTCTTCGTTGGCCACCGGGGGAAACTCGGCATACATCGTGATTTCCAAGTACGAGAACTTGGGAAGACGAGATTATGATTTGCCTATATCGATGCGACGCCATGGTGGTGCTTTCCTCGTGGTTTAGAGTACATATAGTAGCAAACGCTTTCAAGCCATCAACTTCTGCTAAGCCAGAAGTGACGGTACACCTGGTACTTTATTGGCCGAATATATGGTTCATGTAAAGTCGTAACATTCGAGCATTTGCGCTCCCAGTTCCCCCTCTCGCAGCAAAAGCACACGCTCCTCATCAAACCCAATGCATCCACGCACAACTAATTGGTTAGTTATATTCAAGCGAGCTTCCTGGGTCTCGCGCAGACGAGTCCCAGAAAGCAGACCGGCACGATTTTTGTCGGGTTGTGTCTTATTTTCGGGATTGATCTGGATACTGTTTTCTTCTAGCTGCCTTTGGGGCCCGGCCGACGACATCATGGACTCAAGGTCCCATATTCGGATTTCGTCACCGCGAGAGCTGACGGAGACCGCTTTACCGCGATCACTGACATGCACTGCCGAGACTGATGATGTGTGACCCCAAAGTCTTTGGCCGCTTCTCACGGATAAATCTGCTGCCGTGGAAACGACAAGGTACACCGTTAGGGTATTGTCGGGGTGGGATGTTAAAAGATATGGGTGGGAATAGGACACCGAAGTCGGCGGTTCGTGGTGTAATATTGCTGGCCCCGGAGAAAATGAGTGAGAAAGAGGACTCGAACGCTCGTGGTCACCGGACGACCGATTTTCTCCTTGAAAATAGCTTAGGGGTCGGATGCTAAACTGGGAGTCCACCGTGGTGGTGAGCCGTGAACGAATTTGTTGACCGCTCTTGTTGAAATGTAACTCTTGTATACCGAGAGACCAACCACAGCCTATGTGGAAAAAGCTGTACACGATAGATGATATGATGGTCTCGGCCCCGGCCATGCGAAGGGACAATGACATCGACGCAAGGATGCTATCAGCCTTGAGAGATGCAAGCAGACGCGCCTTCTCCATTGATTCTGTTGGGCGTGCCCCACAGATCTCGGTGGGCAATTTAAACAACGATAGATGCTTGTGTTGAGAAACCATTAAAAGATAGGGAAACGACGACGCCATCGCGGTTATCGCCCCGTTAGCAAATTCAGGGTGAGAGAAGCGTAGACTTAGTCGCAAAGTGTCTGGGTCCATGTCGTAGACGTTGAACTGGCCATTCTCGAATCCAACTACAACTTCGATTGAATTTGGCCGCGGACCACGGTTGGTTGTCAACGCCGTTGGGACGGTAGAGCATTGTTGTGCACTGTCTGTGAATTGGACGTTCGCAGTACATATCTTGGGGGTCACGGCAAGCCACACTCTCAGCCCATGCTCCAAATCTGCAGTTAGAACAAACCCGCCATAGAAATTGACAAGCAAAGGTGGACGCTGAGGCTGAGGAACTTCGACCTCTGTCACACGACACAGCCCTCTCGACCAGTTATGCCTGAGGCGGTATTGTCTTTTCCAATTTGGAGTTCGTCCTTCATCGACTAAATGACTATGATCAAGCCACGTAGACACTCGAGGCGAATACTCGGCATTGCCTTGCGGGAAAGTCACACGTCTAGCTTTAACTAGTCGGCGCGCTCGAGGTCGTACCCATCGTGAATAATATTTTCGTTTCCAGAGCTCCGAGTCCCCGGCTAAGGCACGGAATCTCCGTGACAGTCTAAGAGGATAGAATGGGTCGAGTGAGCGATCGCCTCAAGTTGAACCATAGAAGGGAAGGGGCTTTATGTGTCTATCGTGATGTATTTTGCCATACCTTTGACATATAAGTAATGAGGTAACGGGTAAGAAGGAGAGTATATGGAGTAGGACTTCGTTAGTCAAAACGGAGAGGCGGTCGGTAATATCATCGGTGCGAGCCACACGAGCCCGTTTTCTCTGTGAGCTCAATATGTCTCCATCGTTAGATCTCTTCGGCATCTTGCTAAGACGTAGGATTCCGTGGTGAGCATTGAAGATGGCAAGCGATTCCAATGGAGAGAGATGGTCTTTATAGTTAGGTAGTATGTAGTTTGGAAGGTTGATCACCAAGACATCACAGAGTGCTTATCAGAAGACCGAGGGACATTGATAAGGCTAGTGCTGGCCATGATCGATACAGTACCGTATATTAATATGTTCTATTGTATAATATACCGGCGATACATCCTCTCTGAGTAGGGGTAGTACTCTAGCGCACGGTAAGATATGTGGTAAGTTATCTGTAAGGTATTATTACCAACCTGCATCGAGACTCCGGAATACATAAATACTTGACTAAGCCAGAATCAACGCTTCGAGTGACCGCCAGGCACGGAGTTAACAAGCAGGCGAGAGAGTCCTGATCTCTCTGTTGATTGTTCTAGTTCCAGCACGTTTTCACACTATCGGGGCTTATCGTCGATGGAAGTCCTTCGACAGCTTCATCATTCGGTCGCCCAAACGTTTGAGCATACGTTCGATAATGCCTACCGAGACTTGAATGCCCAGCTTGCTGGCCGTGATGCTCGAATCAAGGAAGTCGAATGTTTAGCGGAGGCTGCGAAAGAAGAACGGGATAAAGCCTCGTCAGAGGCCGACAGTTTGAGAGATGAGGTTGCCTTTCTGAGGAAGGAGCTGGGTCATAATGATGTTGGTCTGGAGGACGACAACATGCCCGAAAAATCTGACCAGCTGGAAAAGGCATATGCACCCCAACATGTTCTGCGGCTGCGCGACAGCAATGGCGAGGAAGGCCTAAGCTCACGCCTCAATTCACCAGACTCTCTAGCTGATAATTACGTTGCATTATATGCTGAAGTGCAAACTCTTGTTCAGGTCTCTGGGGAGCTCAGGAAACAAGTCAAGCGACATAAGAGAATGTTATTGCACTTGCAAAAATGCTTTAGCAGGAAATCTTTCACGCTTGTCCTCGAAGGGGACCCCGTCACATTCGAACGCCGTACCAAAGATATCCTTGGGAACAATGGTCGCCTGGTGGATAGACAGTCGGATTCGTCGAACATTGGAGAATCGAAACCAGTTGATCATCACTTTGTGAAAGAAGAAGGCGTCTCGAGGGATCCGACCCCGGAGCCTTTTGTTGCGCATGGTTTGCAATCGTTGAAACGGAAAGCTACGATGCTTGGGCCCTCGATAGAGACTCCCGAACCTAAGCACCCGGATAGAAATGAAACGAAACAGTCTGTTACACCCAATTGTGAACGTACCCGTCCTAGACTGTCCCATAATTCATCGTCCCTTGGGGTCCCTGATGAAACACAAGATTTAGACGAGATCCGATGCACGGTTGAAACCCCTACAAAGGACAGAGGGAACCACCAAGGTCGCTCTGAAAGTTGGTCTGTCCCCACGGAACCTCCCTCAACCAAATCTCCGTATCCGCAATTTGAAAATCCTACAAACGGCCGAGATCACCTTCCTGCGTTTCAGCTTTATGGTAAGAACCTACGAGGTGTCCGTGAGACTAGCCAGTGGCAGCCTGGCAACCGTTTAACCAAAAGCTCGGAGAATATGGCTCGATATGCCGTAAACTCCATAGCAGAAGATGGAGATGAAGGAATACAGGACCTCCCAATAGGCAATGAACCCAAGTCCTTGATGCCTGGAGTTCAATCTCCAGGATCTTCGAGCACAAACGAGCAACAGGCCCGTCGGCGGCTACAAAATCTCCTTGAGAGCCCATTACGTCCAAGACATCCGCTTGGACAAAATGAAAACCATGGTAATCCTGCGGATACTTTACAAAAAGCACAGTACCGTCCTGAAGCCCGGGAGGACCCATTACCGAGGGATAGAGCAGGTATGCCTGATAAGCGGGCCGAAAAGACGATGTCATTACAGACTCCCCTTGCTCCAACGATACCACAAAGCACCAAATCCCAGCCCAGGCAGTCAAGTCCCAGCATGGAAAACACAGATATCCACCCAGAGGATGAACCCCTTCGAGCTCGGCCGCTACATAAGCTTCATCTCAGTCATTTCAGGATTAATCCGGAATGTAACCAAGGATTGGACTTTGCATTTGACTCAGTCCTTCGCAAGAAAGAAGAACGCAAATGTGCCGATGGGTGTACTCGTCCATCTTGCTGTGGTGAAAAATTTCTTGCCATGGCGCGCCTGGGCGGGATTTCAGCCAGTTCAGCAACCTCTCTTTCACTAGAAGATGATGACAAGAGTGTTCTTGAGGAGCACATGGGAAAAGACGCACATCTGCTAGATAGCATGAAACCTGAAGATTGCCAGGCCCTTCTGTATGAAGCGAAAGCAAAGCTTATTGCCAATCGATTCGGGAAACATAGGAACCAGCATCAACGTCCAGCCTCACCGCCTGGATTCTGGCGCACGGATATGCCCAGCACACAGGAGCTAGATTTTGATCGTGAAGAAGCGAGACGAGTTGAAAGAGAAAAGGTCAAGGAACGATATAGAGAGGCAATGCGACCGGGGGGGCTATGGAAGTTTGCGGACGAGTGAGCCTATGTGCGCACTCCACGCGAATTAGCAGAGCTTGAATCCTGATGGAGTTAGAAGTGCCATGATTATGCCTTTATAGGACTACTATCTCAAGCGGTTTTTTTGGTCAATAAACTTGGCTATACAAGCATCGTAGTATTTAGAACCTTTGGTTTACCCCACAACTACTGGTACGTTTGAGAGTGGTTTGATAAGCCGCTAACCTCGGCATATGTATCTTGGCAGGCGCGGGACACGTGCCTTACGGAGTCCGGTCTCTACACTCCCCTTGCTGCTCACAAGTGACACTCCGTCCCATCGTCCTCATCAAGTCTGGTGCCTCTGTAAGGGGAATGATTTGACCGTACTTTGGTATCCATATTTTTGTTCATGATGGATTCTACAAGCGATACCAAGAGCTCAGTCCCTGGTGTGATTTTACGTCCGTCGAAATGGCTTCCGTTGTACGAGGACTTTGTCACCAAGAACGCTAGTTCAGTGGGCCAAGTAGAGTCTGCACTGAGATCTCTAACATATATCATCCCAGGTAAGAACAGGAGTGAACTGGACTGTGCTCTGAATAATGAATACTGATGATTGCGATCTATTAGGACGCTACCGGGATTCCGAGATACCATCAGAATGTGGTATGCATCCAGACGACTATCTACCTATGTTGCTATCCACTGACATGATTCCGTAGTACACTCTGGTGTACAGTTATTAACGCTTTATCATGATTCTCTTGTTTCCCGAGTCGCTTCCGGTCTCCCACCCTCTGCTCGGCCGACGCCAACACCTCATTCGCGGTACACGAAATACTGGACCTCGCATTCATCCTTATATCGCAAGGTAGCCCTTGCACTTCAAATGGTCCAATATACGGAGATACTCTGGGAAATGACCGCGCGACGCCGCGGTGAGAAAGTCCGTTGGCGGGTCGTTGTTTTGATTGAAGTCATTAAAGCGATGTGCCGTCTGTTGTTGCTTCGCCTTACGAACTCCAGACCCCTTGTTAGCCCACCGCTTCCGGAGCGCGAACTTGACCCTAGGTCAACACAAGAGGAAGATGACAGTGACTGGAACGGGATGGACACCCCTGTCAGCGAACGGCCATCGGACTTGAACTGGAATATGCCCCGAACGGGTCTGTCGCTTCCTTCGCTTCCCGATGTGAACGATATATCGAACTATCTCATATCGAAGGTTCTTACCGCTGACGACATCAAATCGCCCAAGTCTCTCTTGCATCGTGTCACTGGCCAAGGCCAACTGGCGGAGATTATGTACATTCTTCGACCGGTGGTTTATGCCCTTGCAATGCAAAGATGGTATAAAAACAAGCAGAGCTGGCGGCCCTGGCTGATCGGCTTTGGTATGGAGTATGGTTGTCGACAGCTCGCGAAGTCTGATTTCCGAGAGAGGGTCGCTGGCGGCCTCAGAGGGCTTACGGGCCTCGAGCGGGAAGAGCTAAGGAAAAGAGGGTGGGCGATGGGTTGGTGGTGTATGCGCGGTGCATTCTACGACAACATAACCAGGTAAGACTTACGCCGCTACTCAAGAAGATAGAGCTAACATGAACCAGACCTTGGTTGAACGGGTTAGTTCAGAAAATGAAGGGCAAACCTCTACTTGACTTGGTGGGAAGTGTCGTGGAAGACTACGAGTACCTGTGGGATAACTTCTACTTCCCAACCGCGACCCTGTAAAGGTCTTTTTTCTCGGACTCCACTGTTTGGCGCTTCATCATCTACTCTAAGATGACACCCCACTAACCGTGTTCTTTACAAACCATTGCTCCTTGAGGTTGAGTGAGTGTTGAAAAACACGCATTTCTGCACCCAAGGGTAAATATTGATGATACCCGATGAGGCCTCGGTCCCTTTCTACTCCTGTCTTTGTTTCCCTTTAACGATGGTCTATCCCATGGTAGATCTGCTTCATGTCTCAAATATTTAATATGGGGTATCTCATTTGTCATGTATCTTGTATCATATACAAAGCGCTTTATATTTTAATCCTCAAAGGACCTCGGCCGTCCTAGATCCAAACCAGTCTCGCAGCTCTTGATCCGAACCCCTTAGGGAGCCGTTGGACGTCAACAAGAAATCCGTCAATTGTGTGTTCTCGTCATCTTCCATAGGCCAATCAACGTTTGTTCCACTCTTCGACTCAAGCATTTCTTTGGAAGTTCCCCAGCTAAACCGGCATTCGTTACCCCATCCAAAAACAGGCTCCATGTTTTTCCGCATCCAATTGACGCATTTCGAGTCGGAAGGATAACCGCTGCCCCAGCTGACCGATGGAGGAAGTTCCAAGTCTACCTCACGTTGCTGGGCTTTCAACACTTCTGCGTGACAGAGATCGAGCGCCACATCCCTAGTGACCTTTGCAGCAACACTTGCAGCACTGACACAGGGGTATAGGGAATCCGCCTTCTTTGCGACAGTGATTTTCAGCGTGGGGAATATCCGTTCCAACTTTTGCTGATAGACCGCGGGGTTGCCGATGGTGTCAATATACACCTCACGGACGTTGATCTTCCTGACCTCGACAATACCGCGAATGATCTCAACCGTTGCGTCCATAGCCTGCGCATTCAAATTGTAAACTCCCGGCGCAGGACGCATCATTCCGGCCGAGATATCACGAGCAGACAGAAGTTTTGTCGCAAATCCACACGATTCGAACAACGGGTTTACCGGCGTACAAATAAGTTGCATCAAATTGGCCCGTACAGCTGGTGTGAGAACTTTGCTGTCGTCGAAGCTGTAGTCCCGAGCTAGGAGTGAATGGTGGAGTTTATGGGGTAGATAGAAGGCGCTGTACACCATGGGACCCAAGACAGGGCCGCGGCCGGCTTCATCGACACCTAGGACAAGGTAGTCCTCTTCCGATGACGTGGATGGGCTTGTCGATGTCTGATCAGGTACCGGAGCAGTGGTCGAGGGCTCATCCTGGGGTGCGGTGGCGCTAGGATATTCCGAGTAATAGGAGAAGGAATCGCCGGAGAATAACCGATTGCAGTCTATGCTAGGAGGAATGAAGATGGAGGACGACTCGTGAGGGCGAGTGGAAGCATCTGGTTGATTGGAGTTTTCCATAATTGGATGGGGCGCGAATTCAACACAGGTGGGAGCAGGCCGATGGTAGTAAGGATACTTGAACACTATAAGGATAAATCAATAAGCATGTACTTGTTCGAAATTAAAGAAAAATGGTGCAGAATTCTTGCTCGTGGGTGAAGTTGAAATAGAAGCATTCAAACCAGCCATCACTGGCTTCTGGGACGCGTTGCGGACCATTCCGGACTAGTGGCCCTTGTGCGCGTTGTTCGCTCGCCGCCATTACAGAATCCCGCCGGTTCCCCTCCACAGTCTCCAACCAAACTCACCTCGTTTCTCAACTGGGTTCTACACCTCTAGCCCGAATTTTTCGCAAAAGTATCGGCTAATAAGTACAACTAATTCCGACCGTTCTACCGCAACCCAAAAGCGGTGTTCCGCCGATCTGGTCTCGACGAGTCCGCCCGCGAGAACCACCACTCATTTACTTCTAAACGTCCGATCAAACATTCGCAACGATGGCTCCTCGAGGGTCCTTAAAACCTCGCGAATATGACTTCTCGAACGTGGGTAAAGCTGGAAGGTGAGCATCTCCACATGGCCTGCAAATGCTGTCATATCCGCCCTGGGGAGGGAGCTAATGCAAGTCGTGGACGGCTACAGGCGCACGGGGCTTACCCTGAAGGAAGGGAAGCGCGATGAATACGGAATGGAAGAAATTGAAGGAATGTGGTCATCTCCTGAGAAATCGCCCATAGGAGAGAACGATTTCGACAGCAGGCATGATGTTTCCGACGGCTCGGATGGAATGTCTATCGACGAAGGTACACGCGCGCACACACAACAAAGAAACCCCGGTGCTGACATTTCGCTTTGTGACTGTCAGGGAATGGCCCTGCTCCTGCAGATTATCTAAATGGCCTGAACAGCAGACGCAGCCCTTTCTTCCCCCCGCCCGTTGCACGTTCGCCCGTCAAGACCGGCTTGAGCGGCTCCCCGCGGAGGACCCCCGGCTTGCGATCGTCCCAGAGTCCACAGCGCGATATACCGTCTTCCAGCCCCTCGGATGGTAAAGGCCATGGGAATGTGAGGGGAGACTCCCGGCCCGATGTTTCGCCCCTGACCAATCGCTCTGTCAACGCGCCATCTCTCAACCAAGTCAATAACAAGCGGAATAAGGCGAACGCTAAGGAACTGGCGGCCGCAGTTTATTTTTCGGACAGCGACGCGAACAGCCCATTGAACGGAGACGAGAACGCAGGTGTAATCGATCATGTACAAGAAGACTTCTCAAATAGCATCGACGGCGGTGATGAGACAATGTTAAGCGATCACATGGAAGACCCGGATCGAAATCGCGAGGATGAAGAGCCGCTGTCGCCTGAGGCCCCTAACCGCAACGAAGAACAAGCCCCGGATACCACCATCAAAACAAGACGGAACCCACAAAACAAGAAGAATAAAGCACAGGACACAGCGCAGCAGAACAAGCCCGAAGCAGAACAATCGACGAAACGCAAGCGACCTGGGCGACCCCCCAAATCGCAAAGTACGGGAGATGCCGATGTAGAGGGGCAACGCGCATCAAAGATGGCCAAGCCGTCCTCGAAGAGAAGCCGAGAGCCGGAGGCCTCGGGCAATCCGGAGTTGGATAAGGTCGTCGAGAACTATGTCAGCCGTACAGGGCCTCTAAAGGGTCGGAGCCTCCATATCCTCAAGCGGGAGGCACCTAGCGAAAGCGGCGCTACGCACACGCGGTCAGGCCGTGTATCTGTCAGACCGCTCGCTTATTGGCGCAATGAGCGGTGTGTTTATGGGGACGGGGATGCTTCTGAGGGCCAGAGATACCCGCTCTCTACGATTAAAGAGGTCATTCGCACAGAAGAGCCAGAAACCGGGGCAGAGAAACGGGGCTCCAAAAAATCCAAGTCGAAAAAGAAACGAAATCAGGCTGACTCTGACGACGATGCCGAGTATGCGGACGATTGGGAGAAAGATGCTGGAGTTCTCCATGGCTTTATCAGGAAGTGGGATCCGGAAACTCAAACGGCCACAGAAGATGACGAGGTACTCGGTATGGGCAATGCTTTCCTATCCCGAAATTGCTATCCGCTGACCTATTCGTGTTCACAGACATCGCGTATGCTCCTGTTGGCATTGAGACGAGAGATGTCAAAGGCTCCAAGTTCCGCTTCGCCAAACTTCTCAGCTCATCATTTTTGGGTTCGGGCATAGTCGAGCTGCCTCCCGGGGGGATAAAGAAGCCGAAAAATTCCAAGAAGATGCACATGGTATTCTACGTCGTGAGTGGCAGGGTCCAAATCGACATTTCCGGGGTGCAATTTAGTGCAGGCAAAGGATGTGTATTCCAAGTCCCTAGGGGTAAGTCAGATGTCCCGCAGATTTCCATACGCGCGGCCAGTCGGCCACTTACTGACATACTTCGTTCGCGCCAATGCAGGGAATTATTATAGTTTCGCCAATACACACGCGAAAGATACTCGACTCTTCTTCACCCAGAGTTGTGTTCCGACGGAAAGCGAAAGCGAAGGCGCCGAGCCCGATCCCGAATCTGCATCGAAATTCGGCAACATCGAGGATGAGGCTGCGACGCCAACCGAACGTCCAGCGAAAGGTGGGAAGGGCCGGCCTAAGAAACAGAAGGGCAAGGCTGGCGGAGCCAAGGCCGGCACCAAGGCTGGTACCAAGGCTGGTTCCAAGGCGTCAAAGTCATGATGGGGAAGACCCGACACCCTCAAGAACTTCATGCAGTCTAGTCTTCCGCTCGACTCCATCCTCTTTTCTCAAGTATCCTTTCTTTCTCTGCTATTCAGCCCATGTTTTGCTCCATTTGGGACCTGTGGGCGGACAGTGTCTTCTTCTGATACACAATATGTTTTGGAGTTTATGTTTTGACTTTAGCGATTGAGTTATATGGTACTGTGACTATCTAATTAAGCTGCTGGTATATTTTTCTTCCCCCAACTTCAAGAAGGTATATTTTTCTCCATGCTTTACAACCAGGCGCTTGCTTGAGATTGTCCTTCTAAGTAATACTTCGGAGCACATGATAAGACAGGTCTAATATTTAATATGAGTCTTTACGTCGTCGCTCTTACCAGTCTTCCCCACTCAATAATCATCTAGGCTATCCCAACCACATCCCCCTAAATCTCCTCCAACTCATCCAACTCATCATCAAGGCTCAAAGGCGGAAAATCGCCAACCTGAACTTTCTCCGGCTTGACAAAAACGCCCGTCTTAGGCGGGCACGTGAAGTAGCGCTCGCCGCCTACACTCCCATCGTTCTTCCCTGTCGGCTCGTCCAGCTCGATCCCGACCCAGATTGGGCGCGCGCTGGACTGCAACTGCGCGTCGGCTTCTACGCCGGGGAATGGGATCGTGGGGGCGGGGCCCACAAATTGGATGGTGCCGCGGCGGATGTGTGGCGGGGAGGAGGGGAGGATGATTGCGCGTTGAGAGGTGGTGATGTCTAGTAGGTTAGTTTTTCTCTTTTTATTTGTTTCCTTCTATCTCTCGGATTGATGGTGAAGGTGAAGTAAAGGTGGGAAATCTCACTTCTTTGTTGGACATCCTCAGCATCTTTCTGTGCCTGCGCTTGCATCAACTCCTCCGGGGACGAAGCATTAGGGTCAAAGCGGCCGAGCTTCTGGTTCTTTTTCCACGCGAGGACAGAGTTGGGAAGAGTCTCGTAGGTCGACTCCGGGAGAGTATACTTCTCCACAGAGGAGAGGTCAGTGAAATTCGGGCGTGCGCCCTGAGGACGGGAGTCATGGACCTAGACGATCAATTAGCTATCACCCATGATATGGTCACGTCGCGACTTCGCGACTGCAGTTATGGAAAGAGAACGGGAAGGGGGCGTACTTCAATCTCAGACCCCTTTGTCAAGCCGTAGTTACCAACACTGGAGTCGTCCTGGTCAAGCCATTGATCCGGATGTCCCGGCGTCTTGAGCCGCAGTCGTTGGCATCCGGGTGGAATCCCTGTCATGGTCTCCAATTTGCCTTTGAGCTGCGTGACTGTCCATGTCGGGGTGACACGGCGCTCGGTGATGAACTGCGGGCGATCAGTCGTGTTGGCGGCTGGTGTTGTGATCATGACGGAGATGTCCGTCGGGGTGGGTTGGAACGCCATGTTGGTTCAGAGTTGGCGGTCCAGGAGGTTGGCTGGTTGAAACTCTTTAAGAGATGATGTGGCCGCTTCTGGGCTGTCTTTTAAACACAAGGTCAGGTCTTAGGCCTTGATGATGTTGGACATTGGACGTATAGTGGGGGAGTGAGGGGCAGTGAGGATGGATAGAACATGTGAGAATGCTCTGGTCTCAAGGGTGTTGTTTTGATTCCAAGAGCATTTTAAACGAGGCTCAACCCCTTTCTCGCCTACAGCCGACAAGGCTGTGCCAGGTAGATTTGGCAGCTAACTATATAGCAATGACTCACGTTGTATATAACAATCTAACGACAATCTTAGTTCTTCTGCGGTAGTGTATGTGGAAGAGAGTATGTAGGGAGTGCTAGCTATGGAAGAAGACCCTGTATGAACATTCGTACCTGTATTAGGGGTAGTGAAGCAGTGAGTGGGTCGTGGAGAAGTGGCTACTGAGGCGATAGTCGACAAACAGACAGGTTGATACTCCATATCAGGCGAGAATATCGCCGACTTGCATGGAATTAAGTTATCCACGCACGTGGCATGTTAGTCAGATATTTGATGTGCACAATTTATGGTCATTATTTGCATGGCATCTGTCAGACACTCATGACTAATGACAGTATACACATAGCTTGATTTCGCTATGTAGACAGCGACAAGATTTCATCATCATCTATCAATCATAATAGATATACAAAGAATGACAACTACTAGTTCAATCAATCAATATATAATAGAAATTGATACAAGTAAGCCCTCGACAGGTATATCAAATCGACGAATTTCTCAGAAGTCACCTGACATCAAATCCAAATGGACGATCCATCCTTCCACTACTGACTGACCAGCCAAGGAAAAGACATAGAAAAGACCTAAAAGGAAGACACCTCGATCGACCTACAACATGCCCGTCGTGGATAGTTCCTACAAACCCAAATAAATCCTCCGAATTGACTACATCCTCATCGATCTATCTACACTCGCCTTTCGCCTTTCATCATTCTCGTTAGCCGTATCTTCGATTTTTTTTTTTTTCTCCCCCACTCCACTTCCCGTACTGGTCTTTCTCTTCCTTGTCTTGTCCTGTCTTTCTTCTTGGCTATCGTCTTTCCTGGTGGAAGCAATAGGTCATACCTAGCAAACCCATCCCCAAACCTAATACTACCTACCTACTTACACCCATATATCCCACAATGTCGTCATCAGACATACCTACACCCGATCCCTCAACCCCCAGCCAACACCCAGACGAAGTAGAAGAAAAGAATGTCCACGAAGTGTACCAGCAAATCGCAGGCCATTTCTCCTCCACCCGTCATAAGGTACCTACCTACCTACCTACCTATCTTTACCCCCCTTCATCCCCTCTTGCTCTACTGTGGCTACAAGTTGCATGTTGCTAATACAGCGCTATCGGGCTAGCCATGGCCGATGGTGGAACGATTCCTCCGCGGCCTGACTCCAGGCTCTGTCGGGCTGGACGTGGGATGCGGGAATGGAAAGTATTTGCCAGTGAATCGCGATGTGTTTATAATTGCCTCTGATCGGTGAGTCCTTCCTTGCATTTTCTTAGGTATCATCCGCCGTGGGATTACGTGGTGCCACTGTACGCGCCATCATTCCTATGTACGTTGTTTGCCTAGCTTGATATGCCCCATCGTCAGGGGGAAAACGTGATATGTTTTGTATGTGCTATGTACATCCTAGATTGACCGATAATGCCAGTTCCGACAAACTTGCCCAAATTGCCGTACAGCATCAGCCACATTCCACCATCGTGGCTGACATCCTTAATCTACCGCACCCAGAGTCCTACTTTGACTTCGCCATCTCAATTGCGGTTGTGCACCATTTGTCCACCCCGGACCGAAGGGTTCTAGCGATTCGCGAGATCCTTCGCACTCTGAAACCCGTGGACGAAAACGGATCCGGGGGTCGAGCGCTGGTCTATGTCTGGGCCCTGGAGCAAAGTTCTAGCCGCCGAGGCTGGGACAAGGGCGACGCACAGGACATTATGGTGCCCTGGGTCATGAAGGGGAAGCCGGCGCCCGGAGGCGCTCCAACTGTCGAGCCCAAGGTATTCCACCGGTACTACCATCTGTATAGCGAGAAAGAGTTGGAACAGGATATCCACGCCGCCGGCGGGCGTGTCGTGGAGTCCGGCTATGAGAGAGACAACTGGTGGGCAGTTGCAACACGAAATGACTAAAGAGCATTGTAACGGAGAACTGTAATATGTGCTCCGAGATCCAGTCTCGGAGTATCGGCACCTCACATCATATTGGATTCCGTAAAAGACGAAAGAGACAAAGAAATCGTCACCTCGGAGTTCACATCCGAGCCCTCCCATTGCAGGAGGGCCCAGTAATAACAAACAAACAAAGGAAAACAAAAAATAAAGATAAAAATGAAAAAAGGGAAGCGCGCACATATTCACAAGAATAATCTATGAAAAACAAAATCACCACAAGGGTTGCCTCCAACCAGCGCTATGCAATTCGTAACACGCAAAATAAACACATAGATGTCGTAAGATTTGACCCTAAGGAAGGGTCCGAGGGGGCGGGCCAAGCGCAGGGCCCAGGTGACCGTGACTGCTGGCCAAATCTAGCGGTCGTCCTACTCGGTAGGGATCTCGTGGAAATGCAAATGGCGGCGGCGTAGGCGCATATGCGGGAACACCAGCTGTGAGCTCTTCGACGGATGGGAGTTGTGGGGCTTGGATGACGCGTGAGACGGATGGTTTTCTCGGCCTGGATAGAGACGTGCTCGCTCTGCGGGTTCTCGGGGCTGGCGGGTCGATGGCTGTGCTCGACAGCGAGAAAGGAACAACACCGGCTCGGCGGGCCATCTCCTGTTCTCCCAATTGCCAATGCATGGCCTCTGCCGCTCTCCAAGGAATCGCCATTTCCTCGGCTACCTTGGACCACATTTCGGCTTTGAATCTGCGGTTGTCCGACGTTAGCCTTCTATCTGCACAAACCCTTTTCTGTAGTGTCGTTGCCAATATCGAGCAAGGGTTCTTTCAAGCCAGGCTCTATTTTGGTACACGCTCACCGAGCGTAGGGAAGAAGAGAAAGAAAAAAAAAAAAAAAAAGAAAAAAGGGAAAAAAAACATACCTCTCATATAGCCTCGCAAGTTTATTCTTTTTGTCTTCATCCCATTCGCTCCTGCGCTCTAAATAATTCTGATAGTGGAGGCGGCAGCTGATCGCACTTCGTCCGGGAAGTCGCTTGCTGATATCTTCCCACTTCATGCCACTTCCCCGTAGCTCGATAATCAAGGCATCTTCTTCTGGTGACCATTTAGACTGCTTTTTGGCGGGCGATTCCGCGGCGTGGCCAGGGTGGAGGCGCTTGGCTGGCACCGAGCTCGACGCCTTGATGGGGAAAGGTGCCACCGTCGGGACCGGGTTCGGGGCGGGTACTGACATCGCAGGGGCCATGGGCGCCGGCGGCAGTGGATTCGGTGGAAGGGTGGACGCAGAGGTCACCGGTGCCGTCTCCTCCTCATCTTGAGGTTTTAGTAGTAGTGAGATATCCACTTTGGCGGGGGGTAGGATAGGCTGGTTTTGTAACGCAATCATATGCGCGATTCGCAAGGAGAGATCCTTCTTTTTTGTCTTTCCTTTGATCAAAAGCGAGGGAGGGGCCGTCCGAGTTGGTCCAAATGTTCGGCCAGTCCTTTTGGCGAGATCAACTCAAAAAGGAAGCCGAAGAATGGAGAAGACCTGAGTATGGGAGAATGAACCAAGATGATTTGAGGTTCCAGGCACTCGTTTTTTTTTTCTCCTTCTTTTTTAAACCTTCTTTCTTTCTTTCTTCCTTTTTTTTAATGTTCGAGAAGAGATGATTTGTCAGGAACTCAGTGACTCGATCTCAACCGGGGAGATGGGTGGTTTGTGGAAAGTCAATGAATGGATTGGATGGTAGGTGTTTCGTGTAGTCCCACGTCACCACAATCGAGTCTAGCAGAAGGCGAATATGGAAGATAGAGTGTTTGAAAGAGTTGATATATCCAAGAAGTCAAGGCTCAAGATATCCCAACAACAAGAAAAATAGAAAGGATGGCTATGAATCTCGAAGGTCAGTTGAACCTAGGTCTAGAATGCTAACCAACGACTGAGGTGGAAAGGAAATCGAATCAGGTAAATGAAAAGCCGATGACCGATGGTGGGAAGATGGGAGGGGGGGGGGATAAGAGAGAAGAGAAAAGGAAAGAGGAAGAGAGAGAGAGAGTGGGAAGAGAGAAAGGAAGTAGTTCAGAGGGGAAAGGAGGAGGAAGACGGACGAGATAGATGAAACACACTTTGAGATGCATAAGAGGTGATCATCGACGGTGACAGCTGATCTAGCAGCGCAAGACAGCAAATGAGAGCGCCAGTAGTAAGAGGACTGGGACCATGGAAGGTGGGATAGGTATGGATGGGGAAGGAAGGGTAGAAATTGGACCAAGCTAAGAAGTAGAAGCCGAGTCCAGCCAGTCCGTCCAATCCACCTGTGGGCTCGGAAGGTCGTGAATATTCAATTCTCATTGAGCAGAGGATAAGATGGGTATGGGGGAGGGAGGGGCGGTCGAGACGGTTGGTGAGAACAATAATAATAATGGAAATAATAATAATAAATCAGTCGATGCGAACTGAGTTCCAGGTTTGGCAGTTATGGGTCCATCTGGTTAAATGAACTAAATTGGACTCTTGAGCTCCTACGGGATACGGTACCAAACCAACTGATGGAGAGAAATTAAGATGTAAACAATAAAATAATACAATAGAATCGAAAATTCAAATAATAGTTAGACCATGATGGAGATGAGAGAATAATCAGGGCATGGGAGTGTCTTCCATAGCACTGATGGTCAAACCACCACTAGGGAAAGGACCAACGGTTGACGTTTCAAGAGACGATTAGGATCCTTATTCCTATTGTAATATCATCATCATCATCATCATAATAATAGTAACGGTACTATCATAATAATTCATGACTATCAAAACGGGGGTTGTGGTTCCACCCCGCGGGTACTATAACTCAAAAGGAAGGCTTCACTGGCGGTCAAACCCTCTGCTTCTCCTCCCGAACATTCGAGCCCAGACTCGGTTTGGATGATGACTCGGTGGTGAGTTGGCTGGGAGGATTCATGTCGTTGACCTAAATTTCTACCAGACTGGGCTGCATCGTTATATGAGAAGCAGAAAGCATACACTCATCTAAGAATAAACATGATATCAAATTCCGGGAATTGATTATTGTAGGGAAAGAGATGACTCTGTATGTGTATGGATTGAACAATGATAACTCTTGAATATGATCTTGATTAAAATTATAATATTCATTAAATAAAAGAAATATATAAAATAAAATCAAAGGAAAAGACGGTCTAAGCCACCAGCGACTAGAATCTTGCATACCCGGGAACCCTGGTATCGTTTCCCTCCTGGGAGATTTTTCTTTTTCTTCTGTATTTCTTGGTTTCCACCTCCTTTGAGTATAGGGCAAGATCACAGAGGTTCGAACAAGAAAAACCGTAGACAAAGATAGATAAAATAAAAATAAAAATAAAAACAGAGAGAAGAGAAAATAAGATTAAATCAAATAGAATGAAATAAATAGAAACAGGTTCTGTGGGGAGCTGGTATTATTATGAACTCCGAACCAGAGCTCGAATTAGCCTTCCAAAGAAACTCCAACCAAGGTGGGATCGTAGGCAATGATGCCCAGAGGTATGCGTAATAACTTAACCACAGCTAAGGTTCTTCTCATTCAAACCCTTGTCACCTGTCAGAATTACTAGAATAACACCAGCTAGAAGGATGAAAGGAGTGGTCTTCTAGGAAGTAAAATAAAGATTCGAAAATTAAATAGGATAAAAGGAGAAAAAGAAAAAAGGCGTTATGTATCAATATTTCCGCCCAGATGTTCATACTCAACATCCTCTCCCGTCATAACATATCATGGCTGACTGACTATTCTCTTACCTCTCCTGGTTGGCTTCTGATGAAAAAAGGAATGATCAATAAGTTGAGATTGAAGGTTCCAACTTTCCTCCAATCCAACGGTCGATAACCAACCAATTAGTGGCATGCTACGACCACAATGGATCTGTCAACGGCGAACGAACCCCAAGCCCCGAAAGGCAGGTATCGACCTAAATAATATTGCTAGGGAATACGCTACTGGGATCTCTTCGAACCGTTCGCCTCGTCCAACTTTCTGCACCCCACGGCCTGGCTGACCGAACTTGTCGACCCATGGGCTAAATCTTCTTGTAACCTCGTTATTCGACCGGATTTCTTGGTTCGATTAATTAAATAATCAAAACAAATTATATTTATAGCCATTGGTATGGATCTATACGGATCGAAATTTACACCTTTGCAGCCTTCTTCAGAGACGAGGATAGTGGATTGTTAATATCGACTACGTAGTACGTACCCCATCCTACCTCTGCTTCTCTTTCCTTTATTTTTTCTTCTTTTCTTTGTTGATTTATTCCATTTGACATTATTACTTTCTCTTCAATTGCGACGGAAATTAAATCACACAGTCAGCCTGTCTTTGAAATGAAGATGTCCCGTAATAATAGCATAGCCCAAGTGATACATCAACCCGTCCACCACTTTCCGTAGTCTTGGGACGCGGCAGCTCTTCCACCGTTCACCCTTACATTTCCACTCTTCCATTCTTCTACTTGGCATTCTTCTGCTACACTCGATGAGTACGGAGTACTCCGTACTGAATGTGCCATTGCAGGCCGTTGTGGACACGGACATCAAGGTGGAAGAGAAACTGAATGATGACCGGATGTGCTTTGCAGCCCAGCATCGTGTCATGGCCCAGGACGTCTGCCTGCGCCATCCTGTCACACCCCGACCAAGTCGAGCCAGATCCAATCATCAAACGAAAGGGTCGACCGACCCAGGAATCCGATGTTTGTTTGAGATGAGACTCCAGTGAGGCCCGGGGGTCATTTCGGGCTCAGTTCAACTGCGGTTCGTGACCATGCCTATGATTACTTACTGTGGAAACAGTCGAAAAATTATAAATTATAGAAAAAAAAAAATCATAATAAAAAAAACAGTCATAAGAGAAGAAAGATTTCATCCTGTCGCTTAACCGTCCCGGGAAGCGTGGACAGGAGCGGCAGGATTTCATGCGATCTCCGGGTCTCGACAAGTCCCTGTTTAAAATTGGAGACTGTTGATCGTGTCGGGCTAGAAGCCTGGAACCGCCAAACGCAAGCACAATACATCGATCCAGGCCTTTTCATTATTTATTTTTGATTATTTTCATTTTATTTAATCATCTGTTATTTATTCGCGTCAGCGAGATTATTGCCGACGCGTTCTTCCGACCTGCAGAGACGACGGAGTCTTTTGCCCAGAGCCTGCAGATCGATCCTCCCTCTCCTGGGTGGTTTCCATATTATTGAACGCCGACGAGGAACGGACTAGTTTGTGGCTACTGGTTACGGGCTACAGAACAGGAGGTCAGTCCTCGTGGTGTCTTTTGGCCTGCTCCATGTCTCCACCACGGGAGATAGAAAGACCTAACTATCGGCCGGCGTGACCGAACCGTATATAAGTTCGCATCTTCATCCGGAATAATCGCACCTACTGCCTAGCTAGGTAATTGGGAGTGAGTACCTCAGTCCAATCAACGAATAACTTGGATTAGAGACGTGATGAATACCTAGAAACTGAACAAGATACCAACATGATACATTGTAGCACACACTAAACTCCTCAAGACACATGGTTGATGAACAGATTAGCAGTCAGCTCAAACAGGCGATAATGTGCGGAGTATTTTTGGACCAAGGGTTGGGCTTGCTTGTTTTTCTTTCTTCGAACGACGGGGCTGCGGGAACAAGGGGGGGTTTCCGCCAGACTGCAGTGCCTGCAAGATTACCTAGGGACCAACGGGGATCCACTTCAACGGTGTCCGCTTGTCTGGATGGGGGAAAGTGTCTACTATTGTTCCGACAGTGGCGGTGGAGAGGATCCAGCGTTGGTAGTCCAACCAGCTGGCTGATAGATGTGGGGCTGTATCTCTTTTTCTTTTTTTCTTTCTTTCTTTTTGTTTTCATTTTTTAGTATTGTTTGTTTATTACGCAGGACTCCAGTGACGGCGAACTGGCGGTTTGAAAAACCACTCGCTACCATTTCCCAAAGCCTCATCCCGGGGAACGAAGACATATTAATCACCGATCAATTTATCAATCTATCAAAAATAATGAGATAAACTTCTAAACCAGGCAGATTCATCCCCGGGGAACCTTGACTTTACAGCGACCACACGTGCTAAACGCCTGTAAGGATCTGAAGATATCAATCTGGAACAAAGAGTCCGGGATACGAGTCTATACGGAGTTCTCCATAGTTAGGTTCTCTATCAAGAGTGTTAAAGTAAGTAAATAAGTAATAGACAACTCAATAATCAAAGAACTCATTGATAGATCAACTGAACCCGTGTTCAATATTATCCAACTACTGCGTACATGGTGTTTAGACCTGTAAGTGTGACTGCATGATATTCACTGGAATAATCTCCGAATGCTCCCCATACCCACATCATGCACATGTGTACATACATATCTAGGATGACCCTATACACATCCTTACGATCATCTATACAACTTCTTTATACCAGTCATGTTGACTGACACAAAGAAGATCATGACTTGAATCTGATTGTATACATTTAGTATTTATTTATGATCCTGATAATACTTCATCAGGGCCAGATCCAAATCATGACAGGTAACTTCGATGATAATTGGTAGTCATCTTGCATAACACGTACACCACTGTATCCATGAACATATCCGAGGTCATCTCATCCGACTCCCTCCCCTCTGGCCCTGTGACGTATCGGCTCATAGAGAGAGATAATCCAGCGTCCTCCTATTGTGGTAGCAGGAAGAACCCGAGGAGACGAGACACCTATTACCCCAGGGGGAATAAATCTAGCAGGATCAAACTATAGCATTTAGAAAAAGCTCACACAACCCTGCTAGGAAGGAGATGGAGAACGGTATCTCGACTATCAATACCAGCACACATAATCAACCCTCATTCAATCTGGAACAAACCCAGTCCTTGGTCCATCCAGCCCCGGTTATTGGTCACCATGGCGTGGAACCCCCCAAACAGGGATACCGCTACTATATTCTATTCCTGGCTCAAAGTTGATCGTCACTGAACACGCCCGAAAAGAATTAAGAACGTCAGCAAAAAATGTCCGACGCGGCGACGACCCTTTTAGGGAGGGGGAAGAGTGGGGGGGAGAGGCCCCAGGCCCCACATTATCTCTAGTCTTTATTGAGTTCGTTGTTGAGTCGTAGTGATCCATCTCTTTCCTCTTCTAACAGTCGCCTAATTATCAGACGATAATATCTTATTTTTTCTTATTTCGAATTTTTCTTTTTTGTGTTTACTGATTCGCTTTTTCGTATTCATCATGCTGTCCTATTTGTTACTTGTTAGTTGCTACCCATGACTACACACCGCCTGTAGGTGATCTGTATACCTACCTACCTACCTACCCACCACTGACAGTACACCTACTGGTAGGTAGGTACCTGGGTACCTGTACCTACCTAGCTACCTAACCCATAACTGGCTTTGGCCAAGATTAGGTACTAGTTTCCAAACATGCAGAGTTTGGTACCCTCGTCATGGGAATCTTCCTCACCGGTTCATACGGTCCTACTGAGATAGATTAACTGATTAACTACAGTACATCAAGCCACCGACCGAAATAAAAAAACAGGCCGATGATGAATCCATTGGCCCGCAGGACCCTCTGGAACGGCCGCCCTACTCCGTATGGAGCAGGAGCTCGAGTGGGAGTGGAAATGGGGGGTTCGGGGTATTAGGAGCTTGGCCAAATGGGCGCGAAGGAAAAAAAAAAAAAAGATGAAGGATCAGGAATCTCAACAAGATGAAACGGTCTACCGATCGTCATTATTATTATTACTGTTTTCTTTCGTGGCAAAGCCGGAAAGTGGGCCCTGAGGCTACGGAGAAAACGGTTGACAATTCGACGCTGCCCAACTGTGTGGGACCCGTCGGGGGATTTGAGTTGCTTAAGGTCTAGATTTGAATCGGCAACACGATTTGTCGGACTTGTTAAGCTCTCGGTAGTCTTGTTTTCTCCCTTATGTATGGAGTTGTTGGTATACGCGGGTGATCCTGGTGATTTCTTCCGGTCTATCATTTCTCTGTGTGGCGCTGATGCTAGGAAAGAGGCGCAGAGTGTTATTACATCAGGGGCCCGGAGGAATCTACACCAGCTCGCGAACCGAGCCGGTCGTTCGGAGGGACTGAGTGATGTTCAGGTTTGGGGTCCCCGCCTCTATATTGATTGGCCCAGTTGGGGTGGGTAAGAGGTCAACGCTGTTTGGGGTTTGTCAGGAGCCATTCAGGTGTGATTGCGCTGACAGAACGCCGAAGTCGAGACAAGAAAGAAACATATATCCTGGTAGCTTTGGGATCAATTGAAGTGGCTGGAGACAAAGATGGCGTTCTTTATTGCCTCATGTATATGACCGCGGCCTGAACCATTCGACTGGTCGCCTGGCTACAGGTTATCATCCGAGGTGCGGGCGAAGAGACAATCAGCCATGTCAACCACCAGGCATGACTCGACAGTCGACAAAGGCGACACGGGAATAGTTCCTACTAGAGTAATTCGGGCGAGAGCACTCGTGTGGGAAAGAAATCCGCTTTTCAGAAAGATGAAACCAGAGTGTGGGGAAGAGTCTGGCCCTGACAGGCTGACACCACTTCCCCCCGAGGCTCCTACCAGGCCATTGAAACAGGGACTGTGGACTGTCAACATATCATCATGGTCATGGTTTAGCTTTCCACATTTCCCAGGGAAAGAACGGGTTCATGACGAGTCCGAGACCGTCCAAGCATCTGGTCTAGACTACGGGCTTCCCTGGTTTGGGACTCCGAAGAAGGGGATCAAGGCCACAATTAATTAAACTCCGTAGCAGAAGAGCTCCACCGTTGTTCCGTCAATATCCAATATAACCGTTCACCGGAGGTTCATCAGTGAGCTGCTGCTTTTATCTCTCTGATGGAATATCGATATGACAACTTTTAAGGAATCGTCCGACGTCATGAAGTGTTTACATATGTATGCATATATGGAATGAATGAAGACAATCTAGACCCAGAACTCTTGGAGCTGTAAGTATCTCCAGTATAATAGTATCTGAGTACATCCAGCTGATGCCAACATGTTGATCCTGGCCATGACCCAGTCCCCGCATCTCATTTGCTCGACACTTCCCGTCCTGGTCCTGCTGGGAGACCTTAACCCTTGTCGATGCATTATTCACAAGTCCTAGTCTTGCATCACACACTTGAAACTGGACTAACTGCTCACCGCATCCCTCTCCATATCATGTGATGGAGGGGTCAACTACTGACTTAATTGAACCTCGTCGAAGACCGAGGTAGTTTGATACGCGTAGCTCTATACAAACCGCCTTAGTGATTGGAAACCCAATGGAACTTCGGGTTCCTAGCTTCACTATTTTTCTATTGTATTATGAATCAGAAAATTAAGTCTAGTCTATCATCTACTCGTTCACTGTTCTTGTAAATACTCTAGCAGAGTTGTTCTGTCATTGGAATCATGGACCTCGGTGGTATCTCAGGTAAGCGATAAGAACTTGATAGCGGGATGAATCAATCACCTATGACATGGCAGTCCCAACACCAACACTCCCTATCCCAAGTGCGCCCATGACTGAAGAACATGAGTACCCTTGATCCTCCAACTCATGAGATACCGTCCCCCAATACCGTCCAGTTCGTCGACCATCTAGTCTCGCAGCTTCAAGACTACACCACCACCACCACCACCACCACTGACCCCGACGGGAATGACTACTCTGGCTCCTTACGACACCCACGTCTCGTGCAAAATGCCTCTGCGTTCCCTCGTGCTCTCGCATCTCGAATGCCTCAAGTGAAACAGCTGATGCTAACCCTCCACTGCCTTTTCCCCAATGAACTCCTTCTTGCGCTGGATATCCTCGACCGGGGTCTGGTGAGACGATACCAGATAGAGCCTCAGCATCAACAACAAGACTCTCATCATCAAGCTGTAAATGAAACAGCGACGGACTCGGAGTCTCCCGATAATGCTCTACGCAGTAGGCAGGAGACCCAGAGCCCAGGGAACAGTCCACAATCATCAGACGGTGTCTTCTTCGTGATCTCTACCTCCTCCTCTACCTCCTCTGGATCATCACTCCCACCCGACACAAGGTCTCGTGTCCCGCGCACGGGACAAAAAGGCTACGAAGTCCGACTGCATGCATGGAACTGCAGCTGCCCGACCTTTGCCCTAGCAGCGTATCGTGACCCAGGGCCTGAGGACACCCCCTCTCACCTGCCACGGTCGTCGTCGTCACCGACAACACCAACACACCAGTCCAACAGCAGCAGACCGTGCTCATTCGGCGGCGCCTTGACTCACGGCGCGACGAAACAGACACCACCCGTCTGCAAACACCTTCTTGCTTGTTTTTTGGCGACGCGTTGTCCGGGGGTTTTTGACCATGGGGATTCCTCTGGTGGCGTTGCTGTTCTTACGGCGGATGAGCTGGCGTGTTGGTGTGCGGGCTGGGGGGAGTAATTTTTTTGTGCTGTGGGTTTCCGGTTGAGGATGCGTTCGGTGTCATTTTTCAGTCACAATTATAGATGGGTTTTAAAATGATTCTTTTGATACTGTGAATGCCTGGCTAGACCTGAACGAACAGTCGTTGCATCTATTGAGTTGTAGTAATTCATAGCTAGGCTTATGTATTAGTTGTGGGTGGAAGTCTCCATAGCGAGGTCTTTGTAGCAGGCTCATCGTGTAGATGGCCGACTTGCGCTGCGACACTAGGCTGGCGACATGAGGCCCATATGAGGACTTCGTTTGCGTCCACATATATACTACCACTTATACGATTACTACTGTCATCGTGGACATCCACGTCTCGAGACTGTCCTCCAATAACGTCGTTTCACTTGGAGTCGGCATTGCGCTCTAGACGGGGAAGATATATATCCACGAGCACATAGTATACATTCCACAGCAATGAATTGTTCTAATGAATCGTTTCACGTAGATAGCAGCTATCCCCCCATTCACTCCTTCCTCTTGAGCTTGTCCTTAGACTCGTCCTGCTCCTCCTTCTCGCCGTTTGCCGCGCTCCCCTTCTTCGCGGCATCCTTTTCGCCCTTGACCCCATTCGTCTCCTGCTCCCTCTTCTGTTCATTCTCTGCCTGCTGTTGCCGGTTTTGGATCTTGTTCTCGATGAGGTCGTGGAAGGCGGTGATGGCCCGGATCAAGCTGCTCAGGTAGATGGCCATTAATTGATCGTTGGTCTTGATGCTCATGGCGCGCGCCAATTCGCTGTTCTCTGTCGGCTGCGGCTCCGATCCGCTGATCCGTGTCGTGGCGGGCGGGGTCGACAGGTTGGGCAACAGGTTAAACACGTCCTGGAGATTTCCGAGAATTGCGTGGTTGATGGGGAGCTCGCGGTCCAGAACCTTCTGGAGGTATTGGCCGATGTCACGCAGGCGCAGATGCAGACCCTGCAGCGATTGCAGCTGCGAGGTTATCCGGGTGGACAGGGTGCCCACTGCAACGTCACGGATGTCTCGAAGAAGGTGCTCGACGCCGATTTCCTCGGCTTCTTCCGCCTCGATGGTCGACGGGGTGTGGACAAAGGTCTTGGAAGTAGTAGTGCCGTCCTGTAATAATATTTCGTGTAAGTGATAGCCCAGCAGAGGAATAGGTCCGCACGACCATCACACGGGGAGCACTCACATCCTTGATCTCATCCACCGCAAAGTAAGCATCCGTGGGCACGCCGACCTCCTTCGGTTGGACGTCGACAATCACCAAGAGCGGGTTCGGGGTGTAGCGCTTGAACAGCTCGTTGATCTCCAGATCGGAGGCTCGCAGCTTCGGGCCCGAGTGATACCACCCAATTAACTTCTCACGGGCGTTAATCTTCTTGAACATGTCTCTCATCGACTCAACAAAGTTGTGATCTAAGAACCAGACGGACGGGTCTTTCTCATCCTCCTCGAAAGGAACTATAAACACGAGACGCATTAGTTTCTGTAAAATGGTATAGGATACTCCAGAGAAAGCTTCACTCACCAGCAAAACTGTTCGATACCCGAACGACATTACCGCTGTTCTCTCCCAACAAGACACCTACCACACGCTTCCGGGTACCCTTGGCTGAGCGCCCATAGTGATCTGCCACGGAGAGAAGGACTAGCGGAGCGACCGTGACGGAGCGCTGGACGAGGGAGAGAGTTTCCGCCGTAGTGGCAGGCATGACGGAGTTGATCGAAGGCACGAGAACCAGCAGCCGATATGGACGGGAACTCCAAGGACTCAATCGGGCTGTATCTTTTCTTTAGATAGAAAAAAAGAAAAGAGAAACCAGGTCAAATCGTAAAAGGAGGAAGCAAGCAGGAGACGAGACTAGTATTATGGGATAGGAGGGGGGAAGGATGATGGATTAAGATGGATATGGAAGTCGGGGAGGTCGAGAGAGATGACGATGAGCTCTCTTACTATTACTATTACTGGTGACTGCTGAACTGCTGACTGCTGGCGAAAGCTCGGCATGAGCCACATTCGGGTAGCCACAGAGGTGTGGCTGGTGTATTAATCAGTGCCTGAGGTGTTTAGTGCCTGAGGTGTTTAGTGCATGTGGTGTTAGTGCCTGAGGTGTTTAGGTCTGAGGTGTTGGTGCCTGAGGTGTTTAATGCCTGAGGCGTACAGAGAACACCACGTGTTCCGGAAAGGCATTGTTGGCCTCTTCATGTTGTATATTGGATAGATAGATAGATGTGGAAAAAGAAACAAAATAAGCCATCATCAATAATCCTGAATACAAGATTTTGCCACAAGAATCAAAGATCCTATGGAGATCACTCGTCATAGCCGTGCTCGGAGGTCCCGCCAGCCCAAACGAACCTCGGAGACGCGGGTGCGAGACTCCGCTCCCGGTCGACCTTCTTCCACCCCAACTTATTGCAGATTCCGTCTCTTCCATTTCCCCGTTCGTCGTTGCGTCCACGTCTCCCATCGTCCCTGATCCAACCTCCCTCCCCCAATTCCTTTCTTATCCCCTCTATTCCTATTCTCCCTAAAGGTCTTTATTTAATCGTTCTGTCACAATGGCTCCTATCACGGAAGAGATCGTTACCGGTCTGAAGGACACGATCGGCAAGCTCGAGAACCGCATTGAGGACTTGGAGGGCCGTCTCGGCTTTGAGACGAAGCCCAAGTCCGTTGCGGAGCAGATGCGCATCATCCTCATGGGTCCCCCCGGTGCTGGTATGTTGGATGAGATTGGGTTTTTTCGTCGATTTTTATTTTTTATTTTTTTTTATATCCAGTTCTGACCAACCGGTGAACAGGCAAGGGAACCCAGGCGCCGCGCCTGAAGGAGAAGTACTGTGTTTGCCACTTGGTGAGTGCCGTGTATAATCAACCCGGCTAGAGAGCGGACCGCTGATACGGATAAATGATAGGCCACCGGTGACATGCTGCGGTCCCAGGTCGCGAAGAAGACCGAGTTAGGAAAGGAGGCCAAGAAGATCATGGACCAGGGAGGTTTGGTCAGCGATGAGATCATGGTCAACATGATCCAGAGCGAGCTGAACAACAACGCTGAGTGCAAGAACGGGTGTGTATCTCCATCTTGGCATACGACAGATGGTTCGGACTGAGCACTAACCAACAAACGCTATGTAGATTCATCCTGGATGGTTTCCCCCGCACTGTTGCCCAGGCTGAGCGTCTGGACGACATGCTGATTGCTCGTCAGCAGAAGCTCCAGCGCGCCATCGAGCTGCAGATCGACGACTCTCTCCTCGTGGCTCGCATCACTGGCCGTCTGGTTCACCCCGCCTCCGGCCGCTCGTACCATAAGATCTTCAACCCGCCCAAGAGCGACATGAAGGACGATGTGACCGGCGAGCCGCTGATCCAGCGCTCGGACGACAACGCCGAGACCCTCAAGAAGCGTCTGGGTACCTACCACGCCCAGACCACCCCTGTGGTCGACTACTACAAGAAGACTGGTATCTGGCGCGGAATCGACGCTAGCCAGGAGCCCGGACAGGTGTGGAAGAGCCTGCTCGGTGTTTTCAAGAACTAAAGCATTTTCTCTTGTTGTTAAGGACGCCACATCGTGGTGTCCAGTGGCGTATCGATATACCTCGCCGTATGCCTCGGATCTCTATCTGAGATGGGATAAGAGGACATGGTAGCGATGGCCAGCAGGGGAGGGCCGGTGGTTTGCGGGTCTACACCTTGTTTTGAAAAGCTTGACTTTCGCGTCTTGGTGCGGACGCACCTCCCGGCAGGGATCCGAACGCCATGTATAGTAATAGGTTACTTTTTTTCCTGGAAGCAAAATACAGCCAATTAGACGAATCTGGTCTACTTTTCTTTTTCTGATAGAACATAAACCACCCTCATTTAAAGCCCTATGACTCTCAGATTTGTCTTGGTATGCATAATATATACATCTACAACACCGTCGGATAAACCGTCGACTCGATCTTCTCAGGATAGGTCATCCCCCCCTGCCGACGAACCTCATCCATAACCTCCATAATCGCAATACTCTCCTCCCAAGGCAACCCCTCACTCTCAAGCCTCCCATCCCTCAAACACCGCGCCGCCTCATCCGCCTCCCAAAACATCCCCTTCCCATCTCCAGGGACCCGGACCTCCACCTCCCTCACCTCTCCATCCTTCCCCTTAGGAATCACCCGGTACCGCTCGGGCCGGAATGCAGGCCCATCCACCTGGATCTCGCCCTTTGTGCCCTGGATGCGGATCGCCGGGCGCGCGGTGTTGCGCTCGTCCGGGTCGGTCGACACCCGCAGGTGCGTCATGGCGATCGCTTGCGATTCGCCGGGGTGGGTGCCGTTGGAGGGCGTGCTGGTTGGGAAGGTCAGTAGGATGGTGGTCGCTTCGTCGGCGCCGGTGAGGTGGTAGGGCGTCATGTGGGCGGAGATCTTGGAGGGTGCTTTGCGGGTTTCGCGCGGGAGGGTGTGATAGAGGGTTTGGAAGACCCAGGTGAGGGAGTAGATGCCCACTGTTTTTGTTAGTTTCATTCCCTTCTTCTTCTTCTTCTTTCTTTTGAAAAAGAGGGGTGAGGAATGAGAAAAAAAAAATGAAAGGAACATACAATCCAACAACGCCCCGCCCGCCAAATCCATATTCACCATCCGATGCTCCGTCCCCCACGCCTCCTCAACATCATCCCCGAAACTCGTATCCGCCATAACACGGAACACCTCGCCGATGGCACCGTCGCGGATCAAGTTCCGCACCTGCACGCTGAGCGGGAAGTAGCGGGTCCACACAGCCTCCATGAGGAAGAGGTTCTTCTGGCGGGCGACGTCGCACAGGATCTTCGTCTGCGCGGCATTGACGGTGAAGGCCTTTTCGCAGAGGACGTGCTTCCCGGCTTCGAGGGCCAGCATCACATTTTGGAAGTGGTGCGAGTGCGGGGTCGCGACGTAGATGACCTCGACGTTGGGGTCGGAGACTAGCTCCTTGTAGGTGCCGTGGGCGGCGCATGGGGCTGGGATGCCCGTGTCGGAGATGAACTTTTCGGCGCGCGATGAGGATGTCGAGGATGCTACTGCTGTTATGGTGTGGGTGACGTCTGATACTCCGCGGATGGCGGGGTCGCGGAGGAGATCGCGAACGAAGGCTACGAGGTATGTTAGAAATTGTGCTTGAATAGGTAAATGGGGTAGATGCGGCGTCTATCTTCGAGGTACGGGATACATACTGTCTGCGATCCAGCCGGTGGCTATACGTTTAATCCAATTGTGTCAGCTTCGCCTATATGTTGACTGTTGCGGGGGCGGGGAACACTTTCATACCCATAATCCCCCATTTGATGTTGTGAGGCGCCATGGTGAGTGAAGCTTCAGTGACAGTGATAGCGACAATAGATTTATTGTATAGGGGAAGAGAGGGAAAAAGAGAGAGACCAAAGTTTGATTCAGGAACGGAGGGGTGTTTATATTTATAATTCAAAGAAGTTAGTATAGTTTCAACCCACCAAGCCCCGCAGCGAATGACATAACCGCCCCTCTCCGAGATCCAGTGTCTTATAAAGTATACTACGGTAGCACCGAGCTAAGGCTAAAAGTGGGACAGATAAATATTTATTCAATACAACAATGAGAATCAGAACAGCTTCCGATTCCGTGTATCAGCTACACAATCCACCCAAATAGTGGCCTGGCTGAGGAATGACACGGTGGATGGTTCAAGATATACAAGGTCAATGCAAGGAGATCATGGCTTTTACAGGGATATATATGTTCATAATCCTCTGGTAACCGCCCAACGCTCGGGTGGAAAAGAGCTTCGATGCAAAACAGCCGCCGGCTAAATGCACAAGGATATATGCTCATCGAAAACAAAGACAAAGACACAACGGATACTGCGATCCATATGCGATGGGGAGCAACGCATGCCCATCTCAAATGCTTAGGTTGCGTGAATTTTCCGTTTCAAGGCCCGCGACCAGCCTTACATCGGCTCCGTCTTGACTCGGGCATTCTGCCCAGGCGATTCCATTCCCTAAAAAGTCGGCAAGTCAGTAACTCATTGCCCCTGCAATTCGTCAGGGCCAAGATTCTTACCTCTGCAGCTTTGCGCTTGCCAAGCACGGAATCCGGAGTCCCTGTTCGCCCGGCCGGTGTGCCTCGCTGCGCGGGTGTAGGCCCATCCTTGGTTACTTCAGAATAACAGCTGGCGTGGTATACGCGATTGCCCACTTTGACTGCATCTTGCCAAATCCAGTCTTGAACATCTTCGGACCATGTAGATTCGAATTTTTCTTGACAGATAGGGCAAGGGGTATTCCTCAAGGTGGCATCGTTCGGTGCACGGATCCACTGTTTCGGGGGTCCCTTGTGGGCGGATTCACCATCCCCCGCAGTTGCGCCCTCGTTTGGCGTTTCCGTGTCGAGGTTCTGGTCGTCGACCGCTTCTCGAGATTTGATCCAATCCTAACCCAGCGTCAACTTCATTGCACAACAGGACCAACTAAGACGGTGAAAACTTACCCGCTCGTCGACATACCAACTGCGATTTTGAGCGCGCCGAGCAGCGTCTGCCATCCGTTGGTTTGTCTTGAAATGCCAGTCCAAGTGACGGGCTTTCTTCTCCTTGCCCTCCTCGGTAGCGTGAAAGCGACGGCCACAGGTGCCACATCGATTGGGCTTCGCTTCATAAAGACTAGCCAACAGCCCGGGTCGGGGTCTGTGATTCGGGAAATGTCAGATTGAGATGATGTATTGGCAATGGATTCGAGCACTCACATTTTGATAGATGCAGTGTTCATTTGAACTTCCAGTTGGCCATTTGAGATGTTGGAGGGCTGGGGAGTCGAGACCGGAGGAGTAAATCGTACTTGACCAGGCATGATTAACGGAAAAGCAGACGCGAGATTTGCCGATGGGACGGCGGAAGCGGTTGGGGGAGCAGAAGCCGAAGGCAAGAGACCGCGGGCTCGGAGGGCTGCAAGCAGAGGATTCTCTGGTGCCGGAGTAACACTAGGCTGAGGTATGCTGCTGTTTGTTGCCATCTGGGGTAGGATATTGGGGATCTGGGGAGGCGGGGTAGGCTGTTGGCGCGCAGCAGTGTTCTTGATCAGTTCGGCGAGTGTTCCAGGGTTGAGAAGCTGTTGGAGGGGTTGTGAGATAGGTTGGCCCGCAGATGGGGCCATGGGCGTTGCGGACATGGCAGGGAGATTAGGAAGATTGGAAAGATTAGGGAGAAAGGACTGAGGAGTCGAGGTGGAACGCTTGGGAGTCAGGGCGGAGATCTGATCTCGGACCAACTTCAGCTGCTCCTGTGTAAGCTCCTGGCGCTGTAGAATCCCCTGGAGGTCCAAAAGAGCCTTGAGGCGCTGTTGCACCGACGGGTCCAACGGGTTGGTAGCAAAATCCGCTCGAGCACTCGTAATGAGAACCTCGATATCTCGGTTCAACGCGGCGAGATCAACCTCACGGTGCTGCGGAGGCTGTGGTGTTGACGATGAGCGCGGATCACCCTGCTTCTATGGTCAGATATGTACGGTGCTACAGCGCCCATGTTCAGGAAAAGAGCATACCGAAGCCTGGTACCCATGGCCAGATCCATTCCGAGAGTACGGCATGGCAGGCGGATGCCGGGGTATCCCCTGAGGGGGCGTGGGAGTATTGCCCCAACCTGGGGGAGTTCCGACTCGACCGCGACCAAGAACCTCTTGTTGGCCCCGAGCCTGTTGTTGCTGCAGCGCAGCCGTTCTCGCTTTGATCAAAGCGCTCTCGATACTGCGAGTGATGTCAGGAGGAAAGACCGGCCTTGTATCCAGCGACCCCGGGACAGGCTCTTTCCACGTTTTCAACATCTCATCCAGTTTCCGGCGCGTCTGCGAATCGACCAAGGTGTAGGCGTTCATGAAGGTCTGGTACATGTTCCGGCCTAGGAACAACGTGTAGGGAGTCCCTACGTTTTTGACGATCGAGTCGACTACATACAAAGCAGGAAGTTTCTGCGCCGGCGGTGTCTACATCACACGCATTAGAAAAGACAATCCAACCAAGTTCGAACTACAAACAGTCCTGGATTGGAACAAGAAGAACTGGGAAAGCTTCTGTCACCTACTGTTCGAATGTGATTTTCCAAGACGCGAGAAATGGCCATCGCATGTTCCGTGTTCTCCTTTGCGATAACGGTCAAATTGCTGATCTGAAACCTGTCATTGGTAATTAGATCCTCCAAGGAGTTCTTGTAGTCCTCGGCCACTTCGTCCGAGGCCAGCCCAGACGACATGATGGGCAAATATACGCAGGTGAAAAGGGAGGGGGAATATGAGGAATTGAGACAATCGTAGATTGTCAGCTGTTTCTTGTTTCTTTTTTCTTCTTTCCTTTTTAGAATCTCTTGATCTTTTTTTTTTCAGCTTTTATTCTGTGCGCTCTTCTTCTGTTCTTTTCTCTTTCTTTTTATTCTTCTTTGTCTTGGTCTTTTTCTTTTTCTTTTTTTGTCCGTTTTTGTTCGATATTGCTTTCCCTTCCTAAAATTACCGGGTGCAATGTCCTATCCTTGCCTTTTTGTCTTCCACAAGCAATGGCCTCCTGCGAGAGCAATAGATGGAACGAAATGGCGGAACTTGTCAAATGCTTGCTAGCTACCTTGGGTCAGAATTCTTGGAGACAACAACACCAGTACGCCAGCACCAGTTTCCCGCCCGACTTCTCCTAGAGCCGTCAACAGTCCTCCCAAATCCCCTATTTTTCAAAAAGATCTAACCGAGAGGATATTCCACGCTGATTGACCTTTCCAGAAGACAGTAACCAGCAAAAGGAGCCTACACCGTTCGTTGGGACGCAAGGGAAGGGAGCGAGCTGTCAACGCGAGAGGGACGCCGTGAATATGCCTGAGGGCAACGAGGTTGACTCGAAAACGATGGATCAGCTAGAACGAGGGGAAAAAAGGGGAAAGGGTAAAGCAAAATCTAAATGGAACAGAGTAGAATGGTGAGTAGGGAATAAGTGTCGACAGGACTGTCAACCATGAATGTGATCAAAGGAGAGGGAGAAGGTCGAGGTTCAGCTGAATGATGGAGTGAGAATCAGATCGAGATTGGGATTGGGGTTAGTCATCACCAAAAATACCATACTGGACAGTACTGAACAATACCAAACAGGCGTATTGCATAATACCCAGGGTATTATTCCTGGATTAGGCCAAATCTGACTAATCAGCCGATACCGTACAACTGGCTGAAACGTGACCTGCAGCATGACGTGCCCGAGGCTGCCACTTCCTTCATGGATGGTTCCCAATCTACTTCACGCGGGGGGTTACATCAAGTATCAATCATTGAATCTCCATCGTCCATTAGTATATCTGTCCCATCTGTCCCCCTGATCTTGGGCTGTAGGCTCTTATGATTTAGAAACTCTGAACTTCATTCATCATCTAAAGCTGAATCTGTCAACTTGAGTACACGGATCCTTCAATATGCGGCTGTTGCTCTTGGCTCTTCTTCCATTGGCCTTGGCCAAGTCCGTCTTGGTCACTTTCCCTGAGGGTACCCCGGATGATGTGATCGCTGAGTCGAAGGAATCCATCGAGAAGGCTGTATGTCAGACCTGGGCCTGATTGATATTGATATACCAGAGACTGGTCACTAACTGCCTTGTGCTTGCAGGGTGGAACCATCACTCATACCTTCAGTATGTTATCTCCCCTCTTCGGATGATGAATCTTTCCGTATCACAGGCTAACCGCTGGCTTTCCGTTCATCTAGATCTGATTAAGTCTGTCCCCTTGCTGCTTACTGTCTTGTTCCGACCCTGGGCAAGTCCTAACCCTTCTGTAGGGGCTATTCCGCCGAGGCTCCCGATGTGGCGATCCAGCAGGTGTCCCCCCAGTCGGGCCCTTATAAGGCCGCAGTCGAGGAGGATTCACCTGTGTCCATTTCTTAGGACAGGGTCGACCGTGCACCGCGTCGGTGCCATACATTGAGGTCTTAGAATATCTCGGGCAGATATGGGCCAATGTGGAACGATCACGTTTAAGTTAGGATAGGTGTATGTTATTGGAATCGGAATTATATGTGGACCTGATTTGCGACTTGACGCTTGCGCTTTACTCTGTTTTGGCTTGAAGGGGAGGGATATATACCTTAGTGTATGCAAACATATATTGCCGCATGTACTCCGGAGGTTTGTATACAAACATACTTTATAGCGTCGGGATATTGGATTCGAGGTCTTGCGCCCGTCTTCAGCCACAAATTTCTCCACTTTGAATTCCTATATATGAAGAGAATTGAAGCAAGGGGGTGGTGGTTTACCCATCACTAAATAACCTAGAGACTACAGATGAGGTTAATCTCGTGCGGGTTGGCTCGGCTTAAACCTTAGCTTATCAGACGCGTATCGTAGATCCCGCGTTGAAACAACCCACTACCGACCAAGTCGCGACAATCTCATCACAATCCCCCATTGAGTAAAGTACCACGGTGGGTTCCGTCCGGTTTTATATATGCTCTTACTTCACTCCTCCTTCATCGAATCCACCTCCCGCTGTGCCCGACCGGCAGGTTGCAGATCTACCCGCCGTTTCGTCCTCCGCGCTTATAGCACCGCTCACCCCTGAACATTCCAGAGCACCCCCCGATCGATTGCGAACGCACCGCCTTGCAGTCCGTTCCCCACCCTCCGGTGCCCTAAGCAACATGGCCTCGGAGCATACCATCACGCAGGCCCTGTTGGAATGGATCAACAGTTTCGCCCTGGGAAAGACGATCCGAACCACCGACGAACTGACCGACGGGGCCATCATCTGGGAGGTGTTGCAGGACATTGACCCTCAATACTTTCTCGACGAATTACCCCACCAGGATGCCTCCGAAAATCTGCTGTCGAAGCTCCAGAACCTGAAATACATCCACAAGACCGTCGTCAGCTACATCCGTCAGCAGCCCGATGGCCTCCCGTCGGGCCTGGACCCGAACCCGAACCTGGAAATCGTCGCGGAAAACAACTCAGTCAAGGAGTCCAACAAACTACTGAAACTGGTGCTGATCTCTGCGATCAACTCGCCCAACGCGGGTTTGTACGTCGAGACCCTGCAGAAGTTGAGCACCCCGACGCAGGAGACCCTCAAACACGTCTTCGAGGTGGCGCAGTACGACCAGCTCGATGGCTCCGACGTCGCGGACGAGATGAAGGAGGAAAACCGGGATGCGTCCGTGGACCTGGAGCTGCGGTTTGAGGAGCGGATGGGGAAAATGCTGGCCGACCGGGACCGGCTGACCCATGAGAAAAAGGAACTGGAGAAGACCCTGGAGGACATGCATAACCGCCTGGCGCGACTGCAGGAGAACAACGATACGCTGCAGAGCCGGTTGGCCTCGACCGAGGATCGGTTGGTGAATCTGAAGGCCGGGAAGGGGGACCTCGGCTTCAATGCGAAGGCCCTGGAGTCTCGGTCCCGCCAGCAGGAGGATATCATCGCGGCCCAAGAGGCGCGCTTGTCCGCCGCCCAGGACGAGGTCGACAGCCTGCAGATGTCGGTGGAGTCACTTCGCGTCAAGAATGAGCGGTACCAGCGGCTGCAGGATGACTATGATGTGCTGAAGACGGAGCGGGACCAGTTCGCCCGCAAGGCCAATGCCGCGGAGAAGTATCGGTCCAAGTTGCAAGCCAGCCAGGACTTTGAGAAAGAGAACCAAGCGTTGAAGAATCAGATCAAGGATATTCAGCAGCAGTTGAAGGACGCAGATGCGCAGCAGCGGAGGGCCACGGAACGCGACGTGGAGCTTGAGGAGTATAAGCGAGTGCTGCCGCGCATTGAACAGGAATGCAGCGAGATGCAGAGTCTGAAGAAGCAGTTTGAGTTCAACAACCACGCCCTCACTGAACGTCTTAGCAGCGCCGAAGAGCAGCGCGAGAGAGACGACGCCCTGATCAGTGAACTCCGTGAACGGATACGGGAAATCGAAGGATCGCCAAGGAGCCCATCTCTCACCCCGAGCAGTGAGACACCACGCATGCAGGGTACATTACAGAAGGACTTTGAAGACATCGGCATCCAAGAATCGCAACTGTGAGGTTTTTTATCCCGGTGATCTTGGAACCCGAGCTGACAGCGCACAGGAAATCCGAGAACGATGACTTGAAAAAGGAAACCGAGTCACTGAAGGGACCTCCGACCCGGGTATGCTTGAACACGGTCCATTCCTATGTCGAGCGACTGGTATACTGACAATCTGTTGTAGCCCGGCTCGCAAATTGATGGGTTCTCTGAAGCCTTTGGCGAGACCCTACATCAGGCGCGCGAACGATCCACTCAAGAGTAAGTCTAGAACCACCGATTTCATTCGAATGCTAATTTCGGCGACAGCGAGGAGTATTGGAGACTATACGATCAGTACACGTCTTTACTCGCCAAGACAGCGGAGACCCAGGATTCTCTTGCGTTGGCTAAGAGAGATATTACCGACATGCAAACGTTGGGTAAGTAACATGGATATACTCCCCCCCACATCCACCGAGGATCTATCTAATACTCGCAGACTCACTCTCCAACAAAGAAAAAATGGACATGATCAACAGTGCCAGAGAGAGCAACGCCGAGGAGCTGGCCAAGACCCGCGCAGAATGCGACGAAGCTAAGCACAAGATCTATGTTCTCGAAGCGGAACTTGACTCCACCCACACCTTGGTCAGACAGACTTCCACCGAACGGAACAAGCTGCAGGAGATGCTCGATACCCGGCAGACCGTGATCGCCGAAAGCCGCGTCGAAGATGACGAGACCATGAATGAAATGAAGAAACTGCTCACCGAGATCGCTGCGCAAGAGAGCGGTGATGTCTCTGAGGCTTCGCAGAAGTCCGGAGTTGAGCTTACCAAGCAGGTCGTGGAGTTGATTGAGAAGAACCTGGAGCGGTTGGCACAACGTGCAGAGGTCAGTCATTCCTATATTTGGTCTCGTAGATGGGCTTTGATAGTCTCTTAACAAAGCTTGTGATTTGCGGCTAACAACCTGATCTACAGTATATCCACAATCAAAACGAACACATCAAATACCTTCAAGAGCGCATTAAGCATTTCGAAGAATTCGCCGAGGATGGTATTAGCCGGGAGCGCGAGGTGAGTAGCATGTCTTCTTGCGGATAATGGAATCCTTGCCTATGTTCTTCCTTGCTGACCCATCTTCCACCAACCCCACAGGTCGAGCTCCAAAAGATTATCGACGCACAATCACGAGAACTCGCCCTGATGTGTTCCTCATGGTACGAAGTTCAGAGCCGGCTGATGAACAACAACGTTACCAGTTCCCGATATCGCAACGGACTAGCGGACGCCCAGAAAGGCTGGCTGGCAAGACAACGGAATATGGTGGCTGGCCGGTAGACTCGAACCTTGATTCGCATTGCAGCTCCTTTTACTACCTTACCTACTATCAAACGTCTCCAAGTAAGCTGGGGGCTCTCCGAATGGTTGATACTCCCCCCCTTCCTGTTTCTTTTCTTCCTCTTCATATATACATATGCGCCATTTCTAGACAGTTCGAACTTTCCCCTTTTCCTTTCATTGTGCGCCCATCGCTGCTTCTGCTCGCTGGGTCTGTATATTTGTGTATATACCTGATATTTCACCTGACAGTAAACTCTACTATTTAGAAGACGATGTGACCTGAGTTATAGCTGTTCTAAAGCAGTAAATAGAAAGCAAAAGTGGCTTGTACTCTGATCTATACGAGAATATACACTTGTCTAAACACCCTACGCGTCAGCTTGACTACGGTAGGCTGCGCGCCTCAAAATTGAGTCCAGGCCACCCTCAGCACCCGAGAATTCCTCCTCCGCGCCAGCAGAGTCGAGCAACTAAAAGCCATCTGCAGCGATTCCATCGCCCGGACCCCCAGCAGACGGTCCCGACCCCGACGCTGTCCAGCAACACCGTGATCTCCGCCGTCTTGATAACCTGTATAAGGCGGGTCCTCGCCGCGCCCTGCACCGACATCAAAACAGCGCACCCGGCAACGTTCGTCATGCCCGTTAACCTACGGGGACGGTTCAAGACCCCTCGATTCCAAACCTATCTAGGCAACATGATCACCGCCCTGCGCGGATCCACACCCAGCACTGCGGACGGGATCGGCGGCGCCGGCGAGGGCCAACAACAACAGTTGACACACATAGTTCGCCTGAGCCCACAGATCCACCGAGACCTGGAATCCATCGACGAGCAGCACACCCGCGATACGATCGCCTTTCTCCAGGCCCAGGACGACTGGGGTGCGTTGAACCAGCTTCCCCCCACCAAGGCGCATCAGATGCATGTAGCTATTTCTTTCTGGAAGATTCATTTGGAGTCATTTGCTTCAAGGATAGCTCATGCCCTACCATTGGGCATTAAGCAGCCTGAGACCCAAAGGCGAGGCATGTTTGTCCAACGTTTGCTAGCATCGCCCCCACGTCTTTATCTGCTGCAGACCAGTCCCGCTTGATCGCCTCCTCGTATTGAAGGCCACGGCTTTTGAAGAATACATCACAAGGGGCCACACTGGCAAGAAACCCTAAGCTCTCCCGCTCGTATTTGTTCATCTTCCTTGGGGCATACGATGCCGTACGCCCAGAGACGGCGGGCGATCACGATGAACAGTGGGTTATACGCAACCTGTTGGCCCGAGCAGGCGCGTCGGCCGACGGAAAAGGCCGCTAGGGGGATGTCGGGGTTTGCGAGCCAGCGTTCCGGCCGAAATACCTCTGGATCCCCACCGACCTCGTGGCTCCTGCCGATGGACCAGTGGTGTGGAAGAATTATCGCGTCCCTGCATATGTGATAGCCCATGTATTCATCGTCAGCGGTGAGAACATGGGGATCTCCAAAGGGTGTAATGGGCTGCCAGCGGAGAATTTCATTGGTGAACGCGTGCACGTACGGTAGTTTCCCGACGTCCGCAAATCCGGATAGTCGGTTCGGTCCCATGACCAAGTCTAATATCTGCTGGACCCTGCGGACTGCATCAGGATGCTGAAGACTCACCGTCACGAAAATGCGGAGAGCAATGGCGGTTGTGATGCAAGTGCCCATGTTCAGTTCATCGACGACGTAGCATAGCTGGTCCCAAGAAAGAATGTTCGTTTGTCTCCTGTCGACCAGCTGACGGAGCTAATTCCACAGGCCGCTCTCGAGTGCGAGACCCATGTGCCGGGTAACCGTCTAGAGGAACCTCTGGAGATACCAGTCGCCCACTCTTCGCCATCGGCAGAGCCACTCGGGCAGACGCTGCAGGATTGGGACGATGTCCACTAGCAGATTAGCCAGCGTGAGCTCCCGAACCAGACAGTCGAGCAATTCACGGGCCCGCAGTGCTTCTGGCTCCTGTTGTGCACGTGCCTCTTCCCCTACGTCAAGGCGAACGCAAAGCTGGCTGCATAACGCTCGAATTGAGCTGGTGGATCATTGGACTGCAGCAGATTGACGATGGGCTCCTTGCTTTCCAGATCTTGGACGGCCTGATACGCATCCACAGCTTTGGACTTAAAGAACGCTGCCGTGACACGATAGAGGTGCTTCCAAGCTGGACCGTACTTTTGGAACCCTGGTTACAGGCCCTTGGGCATGCACCGATCGAGAAAGAAGAAACTTGGTCTGGAGTTGTTTATCGTGCCTCATGCGTCTAGCAGGTTTCACATGACTTCGTGGGTTCCCAGGTCGCCTGCATATATACAGACACCCACTCCTGAGACTGGTGGTGAAGAAGATTTCCCCCTCCCTTGCGCAGTCAAACCCAACAAATTTCTCTCTTCAAAAGGCAGCAACCAACGAATTGGCAAATAGGCGCTGACGACCCAACCAAAACATATTAGAATGTGCCCAGGATGAATCATGTCCGACGGGATCGGATCTGCCTCGTCTGCGGACCACTCGTGCAACTGTTCGTTTTTCTCTTCCTCGCCATCCTCCACCTCCTGCCTCCTATCAGCTCCTCGCAGGACCCCACCGCGGTGGTGGAGCATTACTCCCGTTATCAGAATGCCCTGGAAGCAGACATCGACTTGTTTCATCTGAGCTCGGTCTTCTGGCCGTTCTACGCCGTGGGGATCAACAACAGCTAGCCCGCATACCGGGCATTTCACCGACAATTCTCTCCCTCCAAATGGCATCTGCATGCACTTTCGCCCTCGCCCTGAGCCTGGTGGCCATCTTCTTCGTCGAAACCACCTACCGTCTCGGCCGGGATCCCGTCATCATGCAGCTGGCGAGCGACCTTGCGTGGTTTCTGTACAGCGATATCCCTGGCCCATTGGTCGTGGAATGCAAGTTTATCTTTTAGTGGACAAAATTGTTTCGGAGTATAACACTCGTCTTGATACAGTGCTAGTGTGATGATCTCATGTATCATCGCTTCGGAGACGATATATCTTGGATTACATACAGAAAGCATAGTCCACTGTGCTATAAGACGACACTTACAAACGATCCAGAACATATGATTGCATTATACATCGGGCAGCAAAATCCGGTGATGGTACAGAATAAAACACGATAGGCGGGGGAAATGCCTCTACACCCATTGCCTGGGATGTCTCAGCACGTCCATGAGCTCTTTTTCCCGCACCTTGTCTTCGCCCTGCTGCTCTTCTTCCTCTGTAGATGCTTCAGTCCGGGTCCCGGACACTGCATCCATGTAGGCCCAGCCGGCAGTCCGCGGCAAACTCATCAAGATACTCTCGATCCGAGCATTCGGCGTCCGCAGGCCGAAACTCGTGCCGCGGTCGTAGACCAGGTTGAACTCCACGTAGCGACCGCGCCGCAGCTGCTGCCATTCTTTCTCGGCGGGGGTGAACGGCATGTCCTTGCGGCGTTCGATGATGGGAACGTAGGAGGGGAGGAAAGAGGCGAGACCGTCGGAGACGAAGGAGAAGAGTGTCTCCTGTGGGTTTTGCGACGAGGTCGCGGAGGATTCTAAGAAGCTGGCGTCGAGGTCATCGAAGAAGATGCCGCCAACGCCGCGAGACTCTTTGCGGTGAGGCAGGTAGAAGTACTTGTCGCACCATGCTTTGAAGCGGGGATAGTAGGTGGCGTCGTGGCGGTCACAGGCGTCCTTGATGGTCTGGTGGAAGTGCTTTACATCTTCGGGGAAGAGGTAACTCGGGGTCAAATCCGTGCCGCCGCCGAACCACCAGTTCTTCTCCCCGTTGATAGGGTCCTTCGGGTCCGAGGTCTCGAAATACCGGTAGTTGAGGTGGACCGTCGGGGCCATGGGGTTATGCGGGTGCAGGACGAGTGAGAGTCCTGCCGCGAAGAAGCTGAGGGACTCTACATCTGCTCCGACGAATGACTTGTGATCGGCCCGCATCTTCTCGATGGCCGGCCGAGGCAGCTCCCCGTAGACGATCGACACATTGACACCAGCCTTCTCGAAAACGTTGCCATCCTGGAGAACGCAGGAGATTCCGCCGCCACCGTTTGGCCGGTTCCAGGTGTCCGAATGGAAGGATTTGCCGTCGATTCGGCTCAGTTCCTCCACGATCTTTTGCTGGTGTTCTTTGATCAATTTCTCCATGCGCAGACGCATGGGGGACGTTTCGCTGATTGTCGACTGCTTCTTCAAGGACTCATCGAGCTCCACGATGGACGGGGAGTCGAGCTCGGTCACTTCGCCAGTCATCTGCGTACATATAGTCTGAGCATCCATCACCCATCACCCAATCGAGATCCAATATGGGGAGGGGGGCTTACCATGGAGTATATCAAAGCGCCAATAAATGGGACCCCAACGGCTAATCGTAAGTATGGCCTCCACACGGTAAACGGCTCTGGTTTGGGCGGCTTTCCCTCTGTTGAATACTTTCGAAACGGAACTCGAGAACCAGTGCGACTCGTCCGTGGTGCAAGGTTCACGAGCGTCCTCCGCAGAGGCATATAAGGGCGAGGCACGGCCATCGCGGAAGGATCGGTAGGGAGTTGACGAACTCGCCGGGGATCAGGTGATGTTACGGAGGACAGTGGAATTGGGTGATCAGAAACATGCGGTCATGGAGAGAGCCCACGTTGGAAAGCCGAACGAAAGGCGAGAATTGGTGGATTGCCATGAGTATGGGGCCACCCGCGGCGCCGGATAACTGCCGGGATAAAATGTCATACCAGTCAAGGCCCTGTTTGTTTAGATTGCACTGTTTGCAACATTTGTTGATGCATCAAGTCACGTGATATGACCGACACCGGCTTCATATCAGCCTGTTTGCATGAGTCTGGCTACCCCTGCATTATACTCCCGAGAAAGGACGATGCAATTCTGTCACCATGTATTCCATTTGTCCATCATCATTCCTGTCCTGGCATGCCTTTTATGATGACGCTGTCCCGTTGCGCCTAGCTGCGGGTCCAAGTGGAGGCTGGAGACTAAGTATATCTGGACGGGCGGTATTGATCAGCCGATCTAGTCGGCTGGAACATGGTACGGGGGTCAGGGAGTCATCAAGAGGAGTCATCTCCTCTTACTCATAAGAATGGTAATTAAAATAAACCTTCCTAATGAAGTAAAGAAGGAGAAGAGAGAAACGCATACACTACTCTCTCCAGATTGGTTCAATGACCAGAGCACATGACCTGAGTCATTCACGTGTGGGGATCCCCTCACCGCCTCTCCCCGTGACCAAACCGCTGCCTTATCACTCATGACGCGGGGCTTCTAGTCAGTTGCCGTCACTCTCCTCATCTTTGGTCATCATCGTCCTTCTTCTTCCTCTTCTCCATCTACTTCCTCCCCTCCATCCACTTTTGACCCCCCCCTTCATCTCCGCTTCTTTCATCCATCAACCATCTTTTTTTTTGCTTGGGAAATCCCATCCTTATCTTTCCATCATATTTGGACTTTGTTCCTGTTGATTCCATCACTATGCGCTCCAAGTTCAAGGACGAGCACCCCTTCGAGAAGCGCAAGGCCGAGGCCGAACGCATTCGCCAGAAATACGCCGATCGCATCCCAGTACGCATCATCCCCATCTCCTGTAGAGCTCTATCGCTTTCTTTCCTTTTCATACATTGTTTGGGTGTCCGAAGCGCCGGACCTGGGCGCCTCCTTCACCGCCTCTTTCCTATAACCAGCCGTCACTAACCATGATCCTTCCGTTATTCTAGGTCATTTGCGAGAAAGTCGAAAAGTCCGACATCGCAACCATCGACAAGAAGAAGTACCTGGTCCCTGCCGATCTGACCGTGGGCCAGTTCGTCTATGTGATCCGCAAGCGTATCAAGCTGTCTCCCGAGAAGGCCATCTTCATCTTCGTCGACGAGGTCTTGCCCCCGACGGCCGCTCTGATGAGCAGCATCTACGAGGAACACAAGGATGAAGACGGATTTTTGTACATCACGTATGTTGTCGCCTGGTTTTACAGCCTCACGTCGAGACACTGACCGGATTTAGGTACTCCGGCGAGAACACCTTCGGGGACTGCTAAGCCCTGGTAGGCCTTTCCTTGATCGATGTAGTCAAATCCAGTATTGCGGCGTCTTTGGACGATCGAATGAAGATCGATTCGAGCAGGATGGGGCCATAAGGGCTGGTTAGACCTTGCGGCGACTTGGGTTCGAGTGTGGCAGGCGTTTTCTCGGGTGTTCCGTAATCTTCAATGTCTATCTTGGCGACGTTTCTCTTACTCTAATGGAACGAATGAATCAATTTGTTATCTGATTTTGAACTTGGAGGTAGACGCTATGGGAGACTGTTGCCTATATAGCCTGTAGATATCCGATTTGCTCCCTCCACAGGGGCAATGATCATCCCGGGGGAAACATTCAACTGGTCACTGTCAACTCATTAAATTCCAAACCAACCCGGCACTTCCGGAAACTCAACTACTGCAGTGAAGCAATAGTGATTGTGATTGATATACTTCGGGTCTTATCTGCTGATCTAATCAGGGACCCGTCTCCGCCTGAGGCCAGATCGGGTTTAGCGCGGCCTGTGCAGTTCCGAGTCGGCGCAGATTTCATTCTTGGATGGAAAGTTGACATGAGCGGATCTTTCTCTTCTTCCTCCTCGGTTGCCCGTTTTTTTTTTCTTCTTCTCTTCCTCTCCCACCGTCCTCCTCCCTCTCACCCTCTCTTTCTTTCTGGCTTGCTTTGCCAATTGTCCGGTTGGATTAGATCGATCTCTGTTTCTCAATCAAGTGAGCTAAAAAAAAAAAGAGAGGGAATAAAATAGAAGAAAAAAAAGAAAACAGTCACAGTTCATACTCCATTCACCAACCGTCAGAAACCGAACAACCTCTTGTTGAAGAAAAACAACAAACCGAATCACACTCAAACAAAATGTCCCCTGCTATTGTTCAAGCCGGCGCTGGCTCTGCCTCCAAGGATGTCAAGAAGGAATCCGCGGTCGCTCGCCTTCTGGGTTCGGGTATGAGAACCGGCCGAAATTCATGTGCTTTTCACACTGGTCGTTGCTAACCTGATTTGTAGGTTCCGCTGGTATCGCCGAATTGATGGTCTTCCATCCTGTTGATACCACCGCGAAGCGTTTGATGAGCAACCAGACTCGGGTAAGCTCCACAGTCATGGAGAAGCGGTGGCACCCCAGAGCACAGGCTAACTTTCTTCTTTTTCTTCCCTATCAGATCACCTCGGCTACCGAGTTCAAGCAGGTTGTTTTCAAGGAATACGCCACTGCTTCTGTAGGACAGAAGTTCACCTCTCTCTTCCCCGGTCTGGGTTACGCTGCTGGTTACAAGGTAGGTACCGGATGCGACACGCGCTTCCATCAAAGACGGCCCTAATAACGTGATCTAGGTGCTTCAACGGATCTACAAGTACGGTGGTCAGCCTTTCGCTCGCGACTACTTGGCCAAGCACTACGGGACCGAGTTTGACAATGCGTTTGGTAAGGGGACTGGCAAGGCTATCATGCACGCCACCGCTGGCAGGTTTGTTCTCCCCGTGGACAAAACATCGATCCCCTCATATACTGACAGTAGAATCTAGTTTGATCGGTATCGGAGAGATCGTCCTCCTGCCTCTGGATGTCTTGAAGATCAAGCGTCAGACTAACCCTGAGGCCTTCCGCGGCCGTGGTCTGTTCAAGATCGTTGCGGATGAGGGCTTCGGTCTCTACCGGGGAGCTGGCTGGACTGCTGCCCGTAACGCCCCCGGGTCCTTCGCGGTAGGCTGAAAATTCCCAATCCATGTAGTGCATTTTGATACTAACGGAGATATACAGCTCTTCGGTGGCTCCGCCTTCGCCAAGGAATACATCTACTCCCTGCAAGACTACAACGCCGCCAGCTGGTCCCAGAACTTCGTCGCCTCGGTGTGCGGTGCCAGCGCCTCCCTGATCGTTTCCGCTCCTCTGGATGTGATCAAGACCCGTATCCAAAACCGCAACTTTGAGAACCCCGAATCTGGATTCCGCATCCTGTCGAACATGGTGAAGAACGAGGGCGCCGGCAGCTTCTTCAAGGGTCTGACGCCCAAGCTTCTGATGACCGGACCTAAGCTCGTTTTCAGCTTCTGGCTGGCTCAGACGTTGATTCCTGCCTTTGGCCAGGTTGTATAAAAACATAATTACCAAAAAAGGAAAAACAAAAAAAAAAAAAAGGCACATAAAAAGGAACAACCCCACAGCGGGATTTTGGAAGCACGGGACGATATACATTTGCCAGCTCGGAAATTCCCTCTATCACACGGTTTTTATTTCTTTCTGTTTGACCACGGCTTCTGGCGAATGTGATAGAGCAAGCTTGCTGTTGAGTCATTTTGTATTTTCATAGATAAGATTTTTGCTTCGGAAGTTATGGGTATGGGACAGGACTAGAATACAATCCACTCTCTAATTATCATACCTTTATAGGCTTGTAAGCATACATAGAATAATCCCTCATACAGAGTACTCGAGATGCGTAGCGCATTAATTACCGCAAGGAACATAATCACTCACTGACTCTTAGGCACATGTGAGACGTCTTCCGATAGAAACCCTATCACCACGTGACCATACCAAGACCGACTTATCGTGTCCTGACATCGGAGTCGCACCCACGGAGCTTGCTTCTTCCAGTACCAACTGGCTCGACCTTTACAACAACTGCGGATTGATAACTCGTCGCTGGTTAGGCATTAATCGCTGGGTATACATACACAGATACCCCTCATCTGCAAGAATACCATACTCTGTGTCTACTGCGCAAGTCACTCACCACCATGCCTGTCTACCTACTATCCAGGTACGTTTGTTCCTCCCCTCTCTTTCTCTCTCTCTCTCTCTCTCTCTCTCTCTCTTCCCCCCTCTCTCTCTCTCTCTCTCTCTCTCTCTCTCTCTCTCTCTCGCGCACCCTAGTACACCTCCCAATCGAATAAATAACCATCCCCCAAACCCAAACCCACCCACCTCTAAAAAGAAACACAGCCGCTAACAATGCTTCGATGACGATAGACTAGGAGACCCTCTCTTCGCATTCACAATCGGCGCCTCAGCCGCCCTCCTCCGCATCCAGCGCGACCAGCGCGAAAAGAACCCCGATCGGGCGGCCCAGATCGGCATGGGGAGTGTGCTCGGCGATGGGGGGAGGAGGTTGCAGAGGTGGTGGAGGGGGGATTTTGTGGGGTTATAATCTTTTTTTTTTATCTTCTTATTTCTTTGTTCTTGATTTGTGATTTTTGTTGAAATTTTGGTTCTTGGTTTTGGGTTGTATGTGTATGAGTATGGGTATGAGTATGTGTATTATCTGGTTCAATTGATTGAGTGATGATTTGGATTGTTGCTTTATTATGTATGTGGGTGGGATTCGGCGATGATATTGAGCCTTCAAGAGGATGGATGGTTTTATCATGGTTTGGGAGACAATGCATAGATTTGTTTAGTCTACCTACGATGGAGGGAGCTACTCAGGCTACGATTGAGGTACAGATACAGATAAAGTAATAAGTAACGTGAATATTCCTGTATTGTTATACGGAACTTTTCCCTCCCAACCTTCTGCTCAGTATTGCAGAGTATCATGCATAACAACGTGAAACTATGCAGTCACGCAAAAATAGAAAAAAGAATAGCAATCCCATAATATCGTGAAACCATCAAGAAAGTACAGCAGAAACCATGAAAAAAAAGAATAAAAAAGAAACACCATTAGGGCCGACCGATCAGCCAAGACTAACTAAGAAGGTTGAAGAAAAGAAGAGAAGGGTCAAGACATTTAGTCAAGCTCCTCAGGGCGCTCCTCGACCTCGTCAGCAGTACGGGTGGAGCCACCGGGGGCAGCACCGCCGGGGGCGGCACCCTCGGGAGCGGCACCACCGTAGGCAGCGGAGATGATGGGGTTGGCAACACCCTCGAGCTCCTTCTGCTGGTCCTCGTACTCCTCCTTGGTGGCGGTCTGGTTGGCGTCGAGCCAGCCGATGACCTCGGAGACCTTCTCCTCGACCTTCTTCTTGTCGTCGTCGTTGATCTGCAGCTTGCCCTCGTTGATGGTGTTCTTGAGGGAGTAGGCGTACGACTCGAGGCCGTTCTTGGCCTGGATACGGGAAGCCTCGGCCTCATCCTCGGCCTTGTACTTCTCGGCCTCGGCAAGCATGCGCTCGATGTCCTCCTTGGACAGACGGCCCTTGTCGTTGGTGATGGTGATCTTGTTGGTCTTACCGGTGCCCTTCTCGACAGCGGAGACGTTCATGATACCGTTGGCATCGACGTCGAAGGTGACCTCGATCTGGGGGACACCACGGGGGGCCGGGGGGATGCCGGTCAGCTCGAACTTGCCGAGCAGGTTGTTGTCCTTGGTGCGGGCACGCTCACCCTCGTACACCTGGATCAACACACCGGGCTGGTTGTCGGAGTAGGTGGAGAAGGTCTCGGACTTCTTGGTGGGGATGGTGGTGTTACGCTTGATCAGCGCGGTCATGACACCACCAGCGGTCTCGATACCGAGGGACAGCGGGGCGACATCGAGCAGCAGGATCTCGTTGGTCGACTTGGACGAGGTGTCACCGGACAGGATGGCAGCCTGGACGGCAGCACCGTAGGCGACGGCCTCATCGGGGTTGATGGACTTGTTGGGGTCCTTGTTGAAGAAGTCGGAGACGAGACGCTGGATGCGGGGGATACGGGTGGAACCACCGACCAGGACGATCTCGTGGACGGAGGACTTGTCGACCTTGGCGTCACGGAGGACACGCTCGACGGGCTCCATGGTGCCACGGAAGAGGTCCTGGCACAGCTCCTCGAAACGGGCACGGGTGATGGAGGTGTAGAAGTCGATACCCTCGAAGAGGGAGTCGATCTCGATGGAGGTCTGAGCGGCCGAGGACAGAGTACGCTTAGCACGCTCGCAAGCAGTGCGCAGACGACGCAGAGCACGGGCGTTGGTGGTCAGGTCCTTCTTGTGCTTGCGCTTGAACTCGTTGACGAAGTGGTTGACCAGACGGTTGTCGAAGTCCTCACCACCCAAGTGAGTGTCACCGGCGGTGGACTTGACCTCGAAGATACCCTCCTCGATGGTCAGGAGGGACACATCGAAGGTACCACCACCCAGATCGAAGATCAGGACGTTGCGCTCACCCTCGGTCTTCTTGTCCAGACCGTAGGCGATGGCGGCAGCGGTGGGCTCGTTGATGATACGGAGGACGTTCAGACCGGCGATGAGACCGGCGTCCTTGGTAGCCTGACGCTGGGAGTCGTTGAAGTAGGCGGGGACGGTGATGACAGCGTTGTTGACGGTGCCACCGAGGTAGGCCTCGGCAACCTCACGCATCTTCACCAGGATCATGGAGGAGATCTCTTCGGGGGTGAACTGCTTCTGCTCGCCCTTGAACTCAACCTCGATGACGGGCTTGCCGGCCTTCTCGATGATCTTGAAGGGCCAGTGCTTCATATCAGCCTGGACCTCAGCGTCGCCATACCGACGGCCGATGAGACGCTTGGCATCGAAGACAGTGTGGTGGGGGTTCATGGCGACCTGGTTCTTGGCGGCATCACCGATCAAACGCTCGGTGTCGGTGAAGGCCACGAACGAGGGGGTAGTGCGGTTACCCTGGTCGTTGGCAATGATTTCAATGCGGTCATCACGGAACACACCCACACAGGAGTAGGTGGTACCCAGATCAATACCGACAGCGGGGGCCATTGTGAATGTGAGGTGGGGGGGTATTAGGAGGAGAGGGATTGAAGGAAATTCGTGAGGAAGTAGTGTACAATAAGACAAGAAAAATCTCCCTTCAGATGATGGAAAGAGGAGAAGTACACAAGAGAGGAGTGAGGAGAGTGAGGAAAGAGAAAAAAAAGTAGGTAGAGAATTTGTGCGAGAGGTTTGGTAGATATAGTAGAGGGCGGTGAGCTGCGAAATCGAGCGAAGCTTCTAGCAAGAGCACAGCTTGTAGGTGTATCCATTGGGTTCGATGACCTTCCACCTGGGTCGGATTGCCCCGCTTACCGTTTCGGTCTTGCTGGTCTTTCTGGGTCTTTCTGGGTATTACGAGTACCTACGATACCAGTTGAATATTCTTTCTGCCCCTTTCTTTTGTCACTTTTTGTTTCTTTCTTCTACTTTCTAGCTTTATTTTATTTTCCTTCATTGAATTTGACAATAATATCATGATCGTAATTTTCGGGGTGACAGTTCTTCTACATTATTCTATTCTCAACGGAAGAGATAGGTATAGTGGTGGGGTAATGAATGATGTAAGAGCCTCAGGTTTTTCTTTGCTGCCCGGACAACAGAATGGATACTGTGCTGAGTACTCCGTACTCAATACGGTAATCTACTGTATAGTGTCCAGTCCTGTCGTCACCATGACCCATCCAATTTGCCGCTTTCCATGGATGGAGCAATAATCAGTGGGACTGAACTAGAACGACATCATCACTCGAAACATCTCAATGATTCGGCCGTATTCGATTGCTATGAAGTCACCTTCTTCAGTTTTCTTTCATAGTGATCCACTGACATGGTAGATAACTATGACTCAGGGATTGTTGAAGCCCTATTACTGTCTACTATTTACTGAACAAGTGGGTATTTTCTGTCTTCTCGAACCGTCGAATTTTTATTATCATTAGAGTACAACTAAGGAATCTTTGTCTAAGCCTTGTCTGAGTATCGACTTGGTGCAATTGATTGGTCGTTGTGCAATGAATTGTCGTAGCGGTACATTACCTACCTACCTACCTACCTAAGGTAGGTACCTAAGCATCTAAGTCTTATTCAATCAGGCTCAAGCTACTTCACAGCCTTATAGACTGAGACTGATCTTGACAGATATAAGTTACTGACTGGTTGTTATGTTGTTTCTCTTACCTAAAGAGTAATCTATACTGGGTACCTACCTACATGCCTGAAACTGATCCATAGAAGAGCCCAATCTTGTCCAGATCTGCATAGTAACCATCTCTACCTTACTGCCAGTCAATCCAAAGTCATATGCCCTGTAGAAGAAGTCAAATCCTCAGCATCTGCTGTGGCAGACTGATCCGGTAGGATGTTTATTATGATTCTGAACCCGATCCAAGTCCCAACAAGGGCTAGATCCGTCACGGGATGATCGATCGCCTGGTCCAGCCAATCAGCAGAGGGAAGTCACGAGTGATTCTTCTTCTCCCCTTGCGACGCATCTCTCAGTCACTGAGCAACTACCTACTTTCCCTCCACTCTAACAAGTCCTCTTCTTGACCTTGATCGTATCTGAAAGCAGCCTCTGGATTCTTGCTGCAAGTGACTTTATATTCTGCTCCCTTCCACCAGTTTCTACCCTGATCTACTCGCTCTCAATTCCCGCCACTACACAATGGGTGACAACAACATGGGCGCGACCCTGGGCGACCAACCCTCTGGCAATGCCCCTGGTGCACTTGACAAGGGCAAGGGCAAGTCCGTCGAGGACCCCACCTCCCATGAAATGAGCGTCGATGAGGACGACAGCGAGAGCGAACCCGAGGCCGAAGAAATTGTGAGTCCGCGCGTGGGAAACAAGGGAAACATGACCAGGCCAATTTGTGACTAACGGTGTCAATTTTCTTTCTTTGCGATTATTTAGGTTGAAGGTACGTCTATATCTTTTCTTCTGCTCGCTTTTCCTTTTTCCTTTCCCTCCCAGACTAGGTACAGCCGCTGACTCCTTCTGATCAATAGATGAAGACGAAGATGACGGAGGCAACCTCGAGCCCATCTCCTCTGAGAATATCATCAGCGGAGGCCGACGGACGCGCGGAAAGACCATTGATTTCCAGGAAGCGGCCGAGAAGCTCAAGGCGGACGAGATGAGCGATGATGACGACGACGACGAGGACTTCGTCGCTAACGACGACAATGACGATGGAAACAAGATGCGCGATTAAATGCGGCAACTTTACGAAACTATCAAGGACATGACTTGGGAATGGGGAATGCGAAGGGAAAACTGAATGGCCGGCGCAGGGTTTCTTAGGGGGTCTTTTATTGTTCCAGACCGATCTTACTTTCCTCCGATTGAAATCTCACCGGACAGCATGAGGCTATGAATGCATAATGATTAATTCGCCCTTTTTTTTTCTTCTAATTGGTGTGATTGATCGTCTTTAGTAGTTGGCACTGTTGTGCTATATATCGGTGTGATATATCGGTGAAGGATTCGGTCGTATATCTGTAGCCCCTCTTGGGCAAATCCGCCCCAGGTACCAAAGAATCTAAAATTAACTTGACCAAGACGAATCAACATCTCTTTCCTGCGTTATCTATCCTACAATGTAGCATGTACGACATAATGACAATAAACCATAGCCACATAGCACGTGACCTCGACCGCCTTGGCTACGTGTTAGTAAGAGTCAGCTTGAACAACGCGGAGTAGCTGGACGTATGGGGTTCGTCGCCGCAACCAGATCTCAATTACAATAATAGCTCTACTTTCCCTCCTTTACTCTTTCATTTGCAGGCACCTTTCTTGTAGGGAGAAGAGCGACCGTCATCCTTTATTTCGAGCTCTTACTCCCGCCCGCGATGCGCCCTGACTAGGCTACTACTTATCTTCGATACGCTTCTTCCCCTTTGTCGACTGTTTGGTCCGCTTGGAATCTAGCTTACGACCCGTCATGGCATCACGGTTGGTTTTCATTTTATTTAGCATTACACGCGCATAGGCTGACGACTTCTGCTAGATTCCCACGCCAGCGCGATCCCCGAGCCGCCCCTTCGCTCTTCGACTCCTACGGTGGCGATTCCCGGCCAGCGAGCAAGTCGCCTGGTCGTGTAGGCGGATACGGCTATGGCGGATACCCCGGTGCGAGCGATGGGTCGATGAATGGGACGCCTGGTGGATATCGGTCCGCGACGCCGGACAAAAAGTGAGTTGAGGCAACGTGCGGGTTGTCGAAGTTGAAGCTGACAACGCTTAAGGGGCCATTACTCTGATGCCGTCCTCTCGCATTTGGAATCTCAGAATGACGCCGAGGTCGAAGGGATTACTGCCAAAGTGAAGATGCTCAAAGATGCATGTTCTACTCTTTCACTGCGATGTTATATGCTTCTCACCGCTAACGACATGCTAGTTATCCGTCGCCATCGGGGACGAAATCCGCGATAGCTCCAGCCTGGCTGAGACGCTGAATAACGCCTTTGATAATACCCGTGTTCGTGTTCGGGGGAACATGAACCGTATGCTCCGTATGGCGGAACGGACCGGAGTGGGCTGGCGTGTGTGGCTGCTCTTCTTTCTGGCAGTCTTCCTGATCTTCTTCTACGTTTGGTTGTTCTGAACGGGTTGACTACTAGAAGCCCTGGCCGGTTCTCTAGGCCTAATAACCTCACTTGAACACATTACCCCGACACAGCTGCGGATATATGCCTGCAGACGTGGACTCCTAATTCCGCCGCAACTACAAGTCATAATACCTACAATCCCGTCGCGTTCACATCATCCGGCAGTTTATTGGAATGTACAGCACCTCCACTGTACCGCATGAACATGTCTCTCCCTCGTTCAAGCGTCGTCGTCGATCACCACACCACATGACCTGTCGTGATTCCACGCGCCGCCTTCACTCTACATAATACTTACCATCTATCGATGCATCTTTTGGTGTTTGTGTAAGCCCGTCTGCAAAGCGTGGCTTGATCTTTGGTTTTTTTAGTACATTGTACATTCTACTGTATATATTACTCTGAGAAAAGTAACGTTTTACTCACTGTCCTTCTGATATTTTGCACGGTTTGTGTCTTAGCAGCTCAGCTCTGATATATATAGTGCATAGAGCTATGGTTCTTAGAAACATGAAACCTGTCCCACTTTAATTTGACCTAGTTATAGTCTCAGCTGAGTGAAAGTATCAAGCTCAAAGTAGTCGTAATTAATTGATATAAGTAGTAGTAGAAACCATTTAACTCCCCCTGACAACCCTCAAAACGCTCATCCGCTCCACTATCAAGTAAGACCGACCGAATTCCACATGAACCCCGATGCCGCCGAATGCTCCATAGGGTATAAACACTTATCGTACACGCAAATCTAACATCAACCCCGAATATGCAATCAGGATTGCACCTAATACTCAAGACTATCCCTCGGCCCCCCCGTCCGCCGTCGAGGGAACCGCCCAAAAGCACCCGTGCCCGTGCCCGTACCCGCACCCCGACGACTCGCCTGGCTGGTGATCGACGAGCGCAGATTACTATCGTCCTCATCGACGAGCATCCCGCTCGTATCAAAGGCATCGCCGCCACCACTCCAGCGTTGGAGGAATCTCCGCTGCGCCTCCGTCTCGCGGTGTCTCCGTACGGGCGGCGGCGGGGGCAGACCGGCGCGGCTGCTGGTTGTGCTGGCGCGGAGGCTCTGCGCGAAGCTGATCTCTTCGTCCTCGTCGTCGAACTCGGCGTCTGTGTCTGTGTGCTGCCATTCGTCTTCTTGGTCGGAGCGGTTCTCGGCTGCTTCGGGGATGTCGTCGTCGAGGTCGTGGTCCATGCCTTGTTCTTCTTGTTCTTCCATGCTTTCGTTGTCGTCGTCGTCGGCGGCGGCGCTGGGGATGTCGTCGTCTAGGTCGGGCTGGTTGTTGAAGTCGTGCTCTTCGAACTCGTCTTCCTCCTCCTCCTCCTCTTCTTCCTCATCATCATCATCCGGAAAAGCCTCCGGGATATCATCATCCAAATCCCGCTCCATATACCCCTCCTCATCAACCCCTTCCTCCTCCTCCAGCCCCTCCTCACCCTCCTCCACAAGCCCCTCCACATCATCATCATCAGCATCAGCATCAGGGATATCATCATCCAAATCCCTCTCCATCCCCGTATCATCCTGCCCGTCCCCACCAGGCTGACCCTGGCCCTGCGCCCCCATCTCATCCACCCCCGGATCCGCCGCCGCAACAGCAGCAGCCATCTCCGCCGCCGCAGCAGCAAGCGCCTCCTCCCTCTCCGCCTCCTCCTCCTTCATACCGAGCATGGTCTTCGGACATCCTGCAGGCCGAATCCACGAGCATCCGAACGAGGCGATGTTGTTTTTGCGCGCTCGCAGCGCGCGCTCTTCAAGGTGGAGCGCGGAAAGGACGTTGTCGGGGTTGCTTGTCGTTATGGATGTGCGTCCGGTGTGGTGGTGGCTTGTGCGGCGGAGGTGGTGGTGGTGGTCGGTGGGGGAGGGGTGTGGGTGGGAGGAGCGGTAGGGTTGGGAGGAACCGAACCAGAGGTCGTGGGACTGTGTTGTTAGTTGGGTTTTTATTGATTTTTGGAGATGAGGTTTAGGGTGAGTGGACGTACGTCACGAGGGGTGATGAGTGGGAGGGAGAGCATTGTTGGAGGTTGATTTGTGGAGGGTATTTTTCATGGGCGGATGTGTATCCGGTTCCCTTTCTCAGTTTGGCTGATAAAGCCCAAGATTGGTATTATTTTTTCTTTCTTGTTTCTTCTTTGGGCCCTTTTTTTTCTTGTATCCGTTAGCGGGCAGGTGAAGTTGTCGCAGACCCAACGACCTACTACCTTAGCTTGGCGGATACAAACAAAGCGCGAAAACCACCAATACAATAATTGACAGCAATCAATCTTGCTGTATGAGTTAACAAACACAGAAATTGCAAAGAAAGCACAAAAGCAAGAAAGACCGTTGACACGAAGGCACAACAAGCAATCGCATCACCAAGCGGCCGCAAGAACTGGAGCGGAGGGAAACAAAACAAACAACAAACAAGTCCGTTAGCTCCGAGATCGAGTCCGCTCCGCTCTGAGCGCAAGGCGGGAAGGGCTAGACCTTCCTAAGTTTTTACATACTTCGACAATTTAGAATTATCGATCTGCCGTTGGTTTAGAGTGGGTGAAGGTTTTTTTTTTCTCTTATTTATTTTCATTTTATCTTCATACCAGTATGAAGGAAGATGGATTTTATGGTTGGTAATGTATTGCATCGATTTGCCCTCATGTTCGCGGACTCATTTGGATTGAATCTACTCCGTACGAGGGGAAGGTATACTATGAATGGCTGGTAAGGATGGCTTTGGAGAATAATAGCTTGACTTTACATATACCTACATGACCAAGGAAGAGTCGATTCTAGCAAGTCCGTTTGCTTCTCGTAAGCGACAGTACTAGTCTCAACTGTGTTTCAATCGCAATGCCGTAGACACTTTGCCATGGCAAGACCTCTCATGGCCTTAGGGAATAGCCTGACCTGTCAGGCTCCTCTGCAACCAACAAAGTACGTCACAGTAGCGGTAGCGGACAACCTGCAGGAAATCCCGAGTAGGATGTGTGAAGGACAAGTCATCTCATCTGCGGAACCGAGGAGCGTGCCAGCTGCCAAGGGATTCCCAGATTGGACCAGACGAGTAAGTGACACTCCCTCACTACAGGGGAGAACGGAGATGATGGATGGTCCGACATCTCCCGATGGATGGTGGTCGTGCAGCATCCTGCGGGCGGGATGGTCGGTGAACCCAAAGCGGACAAGACCGGTGTGGACATATCGGGCGAATGCGGGAACATGATATTGAAGAGGGTTGGTTAGTTAGTAGGCAGGCAGTGGAATAAGCTAGATCGGTGGCCAGATGTTGGCTGCACTGCGCGTGGGATCATGTGATACCTCCGACATGATGAGGTGACACTGCGTCTCCATCTGCTTGGCTTTCTTGTGTTTAGAGTATTTAGCAGGTGGTATGCTGTACCATCACCTCCTTTCCCCCTGGGGATACTGTGAGGCTTGTAGAGGAATAAAGTATGATCTGGGGAATGACGATGGAATAAAAGACCGAGGTAGAAAGAAACGTGCTATGGAAAGTGGAGGCGGCTGGCTTATGTATTAGTATTAGCATCACATTATTCGTATGGCTGGGATTAAGCTCTTATCAGGACTGGGTGGGGAACCCGTCTAGAATCCGAAAATCGTACGGACCAGCCTTTAGTGGTGTATTGAACCGTTTACTCCGTACACTCCTTATCGCAGATGTCACTTCAATCCCCGTTGGTTGAAGTATCGATGAAACCTGATGTAAGGACTCCTGATGCTCTTGACCGCTTCTTCAGTTGTCTCTGAAGTTTCAATCAAGAGTAGATTACATGAAGCATCAGGCGAGTCGATCTGTAAACCGAAGGGTTCATAATTCAACCACGCCGATTGGTCGGGAACCCAGCATGCTGATAGCACCCTGTGGAGAGGAACCAAACACCCCCGCGGAGTATCCATTCCATACGGGTGGGGATTGAGGCGATGACCTTCGAAAGACGCGAGAATTAGACTCCCAAGCTGATCATCAACCACCACCCATGGAGCGTAAAGAGGAAGGCTCCGAGATCGGGAGAGGAGGTGGATGAGAGGAAGTCTTCCAAGGGCAGGGCAGTGGTTGTTCCATAATACATATCATGTATACGCTTGTAACGAGCAGGTAACCCAATGATCGCCATCCAGCTGCAACGTGACTTCTAACCGTGGGGTATGCAGGAGCATGCAGTGTCCTGTATGGGATTTTCGTTCGGGTTTGGGGGAGTTGAGCCGGCCAACGAAAGGTTGATCTTGGCAGCTTCGGTTGCAGATGCTTGCAGTGCATAATATCAGTTTTTATCCATCGACCTGGAAAAGAAACAGAAATCAGGTCAATCAATGGCTTCCACTGTTCTAGCCAACATAATTATAAGGCACCATGTAACCTTGACTCGTGCAGTCTGCACCATTTCCGAGACCCCATTCTAGTGCCTGCCAAGCATGTAGGAAGTCCTCCTCCGTACTAATAATTCCTCGGTTGCTTTGGATTGCACCACAACGGTTTGGGGTCAAATCGGGGATAAGCACCACACCCTTGCCCAGGCCGCCCCACTGGGGGATAATCCACCCACTCGGGTCAACGTATGATTTACTTGTTTATGGTCATCATCTTAATAAAGAATTTCATTACGTTTCTGATTGGAGGAAATGGTTGCATGACTGTTTGTCTCTCACATGAAGGTCCTAGAGATCTGGACGGAAAAGGAAAAGTTACGATACAGTTCCGTACGGGCAAGTGGATGCCTTACTCCACCCGGTTGGATCTTGACGTCGTAGAAACCAGCAACCTAATCTTCTTGGTCAACAAGGTTGGAAAGCCAGGTTTCTGATTGGTTCTAATACTCTTATCTTTGACCTCGGGACTTGGACGAGATTGATCTTCATGGCCACTCAAGTACTGGTATCCGTATGAACTCCCTAATGGAAAGTAATCTGGTCTCCGAAAACGCTTTCACCAGGTGTTTTCAACAAGGGAAGAGTAGGAGTAGGTAGGAAGGTGGGGTACCTGTTTTATAGGAACGTACCAGGCATTATCGATGTACCTGTACTCCAGATGGATCTCGTCCTTTGTACGGTACGATACACATCTCTTGATCGTGGTCCTTCTCCATACTTCCTACAGAAGTCACTGCAAGCTGCAATTTGCCACGGTGAAGCTCATCCTCATCTCCACCATCCTCACCTATCACCGCGTAGATACAATTCCAATTCCTTTCTTGCTTTCTTGGAGTCTCCCCCGTCAAGGTTTCATTTCATTTCTTCAATTCTTTCATCTTCCATTGTCCTGTAAATATCAACCCCATTGGAATCTCTAGACTTCACCAGTCCAATGAATGAACTACCACTGCCACCAGTAGTAATATTTCCACAATAAGATAGATCTCCTGTATCGGAGGGTACTGAGGTATTCCCCGGACCTCTGCCTCCCGTCCCGCCGTCCTCGTCCGCCTTGGATTTATTCGATTATTTGATTTTCTACCCCCACCATATCCACCACATTCCTCGACTCTCTTCTTTCTCTCCTTCCGGCCATTGCACTTTCTTCCCTCTCTCCTTCTCTCCCCCTCCCCCTTCAAGCAACTCCTCAACCTCCTAGACCATCCTTCTAGCAATCTGGTTGAAGCGGAACTCATTGTGACGCTTGTCGAACCTTCCATACTTACCCTTTTTCTTATCTTTGACGGAGCTTTCCCATACCTGACGAATCACCGTCCCCCCATAACCTCCCCGAAGCAATCCGCGGCGGGACCCCGTTTACTATCCTAGTCCCATATACTACTCCCAAGTTTATCTCCTCCATTCTCTGTCGGTCACCGGCGGAAGAATGGGTCTGAACTTGGAGGAAATCTATGGTCAAAATCTAGTCGATGAGCAGAAGCCCAACCAGTATTCCGAGTACCAGCCAAAGCAGGGCTATGGCTGGGCCAACACCCTGCCCGAGAGGCAGGGTCTCTATGATCCCGAGTATGAAAAGGATGCCTGTGGTGTAGGCTTTGCTGCGTATGTCTATCCGTCCATCTCCATCCTCCGATGTGTGGCCGTGTGAAGGCTGTGGACTCTGCTTTGGAAATGGATTTACTAAATGGAGTGATTCGACAGTCATATCAAAGGAAAGCCCAGCCACAAGATTGTTAGCGATGGTAGGTCGTCCTAAATCCAGCTCTTAGTCTTCAGCTGATACTGACCCCTTCGTGAATTGACAGCTCGGAATCTCCTCTGCAACATGACCCATCGAGGCGCCGTCGGTTCCGATGCTCGAGACGGTGATGGTGCTGGTGTCATGACCAGTATCCCCCACAAGTTCTTTATCAAGAACTTTGCGCGCGAGGTGGGTGTGGACCTGCCCCCACTGGGTCAGTATGCCGTGGGAAACTTGTTCTTCAAGCCCGATGAGGAGACCCTCAAAGAGTCCTCAGCCACCTTTGAGGATCTGGCCAACTCTTTGGGCCTGCGCGTGCTGGGATGGCGTGAAGTCCCCCGCGATTCCACGATCCTGGGCCCCGCGGCCCTCTCCCGGGAGCCCGTCATCATGCAACCCTTTGTGGTTCTGAAGTCGGCCTACGGGGAGGGGAACAAGCCCGAATCCACCGATCCCGAGACGTTCGATGAGAGAACCTTTGAACGCCAGCTGTTCGTCCTGCGGAAGCGGGCCACCCACGTCCTCGGACTCGCCAACTGGTTCTACCTGTGCTCCCTGAGCAACCGGAATATCGTCTACAAGGGTCAGCTGGCCCCCGTGCAGGTGTACGAGTACTACCACGATCTGGTCAACGTCGACTACGAAGGCCACTTTGCCCTGGTGCATTCCCGTTTCTCGACCAACACGTTCCCCTCCTGGGACCGTGCGCAGCCGCTGCGGTGGGCTGCTCACAACGGTGAGATCAACACCCTGCGAGGCAACAAAAACTGGATGCGGGCCCGCGAGGGCGTGCTCAAGTCGGACATCTTTGGCGACGAGCTGGACTTGCTGTACCCCATCGTCGAGGACGGCGGCTCCGACTCCGCGGCCTTTGACAATGTCCTGGAGCTGTTGATGATCAATGGCGTCCTGTCGCTCCCGGAGGCCGTCATGATCATGATCCCCGAGGCGTGGCAGGATAACCCGGCCATGGACCCGGCCAAGGCCGCTTTCTACGAGTGGGCCGCCTGTCAGATGGAGCCCTGGGATGGCCCCGCTCTCTTTACTTTCTCCGACGGCCGCTACTGCGGTGCAAACCTCGACCGCAACGGCCTGCGTCCGTGCCGGTTCTACGTCACGGATGATGACCGGATCATCTGCGCGTCCGAGGTTGGCGCCATCAGCATTGACCCCGAGCGAGTGGTCCAGAAGGGCCGTCTGCAGCCCGGCAAGATGCTCCTGGTCGACACCGTCGCTGGTCGCATCATCGACGACTCCGAGCTCAAGCACACCG